ACAACTGTGTCCTAACTGAAATTATTAATATCACTCTCCTTGGAGGCCAGCGTTTACGCTGACACATTGCTTAGTGTCTGACTCATATACCATTTGTAACAGTTAAAATCTACCACTATCATATATTATCTGTTTTGGCTCATTACATATCGCTGTCAGTCTCATGATTTTAAAACGCATTGGATTGAGAAAATTTTTCACACACTTGTAAGGAATAAGGAATAAGGAATGAGAGACAGACATTGTTGCAAGAGCAAAGTCACAAATGAACCTCATACGGAGAAATGGCTGAGTCCTAACTGAAATGGTTAATATCCAAGAAGGAAATGTGGAATAGGTCCCAGTTCTACAAGTTCTCTTCTAAATCATGGTTTCATGCAAGAGCAGCAGCAAGGAGTGTTTGCTTCTTAATTTAAAAAGAAACTCATGATTTAGAAAGCCTCATTTACTCTACAAAAAGGCAACCGACTACTGGACAAGAGGATAGGATTTGAACTGAAAGTTTCATCATAAGCTGTTCTCCCAGTATCCTGTTCTTTCCAAATTCTACCAGTCACCCTAAGCTTCAGTTCCTTACGGTCTCCACCGGAGAAGAAGAGAGCCATGTTACATTGGATAATGAGCCCGTCGAAACTATCCCGAACTTTTCGATGGCTGTCCCTGATGCTTCTGGGCACCCCTTGCCATACTATCTTCCTCCCATTTCCTCCCACTTCGAGACTATAGCTGTAGTTCTTTGCATCATCATCATCGCCCATGAACCGCAAGAATGCTATGTATGCTGGAGCCATTCCGAGCTGGAAAGCTTCGAAATGCAGGCAAAAGTAATGACCAAAGCAACTGAAAACCTGAGTTTTGACATTCTAAATCAGAGTCACCCCCAATATCAAGAATTCAAAGCTAATATAAGCTATGGGTTTGCAGAATGATAGCAAAATGAGGATTCTAGAGTTCTAAACTAACAAAATCTCTTCCACTCGAGGTAGTACTTCAAGATCGGTAAACAAATCGAAATCATTATAGTCTACAGGAGTACATTATCTTATGTAGCAAAACCAAATTAAGCATTTTTTCTGCTCAGTTTCTGGAATATCCAAAATTGCACAGCCGTCCATCAAAGGACATCCCAATTCCATGAACAGAAGAACTCCAAAGAAGTGCATGGTTTCATGCCAAAATCAAATCACTAAAATTTAAGCATCTAACATGATTCTAATCTCAAAATGTGCATAAGAAATGCCAAGGAGATTCGCCGACCCAAGAGGGAAGAAACAGTGTAAGGATTCCAAGAATGAAAACAATAAGTCTATGAGGAAAATTACCGTTAGCATCCATGTTGCGTTTTCGACTTCTTGAGGGTTTGATTTTACGTATCGATGGTTGAACGTGCTTCCACTGTGCATGTCTACTTTATGATCATCTTTGAGATGGGCCACCAAATAGGCTATATCACCAACGACCAAACATTCTGATCCAGCGTATGGACAACTATAAGGTCTGTAAATACATTGGGATTCATGTTTGACCTTGCTGTAATAAGGACATATGCCAATGCAACCATAGCTCTGATATTTACATGGAAGTTCTAGCGATGCAGCCACCTTCTCCAATGCAAGGCATCGAATATTGCCAAGTTCGTGCCTGCACGTAGGGCACCGATTGTGCACCCTAGGCTTGCAATCCGAACACAGTGTATGACCATTTGAACACTGCGGTAACAAAAAACACTATTAAAGAAAATGCTGGCACCCACACTTAGCACACCCCCTTTAAATGTACAAAATTTGGTAAAGAATTCCAAAATAAGCACTTCACTCAACTTATTCTAACTGAAATTCTTCCTTTTTTTAGGTAAACACAAACCTCCACAATCATTGTAACAATTCAAGCCCACATTTAGCAGCCTAAAGGTTTTTAAAACGTGTATGTTAGGGAGGTTTCCACGCCCATATAAAGAATGTTTCGTTCCCCTCTCCAACCGATGTGGGATCTCCCAAATCCACCCCTTCGGGGCCAGCATCCTCGCTGACACTTGCTCCCCTCTCCAATTGATGTGGGATCTCACAATACATTGAGGACGCTTAGCCCCGAAGCGGGGTGGATTATAAGATCTCACATCGGTTGGAGAAACGAAGCATTCTTCATACGGGTGAGGAAACCTCTCCCTATCAGACACGTTTAAAAACATTGAGGGGAAGCCTAGAAGGGAAAGTCCAAAGAGAACAATTTCTGCTAGCGGTGGGCTTGGGCCTTTGCAATCATAGAATCTAACAACTACATTAACACCAAACCTCATCTGGGCATCTCATCACGCTAAAGTAACCACATAACACAAAGATGAACTAAATTTCATAACTAAACCTGATGTATTGGAGGGTACATTGCATTCAAACACACTGGGCATTCCAAAAGCTGACGAACACTTCTGGAAACAGCAACATTAGGTTTAAGTTCATTTTGAGTTGGACCATCCACAGCTTCCCTGATGTCCATCATATCTTGATTTTGTGGAGGATCAATAACCTCTGGTTTGCTCCGCACATCATCAAAACAAGGATTTCCAGATGCCATCCTTAAGAAAACAGTTTTATGCTGCCTGAATATATGCACAACAACAAGTGGCTTCAGAATCTATCTCCTCTTCAAAAAACCAAAAGATAATATGCAAAACAAACAGACTCTGGATCAAGAGTGTTTTATTAATGGAAACTCATAAATTTGCATATCATGAAACGATACAAGAGACGGCGATAGACACATGTATTCCCTTCCCCGGAAGAACCCTAAAATTCAAAGAAAACTCACCATGGATCAAAGATTTAAACAGCCGAGGAACATTAACACAAACTTCACATTCCATCAAATATTTCCCCAAGTGAAAACGATCAAAATCAGAAAAGTGGATCAAAATTATCACGACGAGAAACGAAAGGAAAGAGATCGAATCATACCTAGAATCGCAACGAAAGGGTGATTAAAAAGCACGGAAACCCTTGAAATGAGTAACGTTCTGGTGTGAAAATTGAAACTCAACTACCGCATCAGAGAAATACGAACACCGAAAAGTTCGTAGCTCAAAGACAGAATTTCAAAATGAAGCCGTTGTTCGACAGAGAACCAGAGGATTACAGAGCGAAATTTCTCGAGAAAGTACAAAAAGTAAAGTATGAAAAGACTGTGGACCTTGTCCCATCCATACTCTTCTTCCATATTTTGAAATTTCAAGAACAAGTTAGTAACAAGTGTCCAACTTTTTCTCTCGCCAACGCGACAAAATTCCAATTTGATTATTTTGTTCCAACTTTGTCTTACATGAAATAGACACATTTTTGTGTTATAAGTGATATCCCGCTCGAATTATAATTTTCTATGGCTCGAAATGGGGGGAGGAGTGTGAACAGGAGAAATATATCCTCGTTCCCAGCCGTGTTTAGCTCACATTGACAAATATCTCCATGTTCCCGACCTTGTTTAGCTTACAAAGATAAATATCTCTATGTTCCCGACCCTGTTTAGCTCGCATAGAGAAATATCTCTTCGTTTCCGATCTTGTTTAGTTCACATAAAGAGATATCTCCCTGTTCCCGACCCTATTTAGCTCATAGAGAGAAATATCTTCCTGTTCCCGACCCTGTTTAGCTCACATAGAGAAATATCTCTTCGTTTCTGATCTTGTTTAGTTCACTTAAAGAGATATCTCCTCGTTCCTGACCCTGTTTAGCTCACAAAGAGAAATATCTCCTCGTTCCCGACCCTGTTTAGCTCAGAGAGAAATATCTCCCCATTCCCGACCCTGTTTAGCTCACAGAGAGAAATATCTCCCCATTTCCGACCTTATTTAGCTCACATAGAGAAATATCTCCCAGTTACCGGCCCTATTTAGCTCATAGAGAGAAATATTTCCCTGTTCCCGACCTTGTTTAGCTCACATAGAGAAATATCTCCCCGTTCCCGACCTTGTTTAGTTTACATAGAGAAATATCTCTCTATTCCTGACCCTGTTTAGCTCACAAAGAGAAATATCCCCCGTTTTCGACCCTGTTTAGAAAAACGTTAAAATTACGTTAACATGTTTAAAAGCTTAGTTCATATAGTTTATTGATTAACATTTGAGTAAGCAAATCGTGTATACAGTAGAGATACGATTGCGTCATATATCCTGTCTCGTGTATGTCAAATATTTTTCGATTGTGGTAACGGCTAGAAGATTATTGAATGATCTTCCTTGATTAACCTATCACCAGTGATGGAGTCCACTTCCGTACTTCCATATCGAGTAGGAAGTATGTGCATTTTACAGTCTCATACGAATATTATATGGGTGCGATAAAGATGACCTCCACATAGAATTTACAGATACGAGGGTCACTTCTTTTAGGTCACCTTCTCATTGTGGGACTACTAGGGCCAAACCGATTACCCTCCTAATCAATCTGTCTCAGAGGACTGACTCCATGATGCATAATAGCATACTAGAGTTGAAAATGAGACAACATACACTAAAACTTGAATGCAGCCGTCCGAGTTGCCTTGAATTTGATAACATTTCGACCTTAATAACGAGTTTCAAGGGGTTAGCAGATTAGTAGGCGCCTCGTTTGAGCCAAGTGTTGAACAACCAAAAGTTTACTACCCGACCACTTGAAATAGGTTTAAGAATACATTTTTATTTTTCCAACCATTATATATTATTTAAAATTATTCATTAATAGCGATAGTCCGTGTCTCGACAAGCTCGAAAAGTAAAGCGTTTTAGAATCAACTCGTCGGAGTCTATCCTTAAAATAAATAAATAAATAAATTAATTAATTAATTAAAAAAAAAAAAGAAGCTAATTTGAAAATGAAATATGTAACCCTTAAAATAATGTTAAATTGAGAAGTTTATCCAAACTTAAAAGGTGATTGAAGAAATGGACCATTTTTGGGGGCAAATAATAATAATAATAAAATTAAGGGGTTAAATCATAAATATTAAGAAAAATGGGGTCGAATCTAGTGCCCGAAAATCCATTGCAGTCCAGTTTGCAGTTTCAGCCCAAAATAGGAGAAGAGAAAGCTGAAGAACTTCGCAGCTTCGACTTTCCAGTTCCAAAACGAAGCCCGAATTCCATTACTGCAGCTTTCACCAGAGCTTCCTTTCAATCTCTTTCTCTCTATAATCGGCGAAAATCCTCTTCTTTTTCGTTTTCGTTCTTCCATATTCGCTGTAAGTATTACGCGCTACCAATTTGTTTCTTCGTTACGTAGATTCTCTATCTTCAGCCTTTTTGTTTTTCTCTGTTTAGGATTATGCCAGACGTGCAAGCTCTTGTGAATGATTTCGTTATCAAGCTTAAGAAGCGGTTAGTTCTTTGGGATTGTTGATATTTCTAGGAATTGAGTTGTGGTCTTATGTTTGTTTGGATTGGAGGTTCATTTTGTGATGATATTATGACAGTAAAATTGAGGGCTCTTTGGCCACCGCGAAGCATACAGCTGAATTGCTTCGTTCTGTCATTTCCCAGCAGCGAATACCCTACACGAATCAGGCGGCTGCTTTGATTGATGCTGTGAAAGCTGTTGGAGAGCAGCTGATTGCTGCGAATCCTGTTGGTAGATATATTAAATTATTGATCTTGTTTAGTTGATTTAATGTTTAACGTCGGTCTGGCTGGTTGGAATTTTACCCTTTACAAAATTCAATTTATTTCCATGGCTGGTGGTTCTTTATTCTGGCTGAAAATAAATTGTTAATCACCTCTCAATTATCGTTATTCGGTCTTGTCCATGTTTACCTTTTCTTTGTATGCCCTGCAACTTTAGTTTTCTGGAATCTACTGATTTACTAGCTTTTCGTTGGCAATATGTCAATGTACAACTGCAGAGCTTGCTGTGGGTAATATTGTGAGGCGTGTTTTGCACATTATTAGGGAGGAGGATCTCTCTCTCACCACAGCTTCAATTGCTGGGTTGAATTTAGCAGCAGTTAGTGATGATGAAGATGACAATGAAAAAGATGATCGCCCGGTCCTCTCAGCTGCTGCTGTTGCAGCTGCTGCAAGAAGCACTTTGCGACCGCCTTCCTTGCAAACTCTTCTTGAGGATGTTCCTAACCAAGCATCTGTTCATCAAACTTCTTCATCTGGAGGTGATTCAGAAGGAAAGAGCAAATGTGAGCTTCCTTAATTTATGATGATTAGCTTTCATTTGCATGCTTATTTAGCGATGTTTGTGATGTGCTTGAAGGAATTTAATTGTGACTTCTAAAATATTTTCTGATTTATCTGATTAAAATCGATCACTGGGTAATCTTTATATATTGCTATGTTGCAATATTATCTCTTGTTTTATATATATAGATAAATTGTATTTGTTGATTGGTTAGCTCGGACATGTAATTGTAATGGCATATATGGTTTTCTATTTCTTTTCTTTCAAGGTTTTGAAGTTGTTGGGAAATGTTTGTTTGGTTTTGGATTTCTTTGACTGACCATGGTTATTAGACAAAGTCTTAAAAAATGTGTAATTTGCTTCTTCAACTGCGCATTGATATTGTATATTTTGAGTGTTAAAAAAATCGTTGTTGTGAGTTGAAATTTATAATTATTTTTTTATAATAATATCATTTGAATGTTTTGCCTCTTACCTCATTGAGTAAATTGGGATTTGAGGCCCTTTTTGGTTGTGATGTCTTTATGTGAATATTTGGAGGGCCGGCTGCATGGATGTAAAGGAAGACTGATTGATGGGGATAAATTTATTTTTTAAGATAATTACTTGGATAGTGAGATTAAGAAACAGGTTCCATTTCTAGCCTCTTCAGGGAACTGATGACAAGGCATAAGGGAATCATTAGCACCCATGGTTTCACCGGAAATTATTCTCCCTCATCTTTTTTTATTGCCCTCTCTTGATTTTTGTTGGAAGTAGGGTCCTTGATAATGTTAAATGCTTTCTGCTTCTCTTGAACAAAAATCTGCTTGTAAATGTGCATGTGTGCGTTTCAACTTTATCTTATTTATATTTTATTTGTGTGCTTGTTGGTTGAATGAGTAGTGACTTTCTTTTCATTTTATTATTTATTGTTCTTTTCCTATTTGGAACACAAGCTTTGTTTTTCTAACAAGTTCTTATTGACAGCTGCTGATAAAAGTTCAAGGAGTCGGAAACTCAAGCATGATGTAATTGAAGCTGTTAATGAACTTATTCAGGATATTGCAACTTGTCATGAACAGATTGCTGAGCAAGCAGTGGAACACATTCATCAAAAGTATTTCTCACATTGAGCTAATCCTAATAAGCTAACCCTTTTTATTGTTTCCTTGAGATCATATTGATCTGGGATATCTAGTTTATGGCTTACTGAAAGAGTATAACATGGTTATTGACTTTGGGAAGTAGATCTAGTGTCTATTATTTTATTGTACTCAAGAGGTCCTTAACCACATGGTGTTATCTGTTTTCTTCATGTGCTCTTTTTCTCATGAGAGGTAAACTATTTGTGGCTTGATGGTGGGAAAAGCAACCTATCAGAAAAGATTCTTTTATCTTCCACCGCTGAGGATAAGTTCCTCAATCTTTCAAGATTAATAATCATTGAATTATTGGGTCTAAATGCGAACATGAACAAATAAAGTTATATTTTATTAATTGTGAAACTATTTGAGTTCAAGAGCTGGCTTCTATTGTGGGTGCAGTTTTGACTCATGGTCTGTGCCTGAATTTAGTCTCCCTCTAAATGGTAACCCAATTTATATCCAGTTTTGGAACACTGAAATAGTTCAAAACAAGTTGTTAATCAGGAAAAGATATACTCTCTCTTTAAGTGTTGGGTTAACCCTGATCCAAGCTTCCAAGTCAAGCCTTTCTACCTATCCCCACCTTTTTGTGCCCAAACTGGCCCTCGTCATTGTAAAATCTATGAGATATTTTACTGGGCAGACCACACCAAGGAAGGAGGTTCCTATCTTGGTTAGCTGGTACAAGTTCAAGTAACCCATATCTTTGAGTGGCCTTTATCTTGGAAACCTTTAAACTTGACTAAACATATGGTGATTTTCTTTTGAAAAGCTCTATGGAGGAAACTGGTGGCTGCTAAATGTAGAGCCTCCAAAAGTGATTGGTTGACTAATCAAATGGCTATCAAATTCTCTCAAGTCTCTTGGAAAGGAGTCGAAAGGTGGCATACAGGTGCACCGACCATTTACTTTAGAAACACACCTAGTATTCCAGGCTTCCCAACTCAAGGCTTGGAAGCATGCTGCCAAAGCACTTACCAGCTGAACTGAATCCTAAGCTTGAACTCTCACTCACATGGCTTGGAGGTTTTGATTTAGTGGGCTGGACAGAAACTTGAGGAAGTTACATCAGAAGCCTTTAATCTCATCAGTAATCAGTCCCTGCTTTATACCTGGAGGGCAAGGTGAAAGATTGGTTGGTGGCAGTCTGGAAGGGAATGATAGAACTTCAGGCCATGGATGAATATCATGTATGTTAGGAGGGATGTGGAATAAGTAAGCAGGGTGTTTAATGCACGCAAGGTGTGTGAATGAAGATTAGGGTTGTATGGTGTAAATGTTAGAGGTTGTGGATCAAGGGAACTATATAACTGGAAGGGCGATAATGTGTTAGGCGTTCAGGGTTTTTTTTTTTCTTTTTTCTTTTTAATCTTCTTCAGATGTCCGTCATCCTTTCTTTTTATTATTAAATTGGCTTTACTCATTGTTCTACTGCATAAGTTTATATTTGATTTACTTGCATCATTTTCTGTTTCTGGCTTCAATCTGAAATATGCAATTGGAACTTAGAATTTCCTTTTCAAGAATTTACCTCAATATCCTCACATGTATTGAATGCCAAAATTTTTCAGCGAGGTAATATTAACTCTGGGGAGTTCCAGAACAGTATTGGAATTTCTTTGTGCTGCTAAGGAGAAGAAAAGGTCCTTCCGGGTGTTTGTTGCTGAGGGTGCTCCAAGGTCTGGGCTAATAACTAAAGCTAGCTTTATGCTTTGGTACAAGTTCATATTACACTTCGATTTTGTAGGTTCACTCTACCACTTATTTTTTCTAATGTTGACAGATATCAGGGTCATCTTCTTGCTAAGGAGTTGGTTACAAGAGGTTTACAGACCACACTTATTACTGATTCTGCAGTTTTTGCCATGATCTCTCGGGTGAATATGGTACGTGGTAGCCATAGTGTCTATACATATAAATGCGTTTTATTGCTACCCATGCATAAAGTGGAATGGACATGACAACTTATGAGATAGCTTCATCTTCAAATCTGTTCTGCAAGGTAATAGTTGGCGCTCATGCTGTCATGGCAAATGGTGGTGTCATAGCACCTGTTGGATTGAATATGTTGGCCCTTGCAGCTAAAAGGCATGCTGTTCCTTTTGTTGTACTAGCTGGAAGTCACAAGGTGATGATATGAATTAGTCTACTCTCAAGTTTGTATTTTGGTTAAATATTTAACAATCGAGCATTTTGCATTTCACCATCAAATTATTTCTTCATCAAAAGCAAAAGAATTGATGATGTCAATTTTTTCTGGTTTGTAAACCATGATAGACAAACCTGTTACCTTTTAGCTCCCTCTTAATCTTTCTCTTGAAGTAGTTTGATTCCTTATTTGGGAACTTTTAACCACTTAGAGACAGGAGGGGAAATGTAGAGAGTAGACATAATCAATTAGTTTTAACATCCATGCTTGGGTTCTTAATTGTATACAGCTTAGTGACTGAATTAGAGCTTTGGGTTCTGACTTTTGACTTCTATGATGAAGGTGGGCTAGGACTTTGAGTAACATGCTTGTCTCTTCATTGGGGGAATGAATGCACTGCATAACTACCTAGTCTGTCTATAGGAATGATGGGTGGGTAAACACAGTGGCATATACCATGTCTGATAGAATACAGCCATCAGTAGATAGAAACGAGGTAACAATCAAGAATAGGTAAAATTTTCATGTTCAACTTTCTAAACATGGATAAGGGAAAGCAATACTAGAAAATTTTATTCCTAGAAATGAAATGACACCATCCATGCTCATGTTATCATAATTTGTGGAAGGACCCATTCATTTGGTTAGACAATAAAAGGAACAAAAGTATAATTGATTGCCTTATAGTCATGCAAATTTACTTCTGTTATAATTAATTTGTTATAATTCTACCCAAAACTGATCTGTCATAGCTCAATTTCTTAAGACACTATAACCACCTCTGCTGAGGGTTGAGTTCACACCTCGACCTTAGTTTGAGTTGAAAAAGAAAATCTCTACCTGCATTGGCTTAGTCATCTCAAGAGAGAAAATAAGATGGAACGAGATTCCTCCTCTTGATTTGTTGTTGTACCAATCCTACTGGAAGAGAAGAGGCCATGCTGACTATTGGAGCGTGTTATTTCCTTCCCTCTTGATTTTTATTTTGTAGTCTCCTTCGGACAGGAGAGATTGTCTCCCTCCTTTTGTAATTTCTCTCAACGTTCATTTTGTAATTCTTTTGGTTTCTCCTTGCACCATCATGTTAATGAAACTCTGTTTCTAATTTTCGAATTTGTAACATAACAAAAAAGTGTAGATGAAGACCAAGAAGTCATTAACCCGCATTTACTACAAACCTTCCTCATCTTCCTTCATATACTCAAAAGATTCTTAGGGTACTGTTCTAAGCTGGCATGCTGCCTTCATTGCTTCATTCATTTATTTATTTCTCTTAATATGTGTTACTTATTTGACAGTTATGCCCTTTGTATCCTCACAATCCTGAAGTTCTACTTAATGAACTGAGATCCCCATCAGAGCTACTGGACATCGGTGAATTTTCAGATTGTATGGACTTTGGAACTAACACTGGTTCTCCTCTTCTTCACGTAGTTAACCCTACATTTGACTATGTGCCGCCAGCACTCGTTAGTTTATTTATTACTGACACGTAAGTCAGCACTTTTTGTTTGTTTTTTTTTTTCCCTTTTTGTGCTGCATTTCATTCATTTACCTCCCAACTCCTAGATAAAAGAGAGTGCTAAGGGAATATTGATTTTATGTGTTCTTTTTTTGTCTTGTGTAAATTATTTATTTTTGTGAATTCAATGATCTACATTATTAAGCAAGATACTTCGTTCTGCTTTTCTATTATACTTTTGGATTTCAATTTCTGGGTTTCATTTGATTTTTTTTTTCTTAGTACAAGAAAAAAAATGGAATATGGTTATCTTGATCGTGATATTATCTGTTTGTTACTCATTATTTACTCTTGCTTTGACAGAGGCGGCCATAACTCATCATACATGTATCGGCTTATTTCTGATTATTATTCAGCTGATGATTTGGTAATTAAACGAAGGCTTTCGACAGGGAGCTGATTGTTGCTCCCTTCTTATTCATCAAATATTTGGTAAGGCCGCAAGGGTTTTGGTTTGTCTTTTATTTTTTATTTTTATTGTTGCCCCCTTTATATATCTATTTTCCCATAATTGTATTATATTCATGTCAAATGGTAGAAAATTGATCAAATCAAGTAAAAGACCCATTACACTCTTAACAGCAAACGCCTTTCTCTGTTCTACCAGAAGAAAATAACTCAAGATCCTATTTTAATGTCAAAAGTTCCGATCAATAAGGCCATGATTGCATATTGGAAATAGGAACTGGAGAATTGGGCTCGTTTTCTCTTATTTATATTCTCAATGTTGAACATTTGATCATAAACAAATCTTCATTTGTTGGACCCATTCTAGTATCTATAATAGTCCAAGTCCATCGCTAGCAGATATTATCTTCTTTGGACTTTCTGTTTCGAGCTTTGCCTTATGGTTCTTAAAACGCGTTTGCTTGGGAAGGTTTTCACACCCTTATAAGAAATGCTTCATTCCTCTTTCCAACTGATATGGGATCTTACAGTATCAAGAATCACCCCAATTATTAGTTCGTGGAGAGGGGAATACCATTTTTATTTTTCACACCATGTTTCTTTTTTATTTCTCGTTTTCTCTACTTCCGTTCTACCAATTTGACATTGATTTCATTTCATGTGTGAGACTTCTGAGTAGTGCATGAAGCCTTATTCGAGTATGCCTTATCATACTTGCTTTGGAAGGGCTCTTATCGTTGTGAACTGCATCTTGACTTTGCAGTTGGCATGTTGGATATAGTGTGAACTTTTCATTAACATCAATGTCATTTCAATGGCGAACCGTTTCAGGATTGCAGTTAGCAACACGAGCAAGTTAATGAAAAGAATCACAAATTCTAGCATCTCAACCATGTAGAACCATCATCCTCGATTCAACAAAAGGGAAAGAAAAGGAACAGAAAAGGTTCAAATTTGGCTGAACGAAAAGCCTAAAGGTTTTGGCCATTTTGTGTTTATTGCGAGTTTTCTGGCTGGCTGAAGGGTGTTGAGTTGGTGTGGAAACAATGGAAATTGGTGGCGTTCTTTTTGTTGTTTACTTTGCTGCCAAAGCCCGAACATTGTGTTCTGCAGATCATTGGTAGAATCAATGAACTACAGAAAAATCAAGGTTTTTTTAGCATTTTGCACAAGAAACTTTGGCCATTTGAGATACTTTTTCCTTTTTCTTGTTTGTATCCCAAGCATTCTTTCATGTTGAGAATTCTGAGTTCTAGACAGGCAAGACCAATATGATAGGCCCATAGTAAAAAATGCATATTCTTGACATATCAGCGTTTCTTTTAAGCTCTTGGAATTTGTATCTTTGCCTTCAGTTCTTCAGGTTTATTTTGTTGGGGTTTTAATGCTATTTTGGTCATGTACTTTCTATATATTTTGTTTTTTTTTTAATTAATTTATTTAATTTTTGTGACACCAATAAATTGTATAACCAATTGATGTGAAATCCAAATAAGGACCCTTCTGCCCTAGGCTGCCTCCTCAATGCCAAGCTCTAAAACTCCAAATCAATTCAATTTCATTCCTTAAGAGAATAAATACACAACCAGCTTTGAAGAAATAATAACATAAGAATTATATTTAGTTCATTAAAGCTCCATTTTTTCTTATTTTAGTTTATGTTAAACTTAGTTTGATGTGAAATTAACATAAAAGATATACTTTACTATTCAAGTGAATTAGCATAAATTGAAAAAAAAAAAAAAAAGTTGTCGTAAATTGATGAGATTTGTTAGAAGATCGAATACAGATAAATCCAACTTAGAATATCAATTTAACCTAGAAGTCATTTTCAACCATTTCTCAAATCTGAAGAATGCTTGTGAAAGGAAGCAAAATGTGGTCGAATACTAGAGAATTTTCAATGCATATATTCCCTACCATCTAAAAGAATGTTATCTATATCTTGTAGGGGCCATGGAATTTGATACCGAACAAAATGAATGAATTATATATCTCCATACTTTTTTTTAGCTTTACAAAGTCCTCTTTATTCTTCTATCATGTGGCAAAATCAATCACTTAAGCTATAGAATCATCACGACTAAAGAGAATGTGACTCAAAGAACCACACACGAGATATTTTAATTTCCATCACCAAATCATACATCCATTAATGTCGAAACCAGCTTCCAACGCCTCAACTAATCTCATTAAACAAACATCTAATTGAACATATGGAAATATAAGATAGTAAATTTTAGGTAGGCAACAACTACATGAGGAAAAAAAAGTGAGAGTAGAAAGGGAAGTACAAACTAAAATAAAAATGAGCTCCAACCAAATCAAATGAGACATTAAAGGCTAATTACAAGAAGCTTCAAGAACTGAGTCCCACGTAGTGACATGATTCTACTGTCAACCCCTCTAAAGATTCTACTGTTCCTCTCAATCCAAAAGTCCCACAAAAACTAGCCCTTCTTACAAAAGACTAATGGAAAAGGATCTCCTCGGCCATTCAACAAACGTCTCCCCAACTAAGAAACTTGAAAATCGAACTCTTCGAAGATATAGCAAAAACACAATTCAAAATAGGAGGCCAAGATTCTCAATCGCACCAAACACCAAGTCTCAATCAAACTATACAGACACACAATCCAAGACATAATCCTTCTGTGAAGGAGAAGCTACACAAAAAAGTCACTTTCTTGGAAACTTTAACCTCTCATGACTTAACTCACAAGGAACTACATGAAAAATCTTCTTGAGGGCTATTGACTTTATGGGCAAAAATCTCCTCTCCCAGGTTAGAAGGTCAACGATGAAAACCTCCTCAGCCAAGGATAGAAGGTTAACGATGTTTGTCGCTTTCCTTTCGGTCAACGAATGACTGAACCCAGGATCAAGAGACAGATCAGCTGATAACAAAAAAAAAAAAAAAATGGAGGCTCCTACTATTAATACATAGAACAAAGTACCTCCTACAATAATGAACAAACCAACAAACAATGTTTAACCAACTTAGAATATATACAGGATGTTTTGCTTAGTACTTTTGAGTGTTTGAGCTAGTTTATGCAAGACAAACGTTTAATCTTACACTATTTAGTAGTTCTTTTTGTTACAAAATGTTTTTTAAGATAATAAAAACCTTAATCCCATCAAGAATGTTAAGCTTTTTATTTATCTAATTAATAGCATATTGAATAAATGCATAGATGAATTTTTGTTCAATTGGATTAACCAATGTGATTTGAGCACATAGATTAGGGGCATCTCATTTTAGTATGTGCGAAGGTAAATTTTATTCTAAAAATAAAATGAAATGAAAGTTTGATAAAATGACAGAATGGAATTTTATTCTCTTACTAATAGTTTAGTAATTCTTTATTTTATAAAGAGAACACTCCCATAAATGTGGTCTTTCTAGACAATGATCTCCCCAGAGTTTCAATAAGTTAATTTGTTTAGGCCAACATCACACCATAAGTCAAGTTAAGGATGAATAAATCAACATTCATACCATTACACGAATTAACACCCCGAGCTTCCAACATTGACGCCCTTTTCCTTTTCTCTTCTTGAGGCAAATGTTTCTGCAACGAGCAACGGGAAAGCGATTGTGGCGTCACAATGTACCTGGTTTTCCCAAAGAAGAAATCGATTAGAATCATAAATTTGTTACGTTTAGCAAAGGGAGACTGAAAAATAGAAAGAGCATTTAAGGTCATTAATGCAAGAACTGGAAGCCAAGCGAAATTCTAGTTAATGAGATCCGGCAACTTAAGAGTGTAAAATGGATGATTGAGGCAGACCTTGACAGTCTTGGCTGAATCTCGAATTTTTCCCCAAGAGACAGCCTCATCAGGGCGGGCTCCGGAGTCACTTCCATCAAATTCTTGGGCTGTATTGATGAAGACAGCATAGTCTGCACCATTGCGCATCATATTGGCATTGCAAATATGATGCTTGGGGAGACCCCCACCAAGAATTATCATTCCAGTCTTCCTTGGACTTGCATGGACAGCTTCACCATTCATTGACCTAATATCTGTCCAAATAACCAAATTCATCTTCATTTTCATTGTTTAACCTTGTAATATAAGCCCAGCAGCACCACCGCCAAGAACAAAAGGGAAAAGGGGGGGGGGGGGGGGGGGGGGGGGGGGGGGGGGGGGGGGGGGGGGGGGGGGGGGGGGGGGGGGGGGGGGGGGGGGGGGGGGGGGGGGGGGGGGGGGGGGGAGGACAACCTTGAATGACGTCAATAATCAATCCAGGATTACGAAAGGAGTGAAAATACAACATGTCTCCCAATGAGCCATCTGTTAATCCTGGACAGAAAACAGGGATGTCGTTCTGCATAATATCAAATGCACTATTTTAAACTACAGACGAAAAGGCAGGACAAGAAAATAAACTTACGAAATTCATACACAACTTAATCCAAAATGTGGCTGTCTGAACCAATAAAGATATTGACAGTTTCTTTATAAGTTTAAGAAAATAAAAACTCTAATTCTGATGGCCATTTGGTCAAATGATAATGCCAAACGCGAGAACATATGTAAGAGATTCTATTGAATTTTACCTTATATGCCCAATAAAGATACGAATTCTTGTCATTTATTTCCCTTCCCAAGCGTTGGATTACCTTGGACGGTGTCCATAACACATTCTACACAGACCATACAAAACAAATGAGAAAACTTAGAGACTTTGTTTAGAAGAGAAACAATTTCATTGTTAAACGAAATAAAAGGAGTTGAACACTTTTAATCATCAAAATGCACATTACATGAAAAGGCTCCAATTAGCAATTAAAGATGAAAGACTACGACCAGAAGTCTACATTTACACCAGTACAAAGAAATAAAAACAGCCAACTCTACGAGAGCCTCTAAGTTGGGGACCATATCTCTAGAAATTCAATCATTTCTCACAGGCCAAAGAGACCAAAAGAACACCCTGTTAAAAGTCAGTCATAACACCTTCATTGACCGCAAAAGGGATGAACACATTATGAGGTAAAACCAAACTCCATCCAAAAGCTTTTAACATAGAAGTCCAGTAACCATAAGCATAAGAACAGCAACCAAAGAGGTGTCCACGAGTCTCACTGTCAGACAAACACATAACACCAAAAAAGAGGGGGAAAAAAAAAAAAACAACGCGGCATTCGCCATTGTAATCGATCAACAGTATTAATACCTCCATGGCTGAACTCCCATAAGAAAACCTTTATTTTCCCTGGATAAATATCTTTCCCAATAAGAGAATAAAAATTGTTTGAAGTTGGATCATGTGAAAGAATTAAAATCTGCCATCAAAGAGCCAAAAGTAAAAGACTTCGAGGGAAATCCAAGAATCGTTTGAATTCCTCAAAACCAACGATAATATGACGTATTAGCTTATTATTAAGCCTAGATTCCGTAATTTGAACAAGTTTCAGGCTGTTATTTTTATATGTTTCTTTGTATTTTTACCTTTGGTAGTCAAGACTTGTTTCTAACCAGTTGTTTAGGTTGCTGGTTACTAGTTGGTTGTATTTAAAGGCATTGCAGCCTTATTTTTGAGTTAACACTTTGAATAATAAAGATTTCTCCAATATTTGTGAAGCTGATCAACATCAATTTTGGTATCAAAGCACCCTCGTAGTAGGGTTCTAATGGCTCGGAAGAAAAACCCACCAACAATAGGTGATGATTTGGTTCTAACTGATTTGAAGCTTCAATTCACAAAGTCCTTTCTCACCTTGAACATTGACAAAAAGATATTGTCAATCAAGAACTCTATTGAAGAAATGAAGGTCAGTATGAAAGAAATGCATCAGCTTATGACTCCGATGGCTCAACATTTCCATGGAATAATCCCACAGCCTAGTATAGTTCAAGAAGGAAAAAAGATTGAACGCAATGCTGCAAATAGTCAAGAACATTAGCCCCATACTAGCTAAAAAGTTCAAGAAAGCTTGGAGGGATTTCCATGTGAGGGAAATAGCACGGACAGAGGCACGACCGATCTCTTGAGTCAGTGCTTGATTTCCTTGTGATTTATCATCGAAAGCAATAGAAAAGATCTTACTCAATGGAAATGGAACACTTAGAGTAATTTCATTCAGGGAAGGGCAGTTGGTGGTGACAGAGGTTAGAGTGTGGGGGTTTTCCTGTATTTGAAGTTTTTCTAACACAAGGATAATAAAAGAAAATAATGAATCCAGAGAAAACTTGAGAAATAATACAAGGAAAAACATGAATATAATCTTTAAGTAAGTACCTCTTCAAGTTGTTCCTTTAACATCTGATCCAAAATTGGGATAATCCAGTCCTCAAATTTGCAGTAGTTATCATTAGGGACCAATAAATTACCAATGCGATTCAACCCTTTTGAACGAAGGACTGCTCCAGGAAGAGAAAAGTCACCTTTGTAAGTGGGAGCAAGACATTTTATAAGATCTTCTTCAATACCACCAGTAGTAGTGACAATCACATCAACCTGCAGTGAAATTGAAGTAGCCCCATAATTGGAGGAGCCTAAATTCAAGTTAAAATGCAGCATAGCCAAAGACCTTCAAAAGCTACGAGCTAAAAGGGGATTAAAAAAAAGGTACATAATCACCCATGTGGAAAACATGCAACAAACAAATTTCGATGCAACTAATTGATTAGCTGACGTTTCTTTGCAACTAATTAAAAACTAGAAATGCATTATTTTATTTTATTTTATTTTTATTTATTTATTTATTTTTTTTTTTTTTTGTAAATTTGATACATCAATGAAATTGTTTCTTATCATTAAAAAAAACTATTTGTTTAGGTCACGCATTCAACATCCTCCCACATTTTTCTCTAACCATAATTTGCCATGAACTATGGCATTAGATAAACCTCTAATCATTCTTAAATATTACTGAACGGAGTATGCATTTATACTGTGTTAGATGATTCTTGCTTCAGCTAACTTATTTAACACAGAGAAAATGGAATATTATACTTAGAGTTTGTTTGACAAACTATTTTCAAAGCAAGTTTTGCTTTTGTATTTTATAATTTTTCATGAATTGTAAAAGTAGTGGTATTGTGCATATTAAAATTATTATCCACAAACCTGTGATTTTTACGGGATGATAATTTCATTTGTTTAAGATCAAATAATACATGAAAACATGCAAAAGGAAAATAAGAGAACAATAACTTCCAAAAAATGATTATCCAAGCACATTTTCCTAATTTTTGTTTTTAAAAAAATGTAAAACTACGATGAAATCAATTCCCAAACAAGTTATTGGCATCCAGCATAGCAGTAGTTCAACCAATCAAGTTATACTAGATTGAAAGCATTTTTTAAACAGAGAAACACTGGATTGATCAAAATGAGATATCAAGTCTAACTCACCATATGATGTTCAACAAGATAACGAATTGTGTCTCTAACACCAGAAGAAATAAGATTAGAAGTGAAACCAAGAAACACTTTGCACCTCGTTGACTGCCTAAAGATTGGATCCTTCTCCTCCTCAGAGCAATGTTCTGTTATATTCTCATCAGCAAGCCTCCAATCTATCTTCAATCCAACAAAGTATCATTTCTCAAAAGTAAATCATCAATGCAAAGATTTACAGGGATGAGATATGTTATAAACATCCCATTAAAAAAATAATAAAGGAACCTCCAGTTGAGATAAAAGCTTACCATTTGATTGATGATTTCAATGGCATCTCCTAAATTGGAGGCTTGAAATCCAGTGGAGACCATGGAACTTAGAAGCTTGGAATAATTTACTCCATGATTGAAGTCATATCCCTCAATTTTGATGCTTTTCCCTTCAAGAGTCTCTGATTTCTTAAAAACCGTGGTGTGAACAGATGACAAAACATTATTATTCTCCATCTGACGCAACTGCCTGCACAATGTATTTACATGAATATGGAGCTGGGAACTGTATAATAGATTTGTTGTATGCCTGTACCACCCTACCACTTTGAAAAAGAAATCCCAAACAAGAAAAAAGTTCCACCCCATATGTGCAGCAGATATACTAAAACTAGTTGTCTCAGGTCATTGACATCCACTGGTCACCATTTCATCAGTTCAGACAAATTCAAGTTATTCAACTCACAGAATCCCAGAAATTTAAAGCTAATAGGAAATATTTACATTTACCTAATCCAAAGAAACCCCCGTCTCCATGATATGGGTTATGGTTTAAGAACTATACAGGAAAGGAACAAAATCCCTAGTGAAGTGATTCATTTTACCCTTCCTTTTAAAGGGAAAAAAACAAAAACAGCAATAAAAGCATACAAAAGGGAAATCCTTGTGATTAAAGTTGGCACCGTGATTTCTCTCTATCTTATTTTCCAAAAAATTATTCAAGAGACATTTTGGGGCACAGCTGAAAATCACAACTGCAAACTCACAATCATATCACGATGTCAACAAAGAAGCAAATCTCAAATTGAAACCATCCAAAAAGACTAAACACAAACTTCAAACGATTGTTACGGCATATATAATTCCCAAAGAGTGAAACAATAGAACTCTTTTGTGGAAACGAGCAATCAAAAATCGTGATGGAGAGAGACGAAAAAAGTAACACTAATGAAAAGGGAGAGAAACTTAGGTAAGAAGAAAAACAGAGAGTTTGCATGAAAAAAGAGAGAAATTTAGGGCACTACTATAGAAACAGAGTTCTCTTCTCGTTAAGGTGAGAAAATGAGAAAAATATTTCCATTCCTCCTCTCCTCTGTATCCAGTTCACTCTATCCTAACATACCGTTGATTGTTGTTATTTCCAGTAAATTCCAACCACCATTGGTGATTGGTTAATCTAAGGGAGAGAACTTCAACTTTCACAAAAAGCTCAGTCTTCCTCGCTACCATAATTTCAATAAAAAAAAACTCATCAAACCTAGCTATAATCTACAGCTATAAACATGCTGAGCTTGTTCTGCAATTACAACAACACCTCCTTCCTTTTATGAGAAAGATCCTAATTTGAGTTGTTGAGAACAAAAGCTTAGATGAAGTTTGTGAGAATACCAGTAACAGCAGAGAAGAAAGTCAGTGCAAACTAATACGAGTGAGCGGCGGCGGCACGAGTGGAGAGAGCCGAGCGCGGCACCGGTGGTACTGAACGGGAGAGAGACGGCCGGCGAGAAGAGGGCCGCCGTGAAGAGTGAGATAAAGATGAAAAGGATCGGTGTTACACTTTGGTTCCCGCTTTTATTTATTTTTATTTCGAATAAATTACATTTTTAGTTCTTAAAAATATGATTTTGTTTATTAATTAATTAATTTATTATTATTATTATATGTCTTATCAACGCCAAATAATGGAATAAAACTTTTTAAAAAATCATTTTAAAGATTATTTTTTTTACTCGTAAGATCTATCACCAATAAATTAGACACATTTTTTTTTTCGATATTAACTATCAAATTAGGGGCATTTCGTTTGTAGCCTCGAGACGCTGTCAAATCGAGACGTTTCGTCAATAAGAGCTTTAGATTTATATTTTTTAAACCGACAAAAACCGGTCAGTTTCTAGGAGTCGGGGACGACAGACGTTCTTACGTACTTGTTTTCTCTCAATTTCTTACGTGCCATGGAAATATTCTCCATGATGGCTCTGTCTAATTATCAGGAAAAAATATATCATAAACCGCTCTCCTATTACTCTAGAACCATAAACATTTTTATGTACTTGTTTTCTCTCAATTTCTCGTGAGTCAGGGGCGAAGATATTTCCCATAACGATCCCGTTTAACTATTAGGAAAAAATCTCTCATAAAATCACTCCCCTGTTACTCGGGGACCATAGACATTTTTACATGCTTGTTTTCTCTCCACTTCTTATGGGTCCGGGTTGGAGATATTTCCCATAACAACTCGTTTAACTATCAGAAAATTTTTTCTCATATATCCCTGGCCTATTACTCGAAGAGACGCAAATTAAATAGACATTTTTGAGTAACATGTTTCCCTTACTTTTATTTAACTAAATTAAATAATACAAAAAAAAACATTTAAAAACTTATTTATTTTAAATAAAAAAAATGATTAAAAAAAATATAGATTTTTATATAAATAATTTAATTATATACGTTAATTAATTTTTAACATTTTTGAAATATTATAAATTATTGACGCAATTTGAAGCATTTATTAAATATTTAAAAAAATGGTTTCCTTTCGCTCAGTCTTAACCACATATAAACCCAGAAATTTCCCATTTGGTTTAATCTTCATGCAATGGCTTCTGTTTCTTCTTCATGCCTGGCTTCCCTCAACCCCATATCCTCTTCAAAACATTCTCTCTTCATTTCCAGAATTTCCACCAAGAAATTTCCATCAAGATCTTTGAAGTTCTCGTCATCTCCAAATCCACCAAGTCCTGACACTCCTCGATCCAATTCACCTGAAACTGTGTCCGATGCCGCACAGCCTCCGGTCGACCCTGTCAAGGCCGCATTCGAGCAAGCGATGGCCTACAAGAAATTGAAGCAATCGGACTCCAATTTGACGAAGGTTGAGGGTTCTGAAGGCAACTCTGTCGGGGCTGGTAAATTAGGTTTATCGAGTTTTGATGGGGATGATGAGCAGAGGAGAATGCAGGGTGGGGTTATGATTGTGATGGAGAATGCGAACGAAGTTAAGGAGGAAACGAGGGGTGTAATTGATGGCACGAACAGTGAGGAAATTAACACCAGTGCAGGTAAATTTTGAAAATGTTGAGTTGAATTAGTGGCTGGAATCCGATTAAATCTGGTACGACATTATCCACTTTGAACATAAGTTCTTATATCTTTTCTTTTGGTTTCCCAAAAGGCCTTGTACCAATAGGGATCTATTCTCATCCGATGTGGGACTCCTCTCCTTTCAATTCTCCACAATCCTCTCCTCGAACAAAGTACATCATAAAGCCTTCCCTTAATCGAGGCTCGACTCAGAACCCTCGAACAAAATATACTTTTTGTTTGACACAATTTTGACTATACCTTTGAGGCTCACAACTTCTTTGTTCGACATTTGAGAATTTTATTGATATGACTAAGTTAAGGGCATGACTCTGATAAAGGGGTGGACACGGGCTGTGTGCCAGCAAAGACATTGGGCATCGAAGGGGGGATTGGGGAGTCTCACATCGATTGGAGAAGGGAATGAGTGAGTGCCAGCGAGGACGTTGGCCCCGAAGGGGATGGATTGTGAGATCCCACGTCGGTTGAGGAGGAGAACTAAGCATTCTTTATAAGGGTGTGGAAACCTCTCCTTAGTAGACGCGTTTTAAAAATCTTGAGGGGAAGTCCGAAAAGGAAAACCCAAAAAGGACAATATGCTAGTGGTGGGCTTGGGCCGTTACATGGAATTCTTCTGATTTGGTTAAAATTGTAATGTGCGATAGTTGCTGCCTATGTATGGGGTGAACAAGCTGTTATTCTGAACTTGGATTGAACACTTTGTTATCAAGGAATAGGGCTGTGATTTTATTTTCGTTTTTCTGCAATTCAAGAGTGAGTATTTAGCTGTCACTCGTTACTTCCTTGGATTTATGTTCACGTTGTGATATTATGATGATCTTATATTTTTCATGTTCTAATAAAGGAAAGTGTACCTGTATGTAACTCGGGTTGATATTAATGGTTAAAGTGATCTTCAGGATTGAAGGGCAAAGAAAGTGAAAATTTGGGAAACAAACAAAAGGGTGATAAGAAGGGAGGGCTTTCTATCTCAAGCATTGATTTTGTGGGGCTTGGCTTTGCGGATAAGAAAAAGACCAGGGGACTGCCTGCTGGATTGGTTCCAATGGCAGACCCCTTCTCAGGAGAAGACTTGCCTGAAGTGGAAATAATTGTAGGTGATACGAGCAAGTTCAATGCTGCAACAGCATCCGAAAGTAAACCAACTCAGGAAGACGATTCCGATATTTACAAACCCAAGGTTTCTACATGGGGGGTCTTTCCTAGACCCGGCAACATTTCGAAGACGGTAAATTCCTGCTTTTATAGTGCTTTTGGCAAGAAAAATTCCATGAGTCCCATTTTGTTGGAAAATATTATGTGCATTTTATCTTCAGTGAATGTGTTTATCCTAGTAGGGATGCCTCTGATTTATTTTTTCCATGCTAAACTTTTTGCTACCACACTTCTGCAATGTAAGTCAAGTGTGGATGTACAAGGGATTGAAGCACAAGAGAGGAAAGAATGGAAGATTGTTGTTCCTTTTTGTGGCAATTTGCTTATCTTTCTTCTTTTTTTTTCAGCTTCACCTTAATCTTGTGATATACTAGTTTCTTTAGGTTCAAGATTTAATACAGGAAATGACCTTATAAATTAATTTCTTTGATTAGAGGATGATATAATACCGGTAATAGATTGACTAGACTTGATATATCAATTGAAAATCCTGAATACATGTTTACCTCTTGACAACAAAGTTTAGGTTCCCTTGTAGTCCGACCTGATGAAGAAAAAGCTCTCCTCTAGATTCTTTTGAAACGTCATGAATGTTGAGGATTGTTGGGAGGAAGTCCCACATTGGCTAATTTAAGGTGTTGATCATGGGTTTATAAGTAAGGGATACATCTTCATTGGTACGAGGTCTTTTGGGAAAACCAAAGTGGACAATATCATACCATTGTGGAGAGTTGGGATTCTTAACATGGTATCAAAGCCATGCCCTTAATTTCGCCATGTCAATAGGGTCCTCAAACAAATGTCGAACAAAGAAGTTGTGAGTCTCAAAGATGTAATCAAAAGTGACTGAAGTGTCGAACAAAGGGTGTATTTTGTTCGAAAGCTCTAGAGAAAGGAGTCGAGCCTCGGATTAAGGGGAGGCTGTTTAAGGACTCCATAGACCTCAGAGGAGGCTCTATGTTGTACTTTGTTCGAGGGGAGGATTGTTGGGAGGAAGTCCCACATTGGCTAATTCAAGGGGTTGATCATGGGTTTATAAATACTATACATCTCCATTGGTATGAGGCCTTTTGGGAAAATCAAAAGCAAAGCCATGAGAGCTTATGTTTAAAGTGGACAATATCATACTACTGTGGAGAGTCGTGATTCTTAATGTGATTCTTAACAATAAATGTTGTTCACATCTTGATTATCGTGTGTGAAAGGTATGTTACACCTCAAGGAGTTGGCAACAAGGTTGTTTAGCAACAATGAGCAACAAAGTACCATTGTTCACTATAAGAAAATATGTACTTGAAAAAAATACTGCATCATATATGCTAGAGTACTTAGTAACAAGTGAACGATATGATGAAACATATGCATACCAACATCATGTACTAAGTAAACGATATTATGAAACATATGCATACCAACATCATGCAGAAGGTAATGTACATTCAACAAGTACCAATAAAATTACTGTGGCAACCTCTTGAGTGTTTACTGGCATATTTACTTAATTGATAATGACCACAGTGGAAGCTACCTGAAAGGGAATGCTTTAATAATGGTATAAGATTCTGATAAATTTCATTAATACATATGTAGAAGTTTGGTATTTCAATATTTTAACTAAGATCTTGTTCACGAAGGAACATTTTTGAGAATTCTCGTATTTTCCTTTCAGTTTGGAGGTGGAAGAACTATACGCCCTGGAGAATTGCTTGAGACGGATGAAGAAAAAGCAGCAAAGGAAGCACGCAGCAGAGAGCTGATTGCTGCATACAAGAAAAAATTTGGCTTGACCATAGATCCTAAATTGAAGTCTGAATGTGAAGTGGTGAGCCTATATAGGAAAAAAAGAAGAAGAAGAAGCATTATTAACTTTTATTTGTTATGTCTTTCTTCCTTGACAAAAACTAACACCTTTTAGTTTAGTTATGTGTTCTTCATTTATCAATTTTAAATATTATTGCTGTGTAATTTGTTTCAATGATTACATATGGAAGTTTTCTCATATTCTTATTAGCGTCTCATAATCTCAGGCACTTAAGGAAGGCGATTCATTGATGAACATTGGAAGGCTCGAGGAAGCGTTACCTTATTATGAGTCAATTATGGATAAACTAATCTTCCAGGTAGATTTTGGTGCTTTAAGTTTATGAACAGCTTAGAAGAATATATTTGGTCAAATGCTATATCAAACTCACTCAAATAACCTTGCGCACCTTGCATGATGCGCAATGATAAATTTCTTCCGTTCCTTAAAATGCTAATAGGTACCGGGGACTTTTGTTTATTTAAAATAGAGAGAAAAGAGTGCCTAGGCACCATACATAAGCTACCTTGCAAATTTGAGACGGCTAGTTCTCTCGGTTAGGAATCACAAATCTCTACAATGGTACGATATTGTCTACTTTGAGCATAAGCTCTCATGACTTTGCTTTGGGTTTCTCGAAAAGGCCTCATACTAATGGAGATGTATTCCCTACTTATAAACCTATGATTATTCCCTTAATTAGCCAACGTAGGACTCCCTCCCAACAATCCTCCCCTTGAACAATGTACACCATAGAGCCTCCCCTAAGGCTTATGGAGCCCTCGAACAGTCTCCTCTTAATTGAGGCTCGACTCCTTTCTCTGGAGCCCTCGAACGAAGTATACCCTTTGTTCGACGCATGAGTCACTTTTAACTACACCTTCGAGGCTAGAGGCTAGCAATTTCTTTGTTCGACACTGAGGATTTTATTGACATGGTTAAATTAACGGCATGACTCTGATACCATGTTAGGAATCACGAATCTCCACAATGGTATGATATTATCCACTTTGAGCATAAGCTCTCATGGCTTTGCTTTGGGCTTCCCCAAAAGGGCTCGTACCAATGGAGATGCATTCCCTACTTATAAACCCATGATCATTCTCTTAATTAGCCAATGTGGGACTCCCTCCCAACCATCCTCAACACTCTCCCATACACATGCCTCTCCCGTCCCTCCAACAAAATATATTCCATCCGGGATAACCAATTAACTAATAAGGAATAATTTTCCTTTTTGTCCCTTCTAGAATAAACATTTCCAATAGGATGCCTTACAAAAACCTGGTTTGTTCTCAGCCAACTATCCAGTTCCCTTCCTAGGTTCTCCTATTTAAATGAAAAACACTTTCAACAGGGTAGTCTCAATCTGGTGGGCTATTGCTTTACTGCACATCATTAAGGTTTCTAGACTAACCTTTAGATATATTAGATGTTTGTTTATGTTAAAAATATATACATGCATACAAATTAGATATAATTATTCATATGCTTTGTTTCTTTTTTCTCTAAATATTTTTGTTTATATGAAAATAATGTTTGTTCAGAGTGAGCTTCATGGAGTGGCTGCTTTGCAATGGTCTATTTGTCAAGATTCCCTTAGAAGGTATGTTCACGGTCTTGTAATAAACTTAAAAACTTCATAAGGCCCGATTAAATAATCAATTTTTGCATGTAAGGTTAAGCTTTTAAGCAAAGATCAGCTCTGCATGCATATCTTTTTATATTATCTCTCTTTCTCTCTGATTGAAAATACGATTTGCAACCTATGAAACGGGTAATTTAAATGCTTATTGGATCTAGAATTTTGTTGTTGTATTAGTTAATTCATTTGCTTGTTATGTTGTGCACCAAGAAATGATGCAAGTATGAACAAAAAGTTACTCAAAATGTATTTGAGAATTTTTGGTTGACCTAAAAATGTTATATCCAAAGTATGAGTTAGATATATGTGGGGATACTAAAGAAAGGAGGGAAAATTAGAGTATGAAGCTAAAAACTGAGGAAGAGCACAAAAAATTGGCTACTTTTGGGTTTATGATATGATTATTACCATGCTTAACAGATCAGATGAGGCTCGAGAAATGTACGAGAAGCTTCAGTCTCATCCAACTCCTCGAGTGAGCAAGAAAGCAAGGCAGTTCGTATTTAGTTTCCAGGTAACTACTAATGACGTCAAATATAAAACATTTAGTTCTTCAATTGTGAGATCCCACATCGGTTGGGGAGTAGAACAAAACACCCTTTATAAGGGTGTGTGGAAACCTCTCCCTTATAAAGGGTATTTTAAAAATGCGTTTTCACACCCTAGCAGACGCGTTTTAAAAACCTTGAGGAGAAGCCCGAAAGGGAAAGTCCGAAAGGGAACGCCCAAAGAGAACAATATTTGCTAGCGGTGGGCTTGGGCCGTTACAAATGGTATCAGAGCCAGACATCGAGTGTTCCAGCGAGGAGGCTGTTCCCGAAGGGGGTAGACACGATGCGGTATGCTAGTAAGGACGCTGTGCCTCGAAGGGGGGTGGATTTGATGGGGGTCCTACATCGGTTGGAGAAAAGAACGAGTGACAGCGAGGATGTTGGGCCTTGAAGGGGGGTGGATTGTGAGATCCCACATTGGTTGGGGAGGAGAACGAAACACCTTTTGTAAAGGTGTGGAAACCTCTCTCTAGCAGACGTATTTTAAAAACCTTGAGGGGAAGCCTGAAAGGAAAAGCCCAAAAAGGACATATCGGTTAGCGATGGGCTTGGGCTGAATCAATGCTTATTTATAATGTAAAAGTAGCTTCAAGCTGTCTGCTTATTTATAATGTAAAAGTAGCTTCAAGCTGCAAGGACATGGATGCTAATGCTTATCTAACATGCGTACTTTGAGCAGTTTACTTATTCTGATAACTTAATTAATGGTTCGAAGTTTGAAGTGTTTCTTGTAACTTTCTGATGGTTGTATGGATTTTGAACCTTTTTTCAATGCACAGGCAATGGAAATGATGAAGGTAACAACAAGCTCGTATTTCGTTTCAAACGACAGTAACTACCAGAACTATTTTGAAGCTTTTCTTGATAACAAACCGACCTACTCGACCGAGGAGTCTGGAATTGGGGAAGGTGTACTCAATCAATCCCTTCCCTATGTCATTTTTCTTCTTTCTCCTATTCTTCTGGTGCTACTTGCTGCTTTACAAAAGAGAATATAACGGGATCAATCCCCTTTGTATATATTGAGGCATTCTTTTATGCTGTACAGAATAGAATATAAAACCATCACATAGGAATAGAGGTAAAAACATGATATAATGGGATTGATGTCCTTAAATTGTATATATCAAAGTATTCTGCCCTGAGAAATGATAATGCTGGATCCTTAACAGATTCAACAACTTTTCCTTTGAACGCTTGAAACTAGAAATGATCTGTTGCTTAGTATCTGAGTTCATAATTATGAAAGCATTGGTTTTATTTGTAATTGTATGATGATAGTCTTTAAAACGCGTCTGTTAGGGAGAAGTATTCACACCCTTATAAAAAAAATGTTTTGTTGCCCTCTCCAACAAATGTGGGATCTCACAAGTACTACCTTAGTTGGGGAAGAGACTCAAAACTCTCGAGAATGTTTACCCCTTATTTTGCTTATAGTTCAGCATTAAGAATCCCTCTTATTTCCTTCCATTAATAATGGCCCATGTGCTTTGGATATGTCGGTGTCCATTAGTTCTCATGCAACTCGTAGTATTGGTCCATATTCCAATAAAAATAGCTCACGAAAAAAGTTCAGGTGTGACGAGGGTAAAGATATTATTTTCATTTATTGTTTATTGTCTATTGTCTATCATATCATGTAAGAGCCCAAGCCTATTTGTCCTTTTTGGACTTTTTCTTTTGGACTTTCTCCTCAACGTTCCCTTCTCTAACTAATGTGAGATCTCACAATCATTTGTAACAGTCCAAGCCTATCGCTAGCAGATATTGCCTTCTTTAGGCTTTTCCCTCAAGATTTTAAAACGCGTCTGTTAGGGAGATGTTTCCACACTCTTATTATGAATGATTCGTTCCCCTCTTTAACGGATGTAAGATCTCACAATCCACCCCCCTTGGGGGCCCATTTTCCTCGCTGGCAGACTGTTCGATAACCTAGCTCTGATACCATTTGTAACAACTCAAGTCCACCGCTAGCAAATATTGTCCTCTTTTGGCTTTCATTTCTGGGTTTTCCCTCAAAGTTTTAAAATGCATCTGTTAAGGAAAGGTTTCCACACCTTTATAAGGAATGCTTCGTTCCTTTCCTCAATCAACGTGGGATCTCACGTATCAACATCCTTTTATTCGTAGGCTAAGATACTCTAGTTCATGTGCAGATATAAAACAGATAAGTTGGATCCAATCTTTTGGCACAAGGTAGGCTCATTGAGATCCCAATGATGGACAGCAGCAATTAATCCCTAGACTTTTCAGCTGTATTAAGGCCTACACCACACTGTTCTTCTATACTCATTCCACTTTTTTTGTTCAAACCTCCCATCTTCATTTCATATTCCTTTCAAGTTCTGTTGCATCATTTAGATGGATAATTGATCTTATATCTGGACACTACCTTTTTAAATTTTTAAGGGAATCTCTTTGTTATGTTATGAATCATGAACTCTCTTAATGTATGCATAAAGTATAGCTGCACTTTTGATTAAGGTTGCTAGAAACAAAACTTTCCATGACCACTTCAAATTAAGAGCTCCAAAGCTGCCCATTTTGGACCTCTTTTGATTAAGCACATGCAGGAGGAGTTGGTAGCCTTTCATGTTATTTGCTGTCTTTGTTTGCTTTAACAGATTGCCCTCTTTAAATAAAGTGGGGAGGGGACATTGTTCCTACCATAATATGAAATTTTGAATCCATCTTTGTACTATGATAAGACTTCTAGATCTATGGTAATCTAGCCAACTTTGTTCGTATTATTGTATTGTAACCCTCCTTCTATTTATTTATATTTACGCAGAAAAGTTTTTTCACCGTTAACAAATATTGTTCGTTTTGACTTATTACATATCGTCGTTAGTCTCATAGTTTTAAAACGCGTCTTAATGAGTTAAAGTGAACAATATTTGCTAGTGCTGGGCTTTGCCTATTACAAATGGTATTAGAGACAGACATCAAACAGCATCTAGTGAGTAATGAAGTACTCCTTATAAACTTGTAGTAACATCTCTCTAGTAGGCGTGTTTTAAATTCGTGAGGCTAACAGTGATACGTAACAAGTCAAAGGGGACAATATCTGCTAGCAGTGGACTTAGATAGATTGTTATAAATACGCAATCAAATATCATACACAACTTAGAGTTGCTAAGTTTCAAAATGCTTTGGGTTTCTCAAAAGGTTTCATACCAATGGAATTAGTATTCATCCCTTATAAACCCATGATCATTCCCTAAATTAGCCGATGTGGTACTTTTATCATCCAACAACGACATTTATTATAATTATTATTATTTTAAAAGCTTGATTATTTAGTTGGAATAATTGCTTCATATGCCAATGATTAGGATGAACTATCTTAATTATCAAATATTAGGAAAATAAAAGGTGAGAGGATCACAAAAATAAAATAATAGAGCACATCCTTTCACACCCAAAAAAAAAATAATAAATAAATAAAAAAAAAAATATATATATATATATAATGATAAATGAAAAAAATAATTTTTTTTTCTTTATACAAATGGAAATTACAGAAAATATTAAAGTTGAGGAACTAAAATTGGTTATACATTATTAATTTAATTTCTTAATACAATTAAAATTAAAATTTAATATTAAATTTGTAACGTTTTAGTATATGACATTAAAAAATTTATCAAAATTAAATGTCGGTTTTTATTATTTAACCTATAAATTTTATAGCTTATAAATATATGTTTCTTAACTAATTACCGATTTACCTTTGTAGTAAATTTCATTAACTCTTAACAATAATTTTTAAGACTATATAAAAAAAAAAAATAAAGAGATTAAATCATTGAAATTAAATTATTACTTTAATAAAAATTAAATCTTTTTTTTTATTAAATATAAAATTATAAAATTAATCAGTCCAATCATAATTTAAATATAAATCTCTAAAAAAGAATGTAATTATTACAAAATTCTATAATTAAATTATATTTCAATTTTGAAAATTTTAAAAAAATTATAATTATTTTGGCATTTTATTTTGCCTTTTTGAGTGTTCATGTAAAAGAAGTATTATGGGGGAACAACATAACAATTTCTTTTAATTATATGCACGTGTAGGAACTCGAGCGTCTAACATTTTGATTAAAGTTATACGATATAGTCTTAATCAATTTGAACTATGGTCAAGTTGATGACCAATATTGAATCTTTTTCTTTATTATTATAGTTCAGTAACAATTCTTCGTACCCAGTTACTAAAACCGCTGTTATTGCTTATTCGTTTATAGCCCAAAATTATTTTTAACTGTATTTTTTCACTCATATTTCTAAAGCATTTCTCTCAAACATAACTCCGAGATTCGAACATTGTCTATGAAATCTGAATTCATAATTGTTATCCAGCTGCGACTGTTACACCTAACTTGAGCGATTCTTAAATTTTCAATAATACAGAAGGGAATATTTGAAAACCTCTTTTTTTTTAAAAAAAAAGAAAAAGAAAATTCCATATTTATTAGTAATATTTTTTTACTTTTAAAATTCAATTTATTGTAAAGTTAAAAATAATAATAATAATAAATAAATATTTTAAGAGCAAAATTCATCAATTTTTATTTATTTATTTATATTTTTGTCTCTTCCAAATTACGCTACTCAAAGTTGACGAAGCGTTGATAAAAATGCAAATAAAGCAAGCATAAAAAAATAATTTTAAAAAAATTTATTTATTATGTAAATGGACCAGACGGCCCAAAAGTGGGGCCCACGAGCAGCCCACTAAAGCCGACCACTTTTGCTTCTTTTGTAAAGCCGCGGCACCGCCCATTCCCCTCCGTCCACGCTGGAATAATCTTACGCCAATAACTAAAAGTATGACACGTACGCTTCTTTTTTTTTTTTAATGTTTTGTGAAATGACTATAATACCCTTCCTTTGTAATTTTATGCTAAAACTCAAATCAAATTATTTCTAATCTTTTTTTTTTTTTAAAATTCAAACAATAAAATATTTTAGTTTGAATTATTCGACTTATTTATTTAATTGAAATTACATATCAAAAAATTAAAATTTTATTTTTAAACGTGATATCGGAAAATAATTCTAAAATTAAATAAAATTAAAATAAATTTATGTATAAATAATGGTAAAAAAAAAAAAAAAAATTTAAAATGGAGTGGTTCGGTTAATTTTTAAGAAATTGTGGGCTAATAATAATAATTAATTAATAAATAAAAACTTATAATAATTTGTGAATTATTTTAAATTATTTTAAAAACTATTTATTGAAACTAATACTTTCTTGCTATTTGTATTATTATATTACTATGGCCTAACGGATGAGCATGAGTTGAATTCGTTGAAGCACAAGAACAAGAACAACAACAACTTATCAAGTCGCATACATAATCTGACCACAAAGGGCCCCGCAATCGCCAAACTATTTCCTCTGCCATCGTAAGCTTTCAAATTTTATCTCATAAAATCATCATAGTCTTTGCAAGCCCACCGACTGTTCTCCCAAAGCATGCTGAATTACACGAAGAATCTTTTGGTTCTCTTTGGTTTTCACGATTCTTCTTCCTCTATGACTTCTCTCTGATGTAGGATTTTCCCACAAGGTTGCTGGGTTTCTTCTAGAGATTGAAATTCCCCTGTTTTTTTAAGAGGAGAGAAATCGTTGAATCAAACCCAGTTTGGAAGATGGTTCAGAGAACGGCGGTGGGCAAATTTGGAGTTCAAATTGATGGTGTTAAATCGGAGAAGAGAGTTGCGATCTTCAAAACTAGTTCTTCTGGTTGTTGTTGTGCTTCTTCTTCTCAGAACACAGATGGTAAAAACAGAGCAGCTGATTTGAAGATGAAGATGAAGAAATCACGAGCTATTCAGCTTTCGGATTTCGAGAGCTTAGCTTCATCGCCGATTAGAAAGAACGTAACGCTGCCTGGTAAGCCGCCGCCGACGACGCCGCCACCGACTGTTCGTTCTAATGTTTTGGAAATCAAACAGAAGAAGAATCAGCAGCCGTCTCCGATTAGAACCAGCGGTGGTTCGCCCAATTACATGAAATCTACGAGCTGTTTCGATGCAAGGAAAGAGGTTTCTCAGGTGAGTTCTCGGAAATCTCGAATTTGTAGTGATAGTAAGAAACCCGGAAGGAGGAATTTAGAGAACTCTGTTCATGTGTCTGTTACTGGCTTTAAGCCCACCAAGTGTTTGACAAAATGCCCCAGTGTAAAACTGGCTAGGACTTTAACGAAGACGGCGAGCTTCAAGAAGGCTTCTAGGGGGGCTCTGTGTGCTGACATGAATTCACACAGAGCTACCTGTTCTTCGACTCTCAAGGACACTAAGTTTCCAGCATACCTCACGCTGAGCCCTGGTGCAACCGAGTCTGAAGGAACTTCAACCATGAAAGTCTGTCCTTATACTTACTGCTCGCTTAATGGCCATAGACATGCTCCTCTGCCTCCCTTGAAGTGCTTCTTGTCTGCTAGGAGACGTTCATTGAAGACTCCGAAGAATCTGAAAGTTGAGCCATCTGGTTGTGGGGTGCAAGGGGAAGGTGCTGCTGGTGGGAGAATGGTAGAGGCTTTGGTAAACGATGGTGGGTTGAGTTTTTTCATTGAAATTTTTGCTGAAAATAAGGTTGATCGTGCTGCTGGTGCTTCTTCTTCTACTGTGGATGATAAAGCCGAGTCGAGTAATGAAGACAATAGGAAACCAGTTGCAGATAACATCTCTGATGAATCCATGGACTTACATGGGGATGATTATGAGGATGATGCTGGTTCGTTGGGGACCGAGATCGAAGAGTGGGAGGAGCAGCAGTTTTTGAGCATGGAAAGGGATGGTTTGGATGAACTTGAAGATCGATCAAGTGTTGAAAATGGGGGTTTATCAGAAGAGTCTCGTTTGCATAATGAAGAACTCGTTGGATCTGATGTTGTTGTCAAAGATGGTAAAGGGGTGTTTTTCGAAACTGAGAAAGAATTCAATGAAAAGAGTGGAAACTTTGAAGAACAGTTCTATATGGAGGATTTCGAGTTGAATCGCCATCCGGATTGGGAGGTGGAAGAGGCTAGCCAAGTGTCTGAGAGCTTAAGTTTTGGTCAACTTTCTTATTTGGAGTATGCATTTGATGATTTGGATGCTACACAAACTGTTATTGATCGAGCTGAAACTGAATATTTGGATTTGATTCTGAGTTCTCAATTGGAAGCTGAAGATTCAAAAAATGAGCAAGAAAATCAAGATCTTCAAGTTGATGGGGCTGTGCTTGGCAGCAGAGCCTCTATCCATGAAGAAGCTTTGCAGTTCGATAGCCATCTTCCCGACCATGATCGTGTCCTGCAAGAGGATTCACTCGATGCTGATATCCATATCGAAAACAGGAAACAACTTGATGATGTTGCAAACCATGGAGAAGAGGTATCTGAGGATGAAAATTCTAGTGAAGAAAGACACTGCCAAGATATCTCAGCTACTGGAAACATGAATTCAGTTGCTGAACAAGATGAAGAGACTTCTTTGAATGATAATAGCGTCGTGATGGTCGAACGTGTGGAAGGCAAAGATCAAGCAGATTCATCGGTAAAAGCAGCTAAGTCTCCCCGTCCTGCAATGAATTCCAGCCAAGAACTGGATCTCTTTGGCAAGAATTGGGAATTGAACATAAACTACAAGAAACATGGAGATGAATCAGAAAATCCAAGGAGCTTCAATCCACAAGAACCGAATTACTTGCCGTTGGCGCCAGATCCGGAAGCAGAAAAGGTAGATCTCAAGCATCAGCTAATGGATGACAGGAAAAATGCAGAAGAATGGATGCTTGATTATGCACTCCAACGAACCGTCACGAAACTCACACCAGCTAAGAAGAAAAAGGTGGCACTTCTGGTTGAGGCGTTCGAATCGGTCATGCCAACGACATCCAGATACGAACCCCATCTCCAAAATAACGCTTCTGGAGCTTTTAGTTCGGAAAAACGCATCCAAGCTTGTTTCTAATGGTAGCAGCAGAGGTAAACCTCCAAACACCATCTCATCAAGTTCATTTGCTCTAACTTGTTTAACCACTGAAAACCTCAAAAAGAGGAGAAAATTGCTAGCCTGTATAGGATGTTAGAAAATTCTCATAGGAGCATGAAAAATACTGAACTGTGATAGAAAATGCTCGGAGTTGAGACATCGAGTATCGTCGACGTCCTTACGTTGAAGGATGAGTGGCAGGGAGATGATCTTTGCTTGAGAGTCTATCATTCTGTGTGTTTTTCAATAGTGTCTGTTGGTGTCAGTTTGTTCAAAGGTTATGTAAATTATGTGCGGTTGTGATGAAGGTGTATTATCAAAACCTTCAAACTCTTCTAATCTCATGACCCTTTTTTCTTTTCGTTATTTCTGAATGCAATTCTCTTCTGCTATAGTTTTGTAATAGTGGCATTGAGAAGTTACTTTCAATAAAGAATAGATTGGTGATAGATTTGTTGTTCTCATTGTCGGGTTTTCTACGAATTTGAGCTTAGTTTCTATTTGGTTTTTAAGTTTTAGAGACGAACACTTTGGATCCTTAAGATTCGAGCTTCCTATCTTGACTGTCTGTCAAACCTTTAGACTCTTATTCATGGTGGAGTGTTTCGAGTAGGATAGATATGTTCCCATCCTAGCAGTCAAACTCCTTCCTGACTCGGCTTGTAATGGCCCAGATACACCGCTAACAGATATTGTCTTCTTTGGAATTTCCCTCAAGGCTTTAAAACGCGTCTGCTAGAGGAAGGTTTCCACATCCTTATAAATGATGGTTTGTTCTCCTCCCCAACCAATGTGAGACATCACAATCCACCCTCCTTTGGGGCCCAGCGTCCTCGCTGACACTCTTTCCTTCCTCCAATCGATGTGGGACTGCCCTCAAATCCACCTTCTTTGGGGCCCAGCATCCTTACTGGCACATCGCCTCGTGTCTACCCCCCTTCGGGGAACAACGAGAAGGCTGACACATCGTTTGATGTCTGGCTCTGATACCATTTGTAATGGCCCAGATCCACCGCTAGCAAATATTGTCTCTTTGGGCATTGATGTCTCACATTGGTTGGGGAGGAGAACAAACCATCATTTATAAGGGTGTGGAAACCTTCCTCTAGCAGACGCTTTTTAAAGCCTTGAGGGAAAGCCCAAAGAGGACAATTTCTGCTAGCGTTAGGTTTGAGCCGTTAAACGGCTCGCTTGCCTTTGAAATTGGAATGTGATTTTCTGTTGAATAGGGGAGTCTATTCATAATCATAACATTGGGTACATTCTTTTTTTCTTTCAAACCTTGGTGTCACGAGACTGGCTCGAATTCAGTTAGGTTCTCTTTTTCGTGCCCCCTTCCCAACAATTGTACCTTGTGTGAGTGCTTGATTGTGTCGTAACTCTCTCATTTAGATTAGGTTTCTTGTTGGATGAACTGTATTGCTTATATTGGAGATGACCGCTTCATTTCAACTCTAATAGTTTAGATGCTTAATGAAACCTTAAAAAACACGAGCTAAAAAGAATTAACTGAACACTTCCACGATCTCGTTCGATAATAATTTAGTTTTAATTTTTTTTAATAATTGTTCTTGGTTTCTCGTAATTACCTAAATTCAAAATTTAGGTTGGTTTTTCAAAACAGGTGTAAAATGTAAAAAAACCGAACCGTACCAAACGATGAACGAGAAAAGATTCATCATCGAGTAAGTGAGGTAGCCGAAACAAATTTAGTTTAAAAACAGATTAAAATTAATTAAAACGAAAAAAATGATCAAAGCAAAATACCTAAATATGCTTAAAAGAACACTTTACTGTTAGAAAACAAGAACACTGTTCGTTAATCTCCACCTCATATTCCTTCTTCTTCTTCTTCTTCTTCATCTTCATCTTCATCTTCCTTATAAGCCTGTAAAAATCAGGTTTCCATAGCCATAGCTTCAAGCTTCGAAGAAACAGCCCAATTCGAAAAAATGGCTTCGAATTTCACTACTTACCAGGAGATTATGACCGCCAATAACGGCAATTTCATCACATTGTGCATGAGTTTCCCTCCAAAGGCTAGTTCCAATGGCATTTGGGATTATGTTTCTGGTTCTTCCGATACTCTTAGGTCTTCTCCTCTGCCATTGTTGGAGTGTCAGATGCTCATCATTTTTATTATCGTTACGATCCTTCATTTCTTCCTCCACTTCTTCGGCATCCCTGTTTTTGTCTCTCAAATGATTGTAAGTCTTCTTCGATGAACTTGTTTAATGTACAATTTGCCCTGGATTTTAGGGTTTTGTTTATATTAGTGGATGATTTTCAAATTTTTTTCCAAGAGTTAGATTCAAAAAACTGATGAATCTTGGCTTAGAATCTGATGATGGCTCATAGTTTCTTGTTTTCTGCTTCTTTTGTTGGTGCATTATTAACAGGCTGGTTTGATACTTGGATCATCATGGAAAGGATACTCAAATTCATTTGACAATTTCAAAGAGTATCTATTCCCCATTGTTTCTCAAGATATATTGGGATTGCTATCTGGATTTGGCTACACACTTTTTATATTTCTTGTTGGAGTTAGAATGGATTTAAATGTTGTTAAGAAGTCAGGAAAACAACCCTTGATAGGTGGTGTTTTATTAGTATTAATCTCTGCAATAATTGGCTCAATCACAGCATTTAGTTTATCAAGAGTTGACAACAGAGGTGAACTCATTAACATGGAGTTCATAGCAGCAGCCCAATCATTCACTTCATTTGCTGTTGTTCATTACCTGCTTGACTATCTCAAAATTCTGAATTCTGAAGTGGGTAGGTTAGCTCTTTCTACTGCAATTGTAGCTGATCTAACTAGTTTGAGTATCTCGTTCATCGCTACCTTCATCAGAAGCGTTCAAATTCATGGCGTTTTGAACGCTTCTATGTTTTTCACTTCGACAATCGGGTCGATTGTTTTCGTCCTGTTCATCTTTCGACCTGCAATGCTTCGGATTGCTAGATCCACACCAAATGGTAGGCCTGTGAATGATATATACATAGGCATCATTGTTCTTTTGGTATTTGTATCTATTTCAACTAATATCACTACAGGACGATCTGCTTATTCTGCTCCATTTATCTTGGGTTTGGTTGTGCCTGAAGGGCCACCATTAGGAACCAGCTTAGTGAATAGACTCGATGGCATTATTACATCGGTCTTTGTCCCACTCTTTGTCACTATTAATGTGATGAAGGCTGATCTTTCATTCCTTAGTTATAGTACAAAGTTCTTGGCTCGTTCTACGATCGTGATAATAATGACTACCGTTGCGAAAATGATCGCCTCTGTTGGTACTTCTCTGTACTTCAATATGTCTTCTTATGATGCCTTGGCTTTTGGCTTCATAATGAGTAGCAAAGGCATCATAGAGCTTGTGGGCAGCTCTTTCTTTTATGACAGCAAGGTAAGGCATGGCTTTAAATGATATAGCATTTGATATCTCTGATTTAGGAACAAAAATGAAGTAAATTTTGATCTGTTTGGTGTAAAAATTTGCAGGCCTTGACTGATCAGACTTATTCAGTGATGGTTATTGATATCTTGTTTTTCTCAACACTGATGCCTATGCTTGTGAAATGTGTATATAATCCTTCAAGGAAGTATACTCATTATAAGAGAAAAAACATTCTCAATTTGAAGCTTGACGCTGAGTTGAGAATATTAGGATGTTTTCATACACAAGAGGATGCTTCTGTTGTGCTTAATCTTCTTCATGCTTTGCACCCGACCGAGGAGTCTCCTGTTTTGTTGTATGCGCTGCACCTTGTCGAGTTGGTCGGTCGATCCTCCCCAGTTTTCATTACACATGAGCTTCATGAACAAAAGGGTTCATCTGAAGAGATGATATCAGATAATATACTTCAAATGCTTCGAAAGTATGGAAGGAGTAACGTTGTTTCGATCGAAGCATTCACAGCAATTGCCCCGAAGAGACTAATGCACGACAACATATGTACCGTAGCAATTAACAAACTTACTTCCCTTGTAATCCTTCCATTTCACCGAAGATGGACACGAGAAGGAATTGTTGAATCAGAGGATAACGCTATAAGGGCGTTAAATTGTCATGTTCTTGAGTTAGCACCGTGTTCGGTGGGAATCCTCATCGACCGTGGCTATCTTTCGAGTTACCATTCATTTGAACATTCAAATACTTCATTATTACAGGTTGCAATGGTTTTCATTGGTGGTCAAGACGATAGGGAAGCGTTTTCTTTGGCTAGACGTATGATTAAAGAGATTAACACAGCTCAACTCACAGTGATACGCCTACTTGCTGAAGATGACAACGTTAGCCATTGGGAAACGGTTCTTGACACCGAGCTGCTTAACGATGTACGGTATAGCTTTGTCGGGAGAAAAGCGGTTAGGTACGTGGAAATGCAAGCTGATGAAGGGTCAAATACAGCAGCAATAATAAGAAGCATTGGTGATTCATATGATCTTGTAATAGTTGGAAGAAGAGGTGGGGTTGAATCTCCACAGACATCAGGTTTAATGGAATGGAGTGAGTTTCCTGAGCTTGGAATTATTGGTGACATGCTTGCCTCTGCTGATTTCCATTGTAAAGCCTCCACTTTGGTGATTCAGCAACAACAACAATGCTCTTTTTACGGGCAATGATACTCATTGCATCCATTCTTATTTCTTGTGCTGTTCTTTTGTTGTATCATAGTTTTGGTTGTAACATATCTGTTCTTTTTACCCTCTGTAAATTGTAGTTTTCGAGGCCTCACCTTCGACGTTAATCCATTTTCATTTTTCTCATATACGCTCGCCTTTTTTGGGCTATCTTATGGATCATCGAGGATCATTTTACGCTCGGCTTTCTACTTGAGTTTCAAAAGATATGTCACTTGTGATGAATACATGAAAATAAGTTATGTCTGTCTTTCTGTGAGATCCCATATTAGGTGGAGAGGGGAACGAAACATTCCTTATAAAAGTGTGAAAACTTCTCTCTAGTAGACGCGTCATAAAACCGTGAGGCTGATGACAATATGTAACTGGCTAAAGCAGATAATATCTGATAACGGTGGGCTAGGGCTGTTATAAATGGTATTAGAGTCAGACATCGAAGGGTGTGCCAGCGAGGATGCTGGGCTAAGGGAGGTGGATTGTGAGACCCCACATCGATTGGAGAGGCTGGGACGAAGTATTCATTATAAGGGTGTGGAAATCTCTCCTTAATAGATATGTTTTAAAACCGTGAGGCTGATGGCGATATGTAATGAGCCAAAGTGAACAATATCTGCTAGGGGTGGGTTTGGACTATTACACTTTCAAAATCAAGACGGCAAGCTGTGTTCTTCTTAAACTATAAAGAATAACTAGAGCTTTAACTTTTGACTCAAAATATGACATTATTGGAGATTTTGTATCATAACATGAACACTTGCAATTAAGAGGGAGTCGTAGATTGTCGATCGAAGAGGCAAGCCAATCAGTAAACTTCTATTGATGAGAGAACCGACTTGAGGGACCCCTAACAACAAACTTGTAAAAGAGTCCTATGGAGATCCACTGAGTTGTCAAGTAGATTGGTGCAACAATGATAGGCTGGAAGAATAGGCTCGTTCAACTAATTAGTGATACTTGACCCTAACTAAGATAGAGATGTCCTTAGAATCCTCGACAAATAGATCAAAAAATCGAATTCCTATTCCCACGTTTTGTTGAGCTCAAAACAATAACGACAATAATAATGCATACAACATGCAAAATGCACGAAGTTCACATAAGAAAGCTTGAGTCATTATTAATAATACAATAAGTAACATACGTGATCTTATTGTATTCACATAATAATATAACATTTTCTCGGCACACAAATCTCAACCTAGCTTTACATGCTCTAGTAACTAAAGCCCGAGCCTTGCTTATACAGTTTCATTAGCCTTGACCTAGATACGAGCACGTTGAGCTTTTCAGCGAGAAGCAAGAAAATCGAGAGGACAAAGAAAAAAAAGCAAGTTAGTCAGCTACAAACTCAACAAATGAATTTGTTATCTCGGAGATCCTTTGCCCGATCTATAAGTATCCAAGGGAATTAATGCTCGATATTTCATACACCTACAAACTTTAGCTTTGAAATAATTCAAGGATCTCCAAAATGCAACATTTTCCATTCTTGGTAATCAAAGGGTACATTTGAAAATTTCGAAAGTTCCGGGAAATAAAAACATGTCAATTAAGAGGGCATAATTGGAAAAACCAAAGCTTGGGCACAACATAGGAACAATAAAATTAAGGTAGTTACATGTCAATTAGACAGCTACCCTCCTAAGTATTGTCAACTTAACAACGTTAATTATAAGTTAATGATGAAACCTAAACCCTAAACCCTAATTCCATTCAATTTTATATTTACATTTTAATTTTTTTAAAACAAATAAAAAAAACAACAAAAAAAAGTATTCTTCTTAAAAAAAAAAAAAACAATTTTGTGGATTTTTTTTTACGATATATATATATATATATACTCTCTCAAGTTCAAACTCACCGGGACAGATATTGTTTACTTTAACCTGTTATATATCATCGTCAACCTCACAGTTTTAAAACATGTCGGTTAGGGAGAGGTTTCCACACTCTTATAAAAAATGTTTCGTTTCTCTCTCCAACCAATGTAAGATCTCACAATCCACTCTCCTTCGGGACCCAACGTTCTCACTGAAGCACCGCTCGGTACCTAGATCTGATACCATTTGTAATAGCTCAAACTCACTACTAGCAGATATTGTCCGTTTTGACTCGTTACATATCTCCATCGACCTCACAATTTTAAAACCCGTTTGCTACGGAAGAAGTTTCTACCCTCTTATAAATATTTATTCACGTGTGATCATTATAAGAAAATAACTATTAAAAATTATAAAAATAAATAAAATGGGTAATTAAACTCAAACCACAAAAATTAAAATAATAATTTAATATATTTTTTTCACTAAAAAAAAAAAAAACAAAACAAAAAAAGTGTATATATAGGCTTCCAAAACTGGCCTTTTTATTTCTTTGATTAAAAGCCACCTTTTCCCTCCACCTCTTATTCATTTCTTTCACATGGAGGCCTTACCCAAACTTAGCTTCTTTTCCAGACTTCTCTTCCTCCTCTCATTCTTCTCGCTATCTTCGTTCTCGTCGTCGTTGTCGTCGTCGTTGCTGCATCCGTCGATCGCCGACTCTGCAAAGCTACATCGTAATTACACCGCTATATCGGATTTCCGACTACTCAACCGAAGAAAACTGTTGGATTGTCCACATATAATAAACCCTTTTGTGAAACTCACGGTCGTCTCTGTTTCAGAGAACCTGTTGAATGAAGAGTTCATCAATGTCACGGTTAGTGGAGTTTCGATTCCGTCGATAGAGCATTGGGTTGCTATGATCACGCCTTCAAAGGCCAAGTACGTCGGGATCTATAATTTTTTTTGTTTTTTGCATTTTAGTCCTTGGATTATGATGTATTTATATTGTTGGTTGATGAACAGTGTTGATTCTTGTCCATTGAATGAAGGGCTTTATCTCCAAACTGGTGATTTAAGCAGCCTTCCTCTACTTTGCCATTATCCTGTCAAAGTAAGCTTGGTTCATTATGAATTTTTATTTTTTTTTTTTGTTTATTAATAAATAATTTATTTTAATTAATTAATTAATTAATTGAGGGACTAAATTGCAATTTTTATAAGATTTGAGGTCAAATTCAAATTTTAATTTCATGTTTCAAGTATGACTCAACTTCCTTTCAACGGTCTGTTTGGTCATGGAGATAGTGGAGACAAGAAGTGGAATATGATTTTTTTTTTAAATATTTATAATAGCATTTAATTTTTTTTTAAAATACATATATATATATATATATATTTTGCTTTATTTATTCTCGGTATCTAATCAAATATCATATTATTTAAATTTATAAAAGTTGATAATTACTATTTATACCAACAAAGTGCACATTTTTGTCGGTAACTCAATCATAAAAGCTTCATAGGTAAATGTGTTAGCTTGAAATAGTCTTATATTAGGCAATCTTTTGAGAATTTTTGTGAGATTCCACATCGATTTGAGAGAGGAACGAGTGTCAGTAAGGACACTGGGTCGATAGATTGTGAAATTCTATATCGATTGGAGAGAAGAGCAAGTGTCAGCAAAGATGTTGGGTCTCGAAGGGGGTGAATTGTGAAATTCCACATCGATTGGAGAGAGAAATAAGTGTCAGTGAGGATGTTCGGCCTCGAAGGGAGGTGGATTGTGAGACCTCATATCGATTAGGGAGGAGAACGAAACATGTTTTTTTTATAAGGGTGTGAAAATCTCTTCCTAATATATGCGTTTTAAAAACTTTGAGGAAAACTCAAAGAGGACAATATCGAGCAGTGGGGTTGAGCTGTTACAATTTTATTAAAAAGTATATGGGTATAGTTTAACATGTAGCATGGTAGAATGTCGGGATCAAACGATAATGAATTTGAAATTCAAAATGAACAAATAGGATCACTTTTAAGACAAGTATGTAACGGGAACGTTGGAGTCAGTAGTGTTAAATTTAAATTTTAAATTATTATTATTATTATTATTTTGGTATTTTGGCAGGCAGCGTATTTAAGAAGTGATCCAGATTACTTGAGGTGCAAGAAGAGTGAGTGCAGAGTGAGATCGGGAGGCAGGTGCTTACAAAAGACATGTAGTGCCACGCTGTCATTCCACGTCATCAACTTCAGAACCGACGTGGAATTCGCCCTGTTTGGCGGCGGGTTTGCTACTCCTTGTCTTCTTCTCAGATCACAGCCTCGCCCCTTCCAGAATCCCAATGCTCCGTTGTACGGATTCCTCTCTGCCACAGACTCAACTGGAACATCTGTGAGTGCCCAAATCTTTTTATTTTATTTTTTTTTCTTTCTATTTTTTAAAATATTATCATTTCTATTTAATCCTACCAATTTTAATTAATTATTATTATTATTATTATTATTTTCGGTTTAGAGGTGGGTTCAATTTTTAAAAATTGAAAATTTGGTTCTGTCTGTGAGTTGACATTTTTGGTCTGGTCAACCCAACCAACAAGGTTACAATCTGTTGAATGATGAAAGTCTCACATCCACTAATTTAGGGAATGATCATGAGTTTATAAGTGAGGAATACTAACTCCATTGATATGAGACCTTTTGGGAAGCCCAAAGCAAAGCCATGAGAGCTTATGCTCAAAGTGGATAATATCATACCATTGTGGAGAGTCGTGTTCGTCTATCATGGTATCAGAGCCGTGCCAATAGATTGGCTGAGGCGTGCTTTGTTCGAGGGGAGGTGTTGGATGATGAAAGTCCCACATCGGCTAATTTATTTAGGGAATGATCATGGGTTTATAAGTGAGAAATACTAGCTAATATGGTGCGTTTTCATCAGCCTCAATTCAACAACCTAACCCGAGTTGAATTGTGAACTCTGTCACCAACCCGCATAAACCCAACAAATTTCAAATAGGTTAAGTAACGAGATCAAATTTCACTCGTTTTCTTATCGGATTATTTTTATACGTCAAACTTATATAACTTATTTTTTAAAAAATTAGAATTATAAGTTAATTAAATTAATATTATGAATTTTCAGATGAGATTAAGTTGGGTTAGTGGAGACAAAAATCCACAGCAACTCAAATATGGTCAACATGGAACAACACAAACCTCTCAAGTTTCTTCTTTCTCCCAAAATGATATGTGCAGTAAGCCTTTTTATTTATTTATTTATTAATCTATTTATCTATTTATTTATTATTTTTACAAATATATATATATATATATATATATATATATATATATATATATATATATATATATTACATACATATATAGATACACCATCAATTCAAAGCCCAGCAAAGGACTTTGGATGGCATGACCCTGGCTTCATTCACTCTGCTGTCATGACGCAACTGCAGCCTTCCACCACCTTTTCCTACAAATACGGAAGGTATCTCGAAACCCGAAACCCGAAACCCTAAACTCTAAATTTATTGATCCTTTTCATTCTAACTCATAGCGATCAAGTTGGTTGGAGCGACGAAGCAACGTTCACGACACCACCAGCCAGCGGTGACGAAAACGATTTCCACTTTCTAGCATTCGGAGACATGGGAAAGGCTCCTCTCGACTCGTCGTCAGTCGAGCATTATATTCAGGTAAGCCCAATGAGATTTTACGTAAAGTTTATAGACTAAAATAGAATACTAAAGAGTGTATGGATGTTTGGAAATGATAGCCAGGGTCGATATCGGTAGTGAACGGGATGACCGAGGAAGTAGAATCTGGGAAAGTCGATGCCGTGTTTCACATTGGAGATATCAGCTATGCAACAGGGTTCTTAGTTGAATGGGATTTTTTTCTTCATCTCATCAAACCCATTGCTTCTCGTGTGGCTTACATGACAGCTATTGGGAACCATGAGAGGTATCATTATTATTATTGTTAATACTCAAACGATCCTATAATATTGTTCACTTTGAGTATAAACTTTAATAATTTTGCTTTGGGCTTTCCCAAAAGGCTTCAGAGATGTATTCCTTACTTATAAAACCGTGATTATTTCCTAAACCGTGATTACTCCCTCCCAACAATCCTCCCCTCGAACAAAGTACACCATAAAGCCTCCCCTGAGACCTATGAAGTCCTCGAACAAAGTACACCCTTTGTTCGACATGACTAATTTAAGGGCATGACTCTGATACTATGTTAAGAATTACGGATCTCGACAATGGTATGATATTGTCTACTTTGAACATAAGCTCTCGTGGCTTTGTTTTGGGCTTCCCCAAAAGGCCTCATATATACGGTATTTCTTACTTATAAAATCATGATGATTTCTTAAATTAGCCAAGGTGGGACTCCCTTCTAACAATCCTCAGTATTGAGAACCACTAAAGATATCATTATTATTATCATTACTCAAATGAACAAAGTCCTAAACTTTTATGATGTTTTTGATTATATTAAGGTTTGAATTCCTAAGCTTTAATGATGTTTTTTTGATGATATTAAGGTTTGAATTTGAAGGGACTATGATAAATCAGGGTCAGTTTATAGGCTGCCAGATTCAGGAGGTGAATGTGGAGTTCCTTATGAAACATATTTTCAAATGCCAACTTTTGGTAAAGATCAGCCTTGGTATTCTATTGAAATGGCTTCTGTTCATTTCACTGTTGTTTCTACTGAGCATCCGTTTACTCCCGGCTCACCGCAGGTGATTTTCTTGACGTTCCCGTTATAAATTTTGAAAACATATTCTCGTTCTATTAGTTACTAGTGACGAGGGTTCGTTTTAAGGTTTACTGAAACTATAAAAACCAAATTTGTTTGACATTTGAGCAATAGAGTAGATGAATGAACTGAGACTGCAACCGAATGAGGGTGGTTCTGAGGATATAATGGTTAAGAAATGCTTAAAAAACGGACGGTTTCAAGCTATACCAACATGGTGTACCTTTATTTTCGGTGGGTCAATCATAAAAACTCTAAAATTTTGTGTTTAGCTAGGAGTAATGGTATGTTGGGTGATCTACTGAGAATTTTTTTAACAAGTATATAAGTGAGGACAAAAGCATCATTAAAAAGGGTTCGTGTGTATCTATGAGGATAGTCTCTGCTCTTAGGAGCAATTCAGGGTGCTACCCGGTGCTAAAAATTTCAAATTTGGATTCAAATCCTGCATGTGAGACATTTGTTTAAAACGTTTAGTCTAATTTTTGACGAAATAGTTCTTTAACGATGGTAACAATCTTGATTGGTAGTTCATAACCAAGCAATTAACTTATTTCTTTTTGTTTGAGTAGTATGAATGGATGAAAAGGGACATGGCCTCGGTAAATAGGTCAAGAACACCATGGCTCGTTTTTACCGGGTAAGTTTCGGTCTCTACAATTTACAATTTAGTCTTGAAAACGGGTTAAGATATGCTCGATGCGGACGTTTTGAGAGACGATTAATGTTATGAAAATGCAGGCATAGGCCTATGTACTCTTCCATACGTGGACTTATTCCTAGTGTTGACCCAAACTTTGTTGCAGCTGTTGAGCCACTTCTCCTCCAAAATAAGGTTCCTCCTTCTCTACACTGAAGGATTTGGTTAAAAATATTTGTTAATATGTCATTTATTAGAACAAAAAAGCAGTAAATATACATTTTTTTTTTTTTTTGAAAAATATGTATGATTAATATTAAAACGGTGATATAAATCGAGATCTTGTATTGCAGGTTGATTTGGTGTTGTTTGGACATGTTCATAACTACGAGAGAACATGTTCTGTCTTTAACAAAGTTTGCAGAGGAATGCCCTTTAAGGATATTAATGGGATTGACACATACGATCATAACAACTATACTGCTCCCGTACACGTAATCATCGGCATGGCTGGGTTTAGTCTCGACGAGTTCCACACTTCCGTACGTTCATCATCTCCCTAACAACTAAACTAGATTATTAATGTCCCGTTTGATAACAATTTGAGTTTTGAAAATTGTGCTTTTCTAATCATTTTTCTACAATGGTTCATATTCGTTAAAAAAAACGAGCAGACCTATATACGGAATTTGTGTTTACAAGCTTAGTTTTCAAAACCCAAAAGTCTAAATGGTTATCAAACGGGATTTAAACGACCAAAACTAACATTCTTATGAAAATTGATCTTTTTTGAAATGGTGCAGGCAGAGAGATGGAGTTTGGCTAGGGTTGCCAAGTTTGGTTATCTTAGGGGCCATGCAACAAAGGAGAAGTTAAGCTTAGAGGTTAGTATTCTATATTTAAGTGTTTTAAATAGATTCAAAACGTTATGACTTAGTTCTGTTCTGCCTTGTAAATTTATGCAGATGGTGAATGCTGTCACAAGAGCAGTAGAGGACAGTTTCAGCATAAAAAAAGCTCCAATTCAATAGCCGAATCATGAGTTCCTTAATAGCCAAACAGCTAGCCAAACCTTGGCTGAACCTGTATGATTGCTAAATTAAGAAACTTTTTTTTCGATGACCCATATGAAAAAGTCTTAGAAATTTTACTATTCAAGTGATGCTCACATCGATAATGGTTAAGATCCTACTAAAGATATGAAAATCTCTCCCTAATAGACGCGTTTCTTCAAGGAGGTGGATTGTGAGATCCCACTAAAGGTGTGGAAACCTCTCTCCTAGTAGAGGTATTTTAAAATTGTGTGGTTGACGGCGATAAGTAACGAGCTAAAGTGGACAATATCTACTAGCGGTGACCTCGGGCTGTTATAAATGGTATCAAAACCAGATACCAGGCGATGTGTCAGCGTTCTCGACGCTGGCACCCAAGGAGATGGATTGTGAAATCTCACTAAGGGTATGAAAACCTCTCCCTAGTAGACGTATTTTCTCAAGGAGGTGAATTGTGAGATCCCACCAAAGGTGTGGAAACCTCTCCCTAGTAGACATGTTTTAAAATCGTGAGACTAACAGCGACACGTAATAGACTAAAGCGAACAATATCTACTAGCAATGGCTTCAGGCTATCTTTGTATTTCTCTAGAATAATAGTCCAAGAAACAACCGTTTAGGGACTTAATAATCAGTGCTCAAATATGGGACTAAATTTATAGTTGAACCTCTACTTTTCTTATCATCTCATTTCGGTCAACAAGAATTCCATCAGAACTAAGAGAATATACTTCAGATGACAAACCTACTTAGTAGACCTACTTAGTAGTTAGTGGTAAAATACAAGTTGAAGTCATGAAAGAAGAGAATGAAAGGACTCATGAATAGAAACAACTCTTTATTGAAGTAAGTGATATTGTGGAGGGCCAGAAAGTACCCCAACTCTATACAGAAAGAAAACAACACCTTGACAATTTGATGCATGCAACTAACTTGTGATCTTATATAATGCAAAAGTCATTTGATAAAAGACCTATGACAGAGACAATTTCCAACTAAATTATATGAAACTTACATGACTCGTGTGACAAGACGATACAACTCATTCCGTGCGGTTGCTGCAGCTGCAATTGATATTCAGTTTGCATCACTTCTAACAAGGCTAGTGAATGACTAGTAATATGGAAGAAAACTCATTCAGTGAAAACTAAACGAACCGTTTTGACGATTACTTTTCTCGTTCTATGTGCTTGCTGCCTTACAGTCTCATCTTTTTTTCAACGAGGCTGGTGAATGAACCTTGGAGCGTGCTTCGGGATCACACACTTGGCTGGCTTCTCATTGAACTTTGCAGGATTACCTGGAGACTTTGGACCATTCTTCTTCGGAGAGTTCTGAATGATTAGATCCTCCAATACTTTTTTTGCAGACATTTCATTACTTGCAGCTATCAAATTCCAATTATGAAGGGGTCAGGTTCTTGTACTCAATTTATACTCCTTTAATAAACTTATAAGATGAAGGGCATACCTTTAATGTGGTTCTTATGAGCCGTTGGTTTGACTTCAGGCTTCTGATCAGCTTCATTTGATAGAACCATAGCCTCAAACTCCATTTCTTCCAGATCAAGGAACTCTTCTGTAGTGACTATCTCATCGGAAACACTATCGAAATCATCTTCCTGATGCTGGCTTAGCCAATAATCCTGGAACCACAGTGATGTCTTGACTAGTTCCCACCATTCTGGAGAGAAATCCTCGACATTGCGAAAAGCAAAAGGAACGAAGATTGGAGCATTGGGGTTCAACGAAAAACTTCTTCCAGATAATAATGTCATTCTTACTCTAAATCATCCAATTCTTTCAACCAACAGCAGCTCTACAAGCCTTAACAGACCACAAACCTGGAATTTTTCGGATGCATAATACTTGATTGAGTAAACCATATGAGATATCCACCAAAGTAGAGCAGTGATTAAGCTATGCAAAGCGAGTTTAATTGATATAACTGGTTACAGAATTATACTAAAGTTCAATAGATACAAAGCTCCAAAAAACTATCAAATTATATTATAATCTCCCTCTTAAGAGGAACTCCAAGCTTGATGAACTTCGAAGGAAATTGTATAAATCGCAGTATAGTAAGTTCTTAATAGTTAATTAACAAAACCACTTCAAAAAAAACAGCGTTTGATATTTAAGTCAGTTCAGTTCCAAACGAATTAAACCCTAAAGAGATTAAATTAATATATGGTTGTGTGAAAATTACTTCGATCTGAAGAACTCAATCCCTATTCAATCATTCCAGAACGCAAACAAAGTAACAACACCAAAATTACAATGATCAAACAAAAAAAGAACAATCGAAATGGATTCAGTTTCAACGCACGTTTTTGCATCAACAACGCGTAATTCCAACTTCAAATTACAACAAACACTTCACAGAACATAGTAATTGAAAACAGAAACACAATCAAGAAAAATTAGAACATTAGTTCATGTTACCGTTTACCGTGACGAAAACAGATCTCTAACGTCGTAAGACGCAGGGGATAGTGAGTGATCAATTAAATGGGAGAAGAAAGGAAGAAATGATTTGGAAGAACCGAAGCAGTAGGTTAGCGATTGCCGAAGCTGAGATTCGGTGATCGCTTTTGAACTGCTTTTTTGATAAGGCCAACAGAATCAACGGATAGATGGTGGTAAGGGGCCTTGATCGGACGGTTGAATGAGGTTAGGGGAGAGATATTTTGAGATTCGGTGCAAAACACAAGTAATTATTGGGGGCAGCGTTTAAATAATTTCGTGTCTTATCCATTATTTGCCAAGTGTCATCAAGGGCCCACAAAAAACTTCTTTTTTAAGATTTTTTTTTATTTTATATAGGGAATTTTCCATCATTATATATATATATATATATATATATATATATATATATATATATATATATTTTAATTATTTAAAAATTAATATAACTATAATTCCTTTTTAAAATGTAAAAATATTAATAAATTTAATTATATTTCCAACAAATATATAAATATTAGCTTGAAAGATTATATTTCCAACAAATATTTAAAAATTAATATAACTATAAGTATTGTTGAATTAAAAAATTAATTTTGTGTCTAATAATGTAAGTTAAAAGTATATTACCTTGAAAGATTATTAGATGCTTTTAAAACTTAGAATTCTATTGGATTTTTGTATTATGAAAACTAAAAAAAATAAAAAAAATAAAAAATTTATGACCAAAATTTAAATAATTTTTAAAAGTTTAGAAATGAAAATGAGATTTAAATTTTTATCTAACTAATATATTACATTTTGTAGCGTAAGAATCAAAAATAAAACTTCTCACAAAATTTTTAAACTTTAGTATTAAATAAACATAAACATTAAAGTTATTAATAAGGTAACCGCTTAAGCCCATTTCTAGCAGATATTGATCAGTTTAGCCCCTTACGTTTCGTTATGAGAATGTGGAAATCTCTCTATTAGACGCGTTTTAAATTCATGAAGATGACAACAATAAACAACATGTTAAAGCTAGCAATATTTATTAGTGGTAGGCTTGAGTAACGTTTCGTTATGAGAATGTGGAAACCTCCCTATTAGACGCGTTTTAAATTCATGAAGATGACAACAATAAACAACATGTTAAAGCTAGCAATATTTATTAGTGGTAGGCTTGAGTTGTTACAAATATATTATTAACCGAAACAAAGTTAACCAAAACCATTAATCTAAGGATTAAATATATAGTGGGTAGTTTAATAACAAAGAAAACAACAAATCACTTCAGAGTAAACTATAGGCACACTTATTTACAAACAGCAAACACATTTTTATTAGATATATGAGCACAACACCACAACCAGTATATGTATTCATTTAGTATCATCACAATATGCCCAACAACAACAAAAACCAATCATTGGAAGGCACTTTGTCTATCCCAGTTTGGCAATGAATGCTCTGAATCAATACTCAAATCCTTGGTGAGCGTTCTGCTTGATCTTGTTGGCCCTGGCAGCCCCTTCAGCCCCGGTGACCTCTGCTGCTGAAACCCCCTTCTTCCACTGCTAATGGCCACTTCACTCGCTATTGATGACACCAAACTGAGCTGCTTTGTCTTGCATGGAGAGTTCCCATCGGAGCATGTGTCCAATCCCCCTGCTGGCCTCAGCTTTGGTGAGCTCAAGGACCTTGCTTTCGCCTTTGCAGATTCTGTGGCCGCCATGTATGTTGGCACCATTGGGGAACTTGAAAATGAAACGTTGCTTGAGTCAATTCCGCCTCCCAATGAACGTTGCTTCTTGTGGTGTGCGAGCTTTTTCAAAGATGGGGATTGGTTGGGGAGTTCTAGTATGGTTTTGTTCATGGTTTTTGTTGGGTTTGGTTTGATTTCGTCTGTCACTTTGTGTTTAGGATTTGGGGTGAAAAGAGAGTCTAAATCTTCGAGTTCTTTGCTTTTCGAGAGTTGGGTGTCGACCCATTGGTCGAGCCAGTATCTCCATCTTCCACTTACCTTCTTTCGTTCGGACTCTGCAGATCTCTGCAAAATGATGTCCATGGAGTGTCAAAAGTTTGATTCAAGAAGCAAAGGAACAGAGAGTTTGTTTACTTTTAAAAAGGTTGGATATGATTTACCCTGTGAGCAAACAAGTATTCTTTGACTCGTTCTCTCCTGATCACTGCCTCTTTCTTGCTCAAAAATACTGCATCAGATTCTTCTTTTGATAGCAGGCTATCATCCCACCTTTGACCGTTCGAATCCAACTTCAAAATCAATGGGAAATAGAAGAAGTGAATGAGAAAACTAGTCAACTGAATCAACTGCTACAGAAGACTGATGCAGGATGTAGAAGAAAATCAAAGGAAGACAATGAAGAGACTTGTAAAGGAACAGCCAAAAGAGGCCGGTTCAGGTAGAGCAACAGAAAATGTCATTTGTGGTCGAGTTATAATGAATATACTAGTATGCTTTAGCTAAGAGAAGTTAATACAAATAAGAGCAAGCCTCTCAGTTTGGTAGTTTGGTCTAGATTGAACGAATAAACAACTATTTAAGAAGTAGCTTAGAGGTTCCTTGTTGGAGAAGAGAATTGTTGGGGGTGTGAATATAGTCCAACGTCGAGTAGAGATGATGTGAGATCCCATATCGGTTGGAGAGGGGAACAGAGTATTCTTTATAAGGGTGTAGAACTCACTCCCTAGCAGACAGCGTTTTAAAAACCTTGAGGGAAAGCCCGAAAAGAAGAACCTAAAGAGGACAATATTTGCTGGCGGTGGGATTGGGCCGTTACAAATGGTATCAGAGCCAAACATCAAGCAATATAGCAAAGATGTTGAGCTCTGAAAGGGGGTGAACACCAGACGGTGTGTCAGCAAGGATGCTAGGCCTCGAAGGAGGGTGGACATCGGGCAGTGTGTCAGCGAGGATGTTAGGCCCTGAAGGGGGGTGGATTGTGAGATCTCACATCGGTTGGGGAAGAGAACGAAACATTCTTTATAAGGGTGTGGAAACCTCTCCCTGGCATACGCATTTTAAGAACTTTGAGGGAAAGCCCGAAAGAAAAAGTCCAAAGAGGACAATATCTGCTAGCGGTGAGCTTGGGTCGTTACAAAGTCTATGAAGAGACTTAGTTGTCTTTAAGAGATTGAGAAAATCTTATCAAAAAGGAGATTGAGAAATAGACAGAAGAAGAAACTAAAAAACAAATAGCTGATATTCAGAAACAATATTATAATCAAACCAACCAGTATTTTAACCAAGTAAATCAATCAAAGAGCTATACTTAGACTTGGCTTACCTTTATAATCCTTTCTTTCAAGCTCTGCAACTGCTTGGTTTCAGGAGAATCGAAAGTGTTTTGAGGAAGATGAAGTCGATTCGAACAGACTTGTGATTGAATGCTAACAATGGACTGCAAGCGCTTCAAAGTGACAATGGCTTGGCGCCTAACAGCTCTCCCTCTGATAATTGCCTGTAGCCTCACTATTCCTTTCAGTGCTCTCAATGCTTTCCTTGCCTAAAAATTTACATTCTTTGCTTAATAATACAAATGTCACTCAAGTAAACAAGGCTAGAGAATCAAAACTTGTAAGCAAATACACAGATGCCTTAGGATTAAATGCCATTTGAAAACGTTTTTGTTTTATATTTCCTGTTTATCGTTTCTACTTTTTGCAAAATAAGTGCATTTAGGAACATTCTCTACGTTTTTGTTCTGGGATTCTCTTCCTCGAGTTTCCAACTTTCCACAAATGTTAATAAAACTGCAATTTTTATTGTGTCTAGGCTTGAGTTCATAAGTTTCATGTTCGTCTAAAAAGAGAAGTCTAGAGTACAAGATTTCAAGTATACTTTTTAACCCTGGAGTTGTTGAGGGTTGTTGGGAGAGAGTCCAACCTTTACTAATTTAGGGAATGACCATGGATTTATGGATTTATGGATTTATGGATTTATAAGTAAGGAATACGTCTCCTTGAGGCTTTTTGGAGAAGCCCAAAGCAAAGCCACGAGAGCTATTGCTCAAAGTAGACAATATCTTACTGTCGTGATTTCTAACCACAGTACCAATTTGTTTCACCATTTCATTCCAATTCCATTGAAGCAAGTGAGAAAGTACAGTCAGAAGAAGTACTCACAAGGAAGCCACGGAAAGCCGTTTGGATAATAATAGCAGCAAGCTCATGGATTTCCCTTTCACGTTTAAGATCAGATGGAGGGACCTTCTTGAGAGGTTTAAAGGCTTCATCTCCAGCCTCTTGTTGATTAGATTGAGGGGTCCCTGTGAGCCACACAACCTCAACAGCAGCCTTAGCAGCTGCAATGGCTGCTTCGGCAGCCGCGGTACTTGCAATGGCCACAGAAAGAGCCTGATTCCTCTCCTCTTCCTCCTCTTGTCTCAACGTCGCTTTCGGTGCTGTCAGTGTGGCTAATCTCTTGTTCTTCACTCTTCCAAACATCCATTTCCATCTCTTTTGCTTCTGAAAAAACAACATTCATCAGCATTGATGATTAGTTGAAGACATGTTAAAAAACCCCAACACTAAATCTATATGTCTTTACCTTCTCAGGCTTTGGCTCTGGCTCTGAAACAAATAGCTTCTTGACTAAATAAAACCACCCCTTCTTCTTGCCCATTTGAGAACAAGCAGACAATCAATCAACTAATCCAAATAGATCAATGGAGCAATGGAATAGATATCTCAACTAATCTCAATCCAAAAGTTGAGAAAACACTCAATCTAGATACAGATGAACATGAAACCAAAAACCCATTTGCAGAAACAATTATAATCAAGGGTCATTCAAAGAGAAATATAGGAAGCCATTGATAGAACCTCCAAAGGGCTTTCCTCCATAGAACTCCTCAGAGCTAGAAGCCATCCACAGTGGAAAACAATGGAGGAGGCATTTCGTCGAACACCAAGCAGGCAAGAGAGCCCAGAAGCAGAACGAGACCCAAATCTTCCCCAAATTATAAGAAACTTTGAAAGATAAGAATCAACAGAGAGAAAAGAAGAACCCAATCGAGCAAAACATGAAAGGATGTCGATTCAATACATCCCTGTTTTCTGAAATCATGTTTCCTTGTAAGCAGATTGAGATGAATTTGTGCTGCTTGCTTCCAGCTTTGGTGGGCCTTCCAATCACATAATGTAAAAAAAGGAAAAGAATGGCAGAGGACTGAGAGGTCTACCTCCTCCCCTCCTCCTTCAGTGGGTTTTTTAGAAAGAAAAAGAAAAAAGAAACCATTTTTGACTTCGAATGGGTCCTCCAATCTTTTGTCACAAACCCTTTACTTTTTTCTCTCATATGCATCAAACATATTCAAGTGCCTATTGGGTACCAAATTACTAAATTGCCACTTCATACCCAAAAGAACATTTCTTTTAAAAAAAAAAAAAATTAAAATATAATTTTATTCCTAATTTAATTTTTATATTCTTGATAAATTAAAAAAAATAATAAAAAATAAAAGGATATAAAATTTTAAAAATAATATATATCATAACTATATTTATACGACCAAATACAAATATATTTTCAAATTTTATTATAGATGAAAATTAGAGTTGTACCAGCAAAATTCTCCTTTTATTTTCATGGATATCGAGTTTTTTCGCTTAAAATAATATTTTTATATTTTTTTAAAATAATATTTCTTTATAATTTTTATTTTCTAATATAATTTCTATTAAAAATTATAAATCATTCTAATAAATTCAATAATATTTCATAAGCAAAAATATATATAAATTTTATCAGCATAATTTTTAAATAATTAAATTTCAATATTATAACGTAAAGAAAAATCTTCCACGTGCATATTCGAACAGGAATATAATCTACATTCCTGATCCTATTTAGCTAATGACGAAAAATTAGAGGGTCTCGTATAATTTTATATTAATTTTAGATGAAAAATTTATAATTTATAACCTTTTAGATCTACAAAATTTAAAAATTTTAAAAATTATTTAAAAAAAAAAAAAAAGAACTTTATAGTTTCATCATCATTAATCAAAGTAGTAATTCATGCAGCAAACCATGTGCAAGTATTGAAGACATGTTCCTTTTTAAGACTGTTTATAATTGGTATTTAAAAACACTTTTTTTTTTTAAAAAAAAACATTTTTTTTTTTTTATTGTTCTGAAAACAAACAAATAGTACAAAATGGTAACAGTATTTTTATTATTTTTTTATGTTATTTTAGTATTTTCTAAATTAGATTTACAATAAAATAAATAAATGAAAATTAGGCTTAAAAAATTAGTAACTTATAAGAAATATTTTTTTATTATTTAAAAATTACCCAAAATTTAATATTTTTGTGATACTGAGCAAAAAACATATTGAAATAACTCGTGTTGCTTGTGGGAATAGTCTTCATTTTTAGAAAATAAGCTAGAAGTAAGCTCCGTGTTAGTCTGTGACAATAGTTTTTTTGTAAAAGCCCTTAAGTCCAAGCTAATTGATATTGTCCGTTTTGACCCGTTACATATCGTTGTCAACTTCATGGTTTTAAACACGTCTATTAGGGAGAGATTTCCACATATTTATTAGAAATGTTTCGTTCACCTCTCAAATCGATGTGAGATCTCACAACCCACTCTCTTTGACGGCCTAATGTCTTCGCTTGCATGCCGCCCAATGTCTGGCTCTGATACCATATTATGAGATCCCACATCGGTTGGAGAGAGTAACGAAACATTCCTTATAAAGGTGTGAAAACCTCTTTCTAGTAAACGCGTTTTAAAACCGTGAGACTACGACAATACGTAACGAGTCAAAACTGATAATATCTGTTAACGGTGGCTTGAACGATTACTATTTTAGTCAGAAATAACTAATCCTATCCTATTATATTCACGTCTTATTTCTTCGTACATTTAACACAGAAAAGTGAACATACCCCATATTATATTTAACAACCTTAAAAGTTGGGGACATTTAGGGCTAAATTATGACATAAAAGCTTCTTAATCTCTGCTAACTTCCTTAAAAGTGAAAAGCAAAAAGATAATTAATATGATCTTTGAATATTAATTAATGTTTGTGGGCTAAATGAATGTCTGTGAAAGGACAATTATAACCCTTTCATTAGCTTGCTTGGTGACTTTTCTAGAACTAATTACAATAATGACATTAAATCTTAATAATAATAATAAAACTATGCATATTTTAATATACATCTATATGTAATATTAAAATTATTTAGATATTCATAAATTCATTTGAAAAAATTTAAAATAATTCAAAAAATAATTTTTGATAATATTATAATATAAATGGAGAAAATTACATTAAACATATAATGGATATGAGAAGCTAAACACAGACCAATCGTGTCGCATCTCATTGTCATCTCAATTTCCAACAATACGATCCATGCATGCACACACAAACAGCGTGTGTGGGCAAACAACCTTAAATTTCGCACGAGCTATGTTTGATTGGCAAAGGCAAACCTCACTGAAGGTCCGACAAAGGCATAAAGCACGGCGAAAAATGTGAACGGGGTTTGAGTCCTCTTGTAAATATGTACGACCATAACTGTTGGTGCCAAAATTGACCCTTTTTTTTTCTCTTTTTTCTTAGATTCCAAACTACTTTTTTTATAAAAAAAAAAAAATTTAAATTTCAAAAAATATTTATCTATTATAGAAAAACAATGAAAGAGAGAGAAAGAGGATGAGGGGTAAAATGGTAAATTGAGATAGAGAATGTGAGAATGTTTTGAAAGCATTCTTGTTGAAGGGAGGAAGGAAGGAAGCCAGCTGGTAATGGGACCCACAAACAGGCATTGTCATCATATATTCCCTTTTTCTCTATTTATCTTCTTTCAAAGAGTTCAGATGTTCGAATCTCTACATATTCATCAACAATTAGATAAAGTTTGACTAGTGTGCAGAAGTGAAAATGACTTTTCTACCCTTGTCCCTCGCCTCGTTGTGTGCTCTACGTCCTACACAAATTCTCATTAAGTTTCATATCAATCGAACTCTTTCTATATTTTTGAAGTAAATACAAGAATTTTCGTTTAAAAGGAAAAATTTTAGATGAAAATATGTTTCAAAAATACCATTGAACTTTAAATAATTTTTTAAATAATTTCATTAACACACTCTAATTTTTTTTTTAAAAAAAAGTCCAAAAATACCCTTGTGGTTAATATGTTTAAAAAAAATAGGTAGAAAAATGTTAAAAAAATGTTTTAATGTCAATATATGGACGGAAACCATCTATCACACCTCGTAGATTATCTTCATTTTTAATGTTACTTTTAAAAGTTTATTAGTATTTTTAAAAATTATAATACTCCCATGTTACCGTGATATACGTTCTCTCGGAGACTAACATACATATTTATAGCATATTTCAATTCATGGTGTCTCGAGAGTCAAAGATTTAAATATATGAAATTATGATTTATCAAATAATACATATATAGTTGTGACAATATTATATAACATGCAATAAACGGTTAGAAATGTGCAACGATTTTATCTAATCATGAGTCCATTTGGTGCTCCTAAGCTCACACTAGCCTCGTATCAGCTTGGACCTCGTCCCCAAACACCATTGTAAAAAGACGAAAGCCCTTATTTGAGAATCGAAGAAAAAACTTCACTCAAAAGCAATGATTAAGGTTATTCAATCTTTAACCGGTTCTTCAATAAGTCACTACTATTTACAAGGAGAAGAAGATAGTGAAAAGGCATGTACCAAGTGCAACCGAGAAGGGCCAAATATGCCCGTATCGTGCTCAAATGGTCGAACAATTAGGTGTGTAAAACCAAACAAGCAATTGTGAATCCCACATTGGCTAGGGAGGAGAATAAACACCATTTATAAGGGTGTGGGAGTCTTACATTAGCAGACATGTTTTAAAACATTGAGGGGTAGCCTAAAATGGAAAGTCTAAAGAGGACAATATTTGCTAGCGGTGGACTTGGGCCATTACAAATGATATCAGAGTCAGACACTATACGATGTGTCAGCAAAGAGGTTGTTCCCCAAAGACGGGTAGACATGAGATGGTGTGAGATGGTGTGTCAGTAAGGACGCTGGGCTCCGAAGAGGGGTGGATTTGGTGGGGATCCCACATTAATTACAGAAAGAAACAAATGCTAGCGATGACGATAGACCCTGAAAGGGGTGGATTGTGATATATCCCACATTGGTTAGGGAGGAGAACGAAACACCCTTTATAAGAGTGTGGAAACGGAAGCCGAAAACCCACCGAAACTCCAAAGAGGACAATATCGGACTTGGACGGTTAGAAGGGCAATGTGTACTTACATCTGTAGTCAAGTTGATCTCGATAGAACTTCATAAAGGAACGAAAACTATAACCCCATCCAATTTTCTTTTGCATATGACATTTTTTTCTTTTAGATTACTAGAGTTCATCGTTAGTTTATCATTAATCAATTTGAAGAAGTGTCGTGATTATTCTCTAAGTTATGAAAAAGACCCTTTCCGAGCAGCTACAAAGAAATTGTTTGAAGAACTAATAAGATAAGAGTTAAAAAGTTCGGGTTTTAGATCCATACTTTTCAACTGGACCCAACTAATGTTGTACTAGAAACGTTGGCCTAAATGTAACCGAGACGGTACCTCTTATCAACCACTATTTGCTTTTTAAAAATATATCAATTTGAAGAATATATAACAATAATATTAAACATTAAATTCACTCATCATACAAACTAACTTTATACTAATCATTATTAAGAAGAAGAAGAAAACTAAGCTACATACAGTATACATAGAAGCTTTCTAGTTCCTTTGAGCCATTTTTTCTGCCTGTCTGATCCGATCATGTTCACATCCAAAATCTATGCTGCTATTTATACCTAGGCTTCCCTTTTAGGGCGGTTTCGAGTTCGTGGAAGAGCGGGTTTTTCTTCAAAAGAGATTTCTGAACTACCATCTTTGTTCTCTTCATCTTCCTCCATTATGGCTTGATTAAGAGCAAGCTGGTTCACAAACACAGTTCAACAAAATCAGTGTCTATTTCCCAGTTTCAGGAATCAATTTCCCTCAAGAACAGATTGTCATGCATAAAAAGGCTTTTTATCTCTTCTATAACAAGAATGTGGCCTTGAAATGAAGTGCCATGATCAAACTCATCCTATGGATTTTGCCATTCCTGCTCTAAATAGACTCTATGGGGCGACCAAAGATGGGACGGCTTGAGATGTTATGAGATGCCTTCAACGTACTAAGTTCGTGACTACAATGAGATTCATCTATCTTAAATTCAAATCCAATGAGATTCACCTTTCTTATGGTAGGCTACCCCTGCCTCCCTTGAGACTAGTGGTGGTGGTGACCGGTGAGAATATACACAATTCAAAAAAACCCATTCTCCCACCTCCCCTCATGAGTGAGATATCGCAACCTACTAATAAGAAAAAAGGGGGTGCGATCCATAATATGAGTGAGCGCTCACTCTTTTGGGGAGAACCGCATCGAGACAAAATCAATGTTTTGGCTTGCAGGAGAGACATCTGACTTTCCTATTGACTGAATCACTTGAATCAGTTTAAGGAGCTTTCTACCCTACGTTGGAGCGAGTGGGGGTTCATTACAAGTGGGCATGAACTGTAACCAAACAAATAAAAGTCAGCAAAGCACGAATTCCTGAACCATAAAGGGAACCACCTTATAAAGTCAAGAGCCTCACCTAAAGAACCAGACCCGAAGCTAAGAACAAGATCGAAAGTGCAACTAATCATTCCATTTTTTGAATGAGGTCTCCGATACCTAGATTATTTGTAGTTCTAGGTCTATGGGGTGACCAAGATGGAAAGGACTTGAAAATGTTTTTGAGATGCTTTCAAAGTCCTAAGTTCAAGCTCTCACCTAGAGAACACAGTAATTTAAACTCCTTGAAACTTGTCTGCTACGCAAGGAATGAGGCCTCCAAGATTATCCAAGTGAGGGATCATCTAATCAAATGACCATGAATCTACAAAATCAAGCTTTTGATCACTGATGCATAAAGAGGGCAACTTTTGGGTGGCTGGAGATGACCACATCGGTTGGGAGGAAAACCAAATATTCTTTATAAAGGTGTGAAAACCTCTACCTAGCCTTGTGTTTTAAAAACCTTGAAGGGAAGTCTGAAAGGGGAAGCCCAAAAAGGACAATATTTGCTAGCGGTGGGCTTGAATTATTACAAATGGTATCAGAGCCAGACATCAAGCTATGTGCCAGCAATAAGGTAGCCTCGAAGGGGAGTGGACATGAGGGGGTGTGCCAACAAGGATGCTGGGCCTCAAAGGGGTGGATTGGGGAGTCCCACATCAATTGGAGAAGGGAACGAGTGCCAGCGAGAACGCTGAGCCTTGAAGAAGAGTAGTGGGTTTGAGCTGTTACAAATGGTATCAGAGCCAGACATCAGGCTATGTGCCGGCAATAAGGTAGCCTTGAAGGGGAATGGACACGAGGCGATGTACCAACAAGGATACTGGGCCTCAAAGGAGATGGATTGGGGAGTCCCACATCGATTAGAGAAGGGAACGAGTGCCAGCGAGAATGTTGAGCCTTGAAGGAGGGTAGATAGTGAGATTCCTTTTCCTAGGAGAGGTGTTTTAAAAACCTTGAGGGAAAGCACAAAGGAAAAGCCCAAGAGAACAATATTTGCTGGCAGTTGGTTTGGGCTATTATAGGGTATCTCTCCTTTTTACAGATACCAGATATCACTGTACCTAATGAGAGTGCTTAACAAAGTACAGCAATCCTTCCATACGAACAATCTTAGCGTTAAAATTAGCACATGAAGAGATAGCTTGATTGCATCATAGTAACGAACAATTTCTCAACACTTCATAAAGGCTAGCTCAACCATAAACCATACAAATTCTAACATCAAAATATATGCAGAAATAATTTCCCAGAACACTAAGCATTAATACAAACAGGTTATGTGCATTAATATCACAGAAGCCTCAACATTGCAGGAAAGCTCATCTAAACCAAACATGAACTGAAACCAACCAGAACGCCCAACAAAATTCAGTCCCACAAACAAAATGGAGCAAAATAACAAATCACAAAGTACCTCCTCAAGAAACTTCTTGTCCAGGTTATCACCGATTTTGAGAGCGGTAAGGGCAGTGACGAGAATAAGAGAAAAGGGGATAGAGAAAGCGAAGATGTAACTGCTGGTGCTGGCACCGGCACGAGTCGTCACCACTCGTAGGGTTCTGGCGGCTGATGGGTCGCCGGAGAATCTGACCGCCGGCGACAATTTGGAGGGTCTGAAGAATGCTCGTGCCGGAACCAGCGGAAAGGGGAAGGCTCTGGTGGAGATAAGGAGCCTGGCCATAGCTTCAGACGTGTAAGGAATTGGACTGGCCATTCTTGCAGGCTGAATTTGATGTCATGTAAATGCGTGTGATGATAATGTATAACCAAAGTTCATTTTTATGAAATTCGGCTTGGCCTCTTGTAATCTCGAGTTCATAATTCTCTATAAATACGCTATTAGGGTATTGATTTAGCTTTTTAAGAAAGAATAAGAACATGTTAAGAAACAAAATTATACCTTTATCTATTAAAAGAGAATTTTTGATAACGTTCTCGTTTCTCTCTTCTTCCCTTGTTTTGTCGTCCTTCTCTTTCAATAGATCTTATCGTCTCTTACCTTAGTTATAGTCGTTGTTGTCTTAGTTTATTGCTACCTTTGTCTTCGTTTCCTACTCTTAATCATTTAGGCTCAACGACCGTTTTTAGATTATTTAAAAAAGTTCTATTTATTTACTGTACATATTATTTTTAGTGGTCTAGTTGACCGAACAAAAGAAAATTCAACTCCGAAAATGAATAAGATTTTCAATTTTTTTTTTTAATTCAACTTAATCTAGACGGAAACAATTCAAATCCAACTGAAGTTTTATGATTTGGGTTAGATAGTTCAAGATGGGTGTGTTGTTGAAACGTTAATGATTACATAAAAAACAAAATTCAACTTAAAAAAAAACAATATTAATATTTATACTAAATTAATAAAAATACTTATAAATATGGTACTTTATCTAAAAAAAAATATTTATAAATTTGTTAAAAATTCTCTAAAAAATACATTTGAACTTAAAAAAAAATCGAAAATATCCCGTTAATTTTGGATGAACTTTTAAATGTTTAAAAATTCTATTAATATTTTTTTATTTTTTAAAAATACTTTCAATTTTTTTTTTTTGTAGAGAAATTCAAAATTACACATGTGTTAAGGCATTTCAAAAATGCTCATAAAATTTTAAAATGAATATTAAATAATTTAGAGATAATTTACGAGTGTTCCATAAACAAGTAAAAAAAATTAAAATTTTTATTATAAATATAAAAAACATTAATACTATCTTTCAAATTTTATGAGTAATTTTTAAATATAATATAGAATTGCTTAATGATTTTTTTTTTATATAATTTAAATGTATGGTTTTAAAAGTTTATGATATTTTTCAAAATAAAGGAATATTTTTTATTAAGTTTATGACGTTAGATCCCATTAAAGAAATGATTTCTACGTGAGAAGGACGCAAAACGAACGAAAGTTCTGCAAAAAGTCTCATCGACCGTATTGGATGATGAAAGTCCCACATCGGCTAATTTAGAGAATGATCATCGGCCGTGTTGGATGATGAAAGTCCCATATCGGCTAATTTAGAGAATGATCATGAGTTTATAAGTGAGGAATGTTAGATGAAAGTGTCTCACATTGGTTAAGTTAGGAAATGGTCATGATTTATAATCTAAGAATATATTCTCTATTGGTATAACGCTTTTTAGGATCGTAATATCATACCATTTTAACATGCCAAACTTCGATTTCTAACTCTCAAATCACAATAATCATTCCCTTCCTCCATTCTCCTGTTACAGTTTATCTCACTCCACATTCCCTCAAGAATCGAGTTCCCACTCGCCGGATCCTCATTGCTTCAGGCCTTCAATCGCGATGAAGGCGGGAGCGCAGCCGGCGGTTAAGGTCGTCGCGCTCTGTGGTTCTCTTCGCAAAAATTCTACCAACAGAGGCTCTCTCTCCATTTTTCTGTTTCTGTGCTCTGTTTTTTTGTCGATTGTTCGTCGTCTAGGGCTCTGATTCGGCGACCGTTGTTGTAGCGACGGAGATTGCTGAGTCGATCGATGGATTGGAAATCGAATATGTAGATATCTCGCCGTTTCCGATGCTCAACACCGATTTGAAGGTTGGTGGAACGTATCCTCCGGCTGTCGAGGCGTTTCGTCGGAAGATTCTGGAAGCAGAGAGTGTTCTCTTTGCTTCGCCGGAATATAATTACTCTATCACCGGTAAATTCCTTTTCATTTTTACTCTTTTTTTTTTTTTTCTAATTATATAAATTATCCCTTTTATCAATATTTTTAAATTACTTGAAGAGTATAAATTTATTAGAATATTGAAACTAAAAATTGACTTGCCATCACCCTAAGTTAAATTACCATCTTGACTTCCAACTGTCAATAATACACCATAACTCTCTTAAACACGACATACAACTTGAAGCTATTGTGACCTCCAAAGAACAATTCTTCTAAAAAATTTAAACCGTTCTAAGTTGAAATCTCATTCTAATTAAGGATCTGTATGGTTATGGATGATTTAGGTGCACTGGAACTAAGAACTAGTCTTTTTTTTTGCCAACCTCTATCGAAGAAATTTAGCCTTAAGGAATCCCTTAGATATGATACAAAATGGATTTGTTCTCTGTGAACCATATGAATTGGAGTTTGAAGAAGGGGAAGGAGAAGGAGTCCTCGACCCCACGGATAGAAGAGGATTTATTCAATCACATAGGTTGGGCTCCTAGAATATGGCGCCCTTGGGGCTTTCTATTTGATTGTATCAAAAGGCCCAATGAATTGGGATCACGGTTTACTGTATAAATCATATTTGACCCTTAATTATAAGCCAGTGTCGAGTATTGTTGAAGATAATTAGTCTTCTATAATGGTTTAACATATATATCGTATTTGATCCTTGATCATAGTCTAATATCGTATATTCATTTACTGCTCTTTCTATTTCATTTGTAATCTATTTGATTCTATAAATGATTATTAAAAGAGAGCTCTTACCATCATTTAGGTGCGGTGATTTTAGTAAATATTCTCACTTTTTTCTAAAAATATTGGTTTTTAGAATGAGTAATTGCCTCCTTCGGCCATACTGCCTACCTCGAGAGCAAATAGCTAATAGATTTCACGTATTGTACGAGGTGTACGAGGTGCACTGAAACAACATGAGATTGAATTTGGGTTAAGTTTAAATGAATCGTGTTTATACACGTCAACTTTTCATTCAACCTTCTAACTAATTTTCTTGATAAGGGTAGTTTTGAAACCTTTAGTTCTTTCATACTCATTGATGGGAAAACGAAATGGTACAAAATCGAGAATTCTCATTTGCTAAATTAGGTCAAAAATTTGTTGGGTTCTAAATCGAACATAAAAAAATCAAACAACAAAAACGAGCCAATCTAAGCCTGACTTAGGGGTAAAAAGATTTTTATTGTTTGAAACCGAACTCGTTTTATGATATATTATTCCTAAGTAATCGAATCCGGCCATGAAAACAACAAAAAGGCATGCATTTTCCTTGAGACTATTAGGAACCTCTGTTGTAAATTGATTAGATATGATACCAATTATTATTTTAAAATTTTGATGGCTTGTAGATATATATAATAAAATGACCTAAAATTCACAATAATAAGTGCAAGTATACACTATCACAAATATCAAGTAATAAGTAAATTATTGATTCCACACCTAACCTATCTTTTTGGTTAAATTTTAAAGTTGTATAGTATTTTTAAAATACTATTAAAAATTTTATGATGTTTTAAAAATAAATATTAAAGATCATTATCATTTTTATTTTTTATTTTTATAAAATTAGGTAGAAATATTTATGAGAGAAAATATAAAATTTAGAATATTTTTAATAATTGATGGGAAGTACTTCCTGCTGTGCTGTTAATTTCCATTAAAGAAATGATTTGGACATGAGAAGACGCAAAACGAGCAGAAAGTGCAGCAAAAAGCCAGACCACATGCGCCACACCACTACTATTCCTAACACAATCTCATCGCCTCAACTTCGTTTTCAACTTTCGGATCACAATACTACAATTTCTCTCGCTCCACATTCCCGTAAGAATCGGATCTCCACTCGCCGGATCCTCACTGCTTCAGGCCTTCGATTGCGACGATGGCACTCTCTATGATTGTGGGAGCGCAGCCGGCGGTTAAGGTCGTCGCGCTCTGTGGTTCTCTTCGCAAAAGTTCTACTAACAGAGGCTTGATTCGTGCTGGTAATCGAAATCTCTATCTCTCTCTTTCTCTCTCTCCATTTTTCTGTTTCTGTGCTCTGTTTTTGTCGATTATTCGTCGTCTAGGGCTCTGATTCGAAGATCGTTGTTGTAGCGACGGAGATTGCTAAGGAGTCGATCGATGGATTGGAAATCGAATATGTAGATATCTCGCCGTTGCCGATGCTCAACACCGATTTGGAGGTTGATGGAACGTATTCACCGGCTGTCGAGGCGTTTCGTCGGAAGATTCTGGAAGCAGAGAGTATTCTCTTTGCTTCGCCGGAATATAATTACTCCGTCACCGGTAAATTCCTTTTCATTTTTATTCCTTTTTTTCCTAAATTATATAAAATATCACTTTTATTAATATTTCTAAATTAATAGAGTATAAATTTATTAGAATATCGAAACTAAAAATTGGCTTGGATTGTGAACTTGAAGTCCTAACCTCGGCCCTAGGTTAAATCACCATCTCGACTCCGGCCTAATTCTATCGTAGAGGCCAATAATATTCAATAACTTCTCTTAAACTCAACTTACAACTTGAATCGTTTTGCGAACTCTAAAGAACAATTCTTCTCAAAATCTCGAACAACTTTCAGTTAGAATCTCATTCTAACTGAGAATTTGTGTGGTTATAGATGATTTAGCTAGAGGAGAACTAGGAATATGGCCTGATTTTTTTTTTTCAACGAGGATATTTAGTCTTCCATTACGGTTTAACATATGTATCATATTTGATTATATGCTAATATCTTGTATTATTGATAATAATTAGTTTTCCATTATGGTTTAACATTGCATCATATTTGATTATATGCTAATATCTTGTATTATTGATAATAATTAGTCTTCCATTATGGTTTAACATTGCATCATATTTGATTATATGCTAATATCTTGTATTATTGATAATAATTAGTCTTCCATTATGGTTTAACATGGCATCATATTTGATCCTTGTTCATAGACTAATATCATGTATCCATTTATTGCTCATTCCATCTCATCTGTAATCTATTTGATATTTGATTCTGTAGATGATTATTAATAGAGAACTTTCGTCTAAAAATATTGGTTTTTAAAATGAGTAATTGCCTTCTTCGACCATATGGTCTGCCTCGAGAGTAGATAGCTAATATGTTTCATGTATTAAACGGGGTGCACTGAAACAACATGAAGGTGAGTTTGGGTAAAGTTTGAAAGAAACACATGTTTATACAAGGCAACTGTTCATTCATCCTTCTAACTAATTTTCTCTATGAGAGTAGTTTTGAAACCTTTAATTTTTTCTTACTCCACTTGATAGGAAAATGAAATGGTTTAAGCGTAGAATTCCCAATTACTAAATTATGTAATATTTTTTGTCGGGTTCTAAACCGAACTGGAAATATGAATCTCGACTGAATCTCGTCTCATCCCATTAATAAAAGACGTTGATTCAATGATGACTAAATACTTTTTCATTTCATGTCAGTTTGATTTAGTTGTTTGTGATGTTGATAGCACCACTGAAGAATGCACTAGACTGGGCATCAAGGCCACCAAATGTATGGGGAGACAAAGCAGCAGCAATCGTGAGCTCAAGTGGGAGCTTAGGCGGGGCAAGATCACAGTACCATCTTCGCCAAATTGGTGTGTTTCTTGACCTTCATTTCATAAACAAGCCCGAGTTTTTCTTGAATGCATATCAGCCGCCACCCAAGTTCGATAGCCATGGCGACTTGATCGACTGCAAAGTTCGAGAGAAGTTGAAGGCTGTTCTTTTGGCCTTGCATGCATTTTCCTTGAGACTACGAAGAACCTCGGTTGTAAATTGAAGATCTTATATGGAACTTTGTATGTGATGAGTAATGTTCTTAGGTATGAGCAATAGAGTACCATTCGTATTGACACGTTCCCAATTAGATACATGTTGTTGTAAGATTTTAAGACTTGTCGTTCACTAGAGCTCTACCTGATACCAACGTGAATAAGATCTCCACTAGATAGATGTAACGTCTTAGCTAGTACACGCAGATGATCAAAGCAAATTCTTTACAATTAAAAACTAAGAAGTATTCTAAAAAATGAGCAATTCATTTGAATTACGTATCTTTAGTGTATTATCAAGTCAAACATAGTTCAATAGATACATATTAAATACTATTTCCTTATTCCATTATTCCATTATTATTGAGGTATAATAATAATAATAATCAATCACTATGATTAAAATAATAAATAACCATCTTCAATTAAAAAAAAAAAAAAAAAACATTCATTTATTAAACATAACATAAAATAACTAATAGATATGTGATTACAAGAAAAAAAATAAGAACTCTCCCATATAGCCAAACTATATTCAATCAACACTAATTGATAAGATAATTGTAGACTCTTGCTAGCTTCGGGGCCTCGATTTTTTAACTTTTCAAACTCCAAATTTCTAGAAACTTCTAGAAGTCTTATATTAGAAAAATATCGGTACCATTATAAATAAATAGAAAATTGAATCAAAATAGGTCAAATTAAGCAAAGAGTAGAAAATCGATTCGATTAAATCAAACATGAACAGTACCGTGAACAATGCATGAACAAGACCACGAACATTACATAGAAACAATACCTTTGAATAATGTCATACCTAACCTCCAGCCATAACACACCTCGATATTTCACACTTTCTTCACAAAACTTCTAAATCTCTTTACGTTGAGCAATTTGGTTTAAATTTTATCAATTTTGGCTAACTAAGGAAAACGTATTAGAGGATGAAATTCACAATTTCACCATTTTTTTTCAAATTCAAGTCTCAATTTTTTTCATAAAACATGTAAAGCTTCCTCCTACAAAACCACATAAACAAGAATAATTAAATTATAAAACATGTAATTTTTAAAATTTAGTTTAGGTTACATATCATCAACAGTGTCACGGTTTTTAAAACGTGTTTACTTGGAAGAAGTTTCTGCACCCTTTATAATGAATGTTTCATTCCCCTCTCCAACCAACCTGGAGTCTCACAATCCACCCCCTTGGGGGACCAACATTCTCGCTAGCACCTCACTCGGTATCTAGCTCTAATACCATTTGTAACGGGCCAAACTCACGCTAGTAGATTTTATCCCCTTTGGACTATTACAAATGGTATCAAAGCTAGAAATTGGGCGGTGCACCAACAAAGATATTGGGCTTCCAAAGGAGATGGATTGTGAGATGTCACATCGGTTGGAAATGGGAACAAAGTATTCTTTATAAGGGTGTAGAACCTCTTCCTAACAAACGCGTTTTAAAACCGTGAGGCTGACAGCGATACGTAATAGGTCAAAGTGGATAATACCTAAGGGTGAAATTAATAAAATTCAATAAAAGATAGAAAATGCAATATTTAGCAAAATTACATGAAACAGAAGTTAAAAAAACTTTACTCAATTGCATGTATTTACATTAACGTTTATACATCCATAATTAGTGGTACAGTAAGGACCAATTTCTCTCAAGTGCCAAATTAAGCCTTTCAGCATCTGAGCTTAAGACTCCTATCCCTATTCATTATCTCCATACAACGCTGTATTCAGTTACCTATTCCATATGATGGATCACTTTTAACAGGGATCACCCTTCTCGTTTTCGAGGTTTAGTCGACCACGTATAACATAGTGTACATGATGAGTTAATTATCATGGTTCGGCGTTCTTACCGATGAACTTTCAAGCATAGGAGGGTGTGCTCCAACCATCTTCAATCATAATAAGGGCAAGGCGTTTCATCAAGTTTTCCACAGCTTCTTCCTCCTCGGAACTTGACTTGTCGGTTGGACTCGAGGAACTCTGCAGTGGTTGGCTGAGGTGATCAGTTCATTTTAGATTGATAGAATTCCCTTTCCATTTATTTTCATTTTAGATTGATAGAATGTACCATTGTTTCCTGATACAACTTCAAGTACTCCAGTGATTGCTCATAGAAGCCACAGTGGTAGAGAAGGATGCTATAATCTCTCAGTTCCTTCATATCAACATCAAGGAGGATAAGCCGTTCACATGCTGCAAGGAAGCATAATGAGCTTACAGATTAAGATGAAGTAAGAGTAGAAGTAACTGAACCTTTTCCTTAAGGAGAGAACAAGAATATTTTGGTGCTAATGTGGATGAGAGAGCTAGAGCTTGTATAAATCCATGAGCGAAGCTTGAGATGTCAATGGGATACAGAATAAGGCTTGCTGTGAGATCTCACACCGGTTGAAGGGGGGAACGAAGCATTCCTTACAAGGGTGTGGAAACCTCTCTCTATCGACGCATTTTAAAACCGTGAGGCTAACGACGATACGTAACAGGCCAAAGCAGACAATATCTATTAGTGATGGGTTTGGGTTGTTGCAATCGTATCAGAACTAGTCATCGGGCAGTGTATTAGCGAGGAGGTTGATCCCTAAAGAGGGTGAATTGTGAGATCTCATATCAGTTGGAGAGGGGAACGAAACCTTCCTTATTCGTGTGGAAACCTCTATCTATCAAATGTGTTTTAAAACCGTGCGGCTAACGGTGATACTTAATGGGCAAAATGGGACAATATTTGTTAGTGGTGGGCTTCGATTGTTAAACTTGTACTAAGACCAAATAAACCAGAGTTTAGCCCGGTGAGGTTTGTTTGGACTCTAGTCAGTAGTTCTATTCTTTTTCTTAAAACAAAATGAGTAGGAAAGTAAATAAATAAAAAAGATGGCATTTTTTCAGTATGGCTAAATAGTTTCTTCACCATTTTCTGGATTTTCTTTATTTGATCTTCTATTACAGTCTCGAAGAGAGAGAAGTGTAGCATACCAGCTAATGCACGCCTCATATCTACATAACGCCTACTTGTCCAAACTCCACGTTCTAGCTTGTGTTGAGCAGCCTTTGCAGACGCAAGCTGAAAGCCACTGAAAAAGGTAAAAAAAACGCAAAAAACAGAGATATTAATGCACATATCTACAAGCTTTGATTAGAAGGGAGGGCTGAGGAAAGTAAAGAGTTATTGGATGGTGAATTTGGTGATGCAAGTAGGCCTACGCTGCAGATTTAAATAGTTGAAATACCTTTCCTCAATTGTATTCGATCTATCACTACATTTAGCAACATCAACGGCTCTTAAGAATAAACTTCTGGGTTGATTTTGTTGAAATGGCCAAAAAGATTCTTTTAAATTGTTTAAAATCTGCATTCATGTACACAATCAGAGAGAGTAAATCAGAACTTTTCTAGTTTAAAAAGAGATTAGAACTACGGTTTCTTTAATCAAGAACGAATGCATAAGCGCATACAAAATCGACAACCCAACAAAAAAGAATGCCAAAACCCTAACCTAGCAATACAAAAAAAGAATCCAATTCATCCAAATGTGTAAGGCCTTAGTAACAGACGCCCAGAGATATGCATTAAATCTATCAAGAGACCACATATCCTACTAATATTTACAAAAATATTTAAGAAGTTTGAACCGTATTAGAAAGGCCAAGTACTCTTTTCTTGTTAATTGGAAGCCTAAAGGTCCCACTAGAGTCCTTACCTAAGAGGTCTTAGGTAAGGAGATCCTATTTCCCCATCCTAAAATTTTTAGGGTGGGTGTGAGATCCCACATTGGTTTGTGAGGAGAACGAAGCATTCTTTATAAGAGTATAGAAACCTCTCCCTAGCAGACACGTTTTAAAAACCTTGAGAGGTAGCCCAAAAGGGAAATCCCAAAGAGGACAATATCTGCTAGCGGTAGGCTGTTACAAATGGTATCAAAACTAGACACTGGGCAATGTGCCAACGAGGAGGATGAGCCCCGAAGGGAGGTGGACATGAGGCGGTATGCCAGTAAGGACGCTAAGCCCCGAAGGGGGGTGGATTGTGAGATTTCACATCGGCTTGGGCTGTTAAAGTAGTAGTTGATGCTCTTAGTAGGTTCATTTTGGCACGGTGGATAAAGGTCTCCTTGAGGGTTGAGCGGGAAGGGATAGATCCCATCATTAGCATCTTCAATTTACTGATGATACAATCTTTATTTATCCGGGTAGGAAAGATTTATATTTTAATGTTAACCATTTATTGTCGATCTTCAAAATCATTTTGGTCTTAAGGTTAACAAATCTAAGAGTACAGTCATTAGTATCATATTTGATAGGACCAAGACTAAATATTACCTCCACCAACAGACTTTGGGTTGTTATTATGTGTGGTTGATCAGATTCCTTGCTTTTCAGTTTATGATAGCCTGTGGGAAGGCTATAGTCGTCATGAGGATGATATATCTCTACATCGAAATCCAGAAGGCTCCACAAACGAAGCATTTTCAAGATCTCGGAGTATACGAGTGAAAGTAGTGCAGATGATCCTGTACCATGGGTCAAAACCTGTCAACATGAAACAAAATATTGCCAAAAATAATTCAACTCCATTACAAAAAATAAGAAAGAAAAAAACTCAAAATAGAAAATACAGGGCATAATCTTTTACTGTGTGAAGATATAGAGCTTGTGGTTCCAATTGAGCTTTAGAACTGGTTCTTCTGAAACCCTAAAATATGAAATATGTCATTGGAAGAATTTTGAGATATGTTTAACTTGTTATAACCGTTTTTGAAATTTAAAAATCTTACCTTAGTGACATACATGTACCTCTCTATACTCTCCAAAAAACTTTCTGGTGATAAATTGAATGAAGATTTGTAGTGAGTGCAATAGCCCATGGAAAGGTCAGCTAGACTATGAATAAATGCATCGATGGGAAGAGGAACAGATGAATTAGATACCAAGGAATCATCCTCTGCTGCAATGTAAAGAGCAGCTTTCGCCAAATCAACACGCCTATTAATGCTAATACTTGTTTCCCTCTCTATATTGGATAAGTATTGAATCTGAGTCAAGAAACCCTTCCTAGCCTCCTGCACAGTCATTGAGCATCAAAATATGATTATTTGACAACCGTTTTGTTCTTAAGAAACTAGAGCATGTCTTTGATTTTTGATAACCATGTTAACCAGCAGAGCATAAATATCAAACTGTGCAAGCAAAATAACTTCAGATAAAAGCAACTTAAATTACTACTGCGGTCAAGAATTTGTCATGTACAATCAAGAAAGTTAACAAAATAGAAATAAAATGTTCTCGTTCATGAAGGAGGAGAAAATAGAAGTAGTAGTTGCAAATGCTTAAAGCTAATCAGTGATCAACACTTTTTTTTTTCTATTTTAAGAAACCAAGCTTTCACTTGGTAGAATGAATGAATGTACGAGGGCATACACAAAAGAGGCTCAGCGCAGGGAAAGAATTTCACAACTACCTGGTGTAATAGCCCAAGCACACCACTAGTAGATATTGTTCACTTTAGCTCGTTACGTATCGTCGTCAGGTTCACGGTTTTAAAACGCGTCTGTTAGGGAGAGGTTTCCACACCCTTATAAAGAATGATTCGTTCTCCTCTTCAACCGATGAGGGACCTCACAATCCACCTACCTTGGGGCCAGCATCCTTTCTGGCACACTATTCAATGTCTGGCTCTGATACCATTTGTAATAGCACAAGCACACTGCTAACTGATATTGTTTGCTTTAGCTCGTTACGTATCGTCGTCAGCTTCACAGTTTTAAAACGCGTCTATTAGGGAGAGGTTTCCACACCCTTATAAGGAATGTTTCGTTTTCCACTCCAACCGTTGTGGGATCTCACAATCCACCCCCCTTGGGAGTCTAGCGTCTTCAGTGTGCAATATTGTCTGCTTTAGCTCGTTACGTATTGCCTTCAGCTTCATGGTTTTAAAACATGTCTGTTAGGGAGAAGTTTTCACACTCTAATAAAAAATGTTTCATTCCCCTCTCCAACCGATGTGGGATCTCACAAAGGGATTCTAATCCAAAAGAATAAAATCAAGCTGATAATTACAAAAAGTTCGATGGCTGGACGCTCATAGGGAAGCATTAAACCTATTAACCTCCCAAACTTTGTTCCAAGATAACTAGTAAGAATCTAAAGAGAGTGAAAATAAACCTTAATAAACCAGGATCCCTGTAGAATGTCTTGCCAGATGTGCTCAATAGATCAAACAACTTTGATTGTTTTCTCTCTTCCATTTTCTTTTAAAATCAAAGTGCTTATCATCTTAACTAATAAACCAAAGGGGGAAATAATGAGGCTCTGCGCCAATCCAAGAACAAATAAACCAAAGTAGAGGTTAATATAGTTCTGATCTTAGAATTCTTGTTTCTAATTTGGTCCCTGTAACTACAAAAATATGAAGTAGAAAACAAAAAAATAACGGATAGTTTGTTTCAATATCAATCGCCCCATTCACTTTTTTAATGCTTCATACCACGGACATGATAAAATAGCAGTAAAGAAATTGAAAACCAGAGAAGATTCAGAAAAATCCCAGACAACAACAAGAAAACAAGCACATTCCATTTCGGAAAAAGCTTTTACAAGACCGAACGTAGAATCAAAAGAACTGTTTAGACTTGATCACCAAATAAATAAGCAACAAAATCTCCCTGAATGCCCAAAGCAAATTAGCAGAACGTTAGGAATTAAAAGCACCCTAATCAAAAGAAAACAAATCAGAAGATAAAACAGAGGATTTACCTTAGAATAGGAGGCGTCAATCCCAGAAGAATCCATGGCATCGTGAAGGATGAAATGGAAATCCTGGGGAGCAATATTGTGCCGAGAGCCACCAGAACAAACCACTCGAAATCTCGGCTGAATCGAATGGGATGAAGAAGAATTGAATTTAGAGAATTTGGAAGAAGCTGACAGTCTTGGAATCCATAAGGAAGCAAAAGAAGAAGCAACAGTGAAGGAATCCATTGCCACAGAGAGAGAGAGAATAGCAGAGGTAAATATCTTCTCTGCTGCTTCAGGTCGTTACCACTCCACGAGGACAGTTAAATATATTTTTTATTAAAAATTATTTAATAATAATTTTAATTTTAATACAAGAAAAAAAAAACATTTCAAAATTTATATTTTTTCTATTCTATAGTATAATATCATGTAATAAATTTTTTTATTAAACAGATCAGTTGTATTTAATATGTTTACCTAATTTGGATTTGAACCAATAATTATTGTCGTCCATTTAATTAAGTCGATCATTTATCATCATAAAGAAAAATAAATGGAACCGATCACATCAATAAGTAATGAGTCCAAGATGGTTGACAAACGACCAATAAAAATAATATATTTTCTCATGTAAAGATGTGACGTGAAGGTGGTGATGATCACCCCGGAGTATGTGTGAGAGCTCTTGAAAAGCGCTCCAAGACCTGTTAATGCTCATGAAAAACTAGCTCGGTCCTCCATTCATTTGACAAGAGGGGTAGACAATGAAGTCACCTTTACAACCTCCTTTTTGTCCCTGTGATGTAACAATTAGGTCGATGCATATTTTTTTTTTTTTTTTCCTATCGAGTGAAAGGAAATTCTAATAAAGCTTGTTGCTCGTGGACTTGAAGGTCAAGGACATCCCATCCCATCTCACTCAATGTCTTTTTCTTGAGAAAATGAGGTTCATATCATAAACACTGGTCCTATTTGTCGAACACGAGAAGATTCTATGTCAGATTCCGTAGTCATTTGAAGCACAAATGAGAATAGTGAGAGGCGTGGTATGTCAAAACGTCTTCTTGTTGCTACCCTTTTCTCGAGCACCTACACATTCTCGCTCTGCAACACCGAGCAAAAAAACGTAACCAAGTCATAAAGATCGAATCGAAAACTTTAAAATTATTGATGAACATCAAGGCACTCCACATTCCAAATTAGCCTTCCTATTGATATTGATCAGAAGAATTGTTTTCAGGCACATACACACAAGCTTGAACAAGACAGCACCATAGCAACTACTCAATAATTTCTCACTCACTTCAATTTTTGGTCAAGTTCTTAAGGCTGCTTGTTATATATATATAGATATATATATATATATCTATATCTATATATATTATATAGGGGGAGCTGATTCTTCCTCTCCTGTTGACCCCACAAATACAAAATCATCTGCCTTCTATGTACAACTCAAAATAGCAGAAAATATGATCATTTTTTTACCTCTGTACTACAGAGGAGGGGTTCCTGAGCTACTTTCAAATGCTAAGAGACACCATTACTGTTGTTGGCTGCCATTTTCAGCTTCTTCTGGGATCGGCGTCAGCTCTCCACCGACGTTTTTGTTCTCGTTTTCCTCTGATGCTGTGTTACGATCTCGGGGTTTACTTGAACGAGGCTTCCTGAAGTACTTTGCCACGAACATTTCAGCCATGTCGGGATACTTGCCTTTAATGAAATTGTCGAGGCATTTGCGATATGAAAAGTCCTCTTTATGACCGTCGGTTGATACAACGTAAAAGCACCTGCTTTCCTGAAAACTACTGTGTCGACTAACCTGTCGAGTTTAAGCGCTAAACGATGTAAGATATCTCGTCAATTGTCCATTACAATGTATTTCAGCTCAGATTAGAAGCATACCATGAAGTGGTCAATTCCAGCTCCCATTTTTACAGCTTTGTCAGGATGGAAGTTGAATACACTTTGAAGTATGAAGGATTGATCTTCAGCAGACAGAGGATCCCCATCGTTGTACCTTCTCACAAAAATTCATGAGTGAAAATTTAAATATAATGTCATTGTTTAAGAAAAACAAATTAACAACATGAATCTAAATACATTAGCAGACGATTCGAGCAGCTGTGTACAAACAAGAAGCAGAACGAAAGTTCATGAAGAAGCTGATGAAAAATGTGTTAAGTGAAAGCATTCAGAGAGAAAAAGTACCCAGATTGATGCATTATTTTTCTGATGGATTGCATTATAGGTTCGATATCAGCAAGAATATCTTGTTCTTCGGTCGTAAACATATCCAACCGTTGTCCTGATGCGGTATATAATCCGCGTAAATTAGCATCGTCGCTCGTCATTCCAGGAGACTTTGGAGGACGGTTCTTCCTATTTTTCCACTCCCCGACGTTTCCTCCCCAACTTTTTGACCCTTGATTCTTCTTATTATCCCATCCATGTGAACTTGTCGAATCGCTCGAGTCAATATGAGAGCCCCAACCATGTGAAACTTCTGGTGATTTTTGTTGTTCCCAACCTGATGAAGTTTCTGGAGGTTTCTGATTATCAAAATGTTTATTTGAATCATCCTGAGATTCCTGACTGAACTCTTTAGGTGTTCTCTGGAGCTGCCCCCACGAACCCTGTGAGTGTGAGTCCTTCTGGGAGCCCCAGCTTTGCGAGTCCTTCTGGGAGCCCCAGCTTTGCGAGTCCTTCTGGGAGCCCCAGCTTTGTGAGTCCTTCTGGGAGCCCCAGCTTTGCGAGTCCTTCTGGGAGCCCCAACTTTGTGAGTCCTTCTGGGAGCCCCAACTTTGTGAAGCCTCCGTAGACTTCTGCTTCTCCCATGGCTTATCCATCTTCTTCTGAGAGTCCCAACCTCCTGAATCACTGGTAACTTGATCACACTCATGATTCGGTCCTTCATTTAACTCGATTCGGGATCCCCAGCCATGTCGATTTGATTCATTGTTAACATGTGAAGGTTTTTTAACTTCCCATGATTTCTGTTGCCCCCACGCATCGTTACCGTACTCTCCCTGGGATACCTCGGGTGGTTTCTGTTGATCCCAAGAATGATTGATGGCAACTGAATCACCAAGCTCCACCACTTTGGATTGAAAGTTATCCTCCGAGTCACCAGTCCTCTGAACGTCCCGGCCATCCCACCTATCAGACACCTTCTCTAGGTCCATTGATGTCTGGCCATCATTCCAACCTGCTCCAGATTCACCATCTCCAGCATTCTTCCCCCAACCCCCTGCAGAACCCCAACCATTGCTATTGGGAGAAACTTCTTGCACATGGGCTTGCCATGGTTCAGCTTTATCCTTCGCCCGACTAGACCAATTATCTTCCGTTTTAGAAGTTCCTCTTGACCAAGCCTTATCATCCCATCCACCAGATTTAGACGCTATCTCGACCTTTTTATGGAAGGCGTCTTGTGTTTCAGCTTTATTGCTCTGCAAACCAGACCACACATTTGATTTTTCAGGCGCTGTTTCTCCTTCTTTAAAGCTATCGACATCTTTAGTTTTCGTCCCCCATGTAGCTGCACTATCCCAACCTCCAGTTTTTGGAGTATTCTTCGTGGAAGTAAAGGAATCTTGTTCGACTTCTTTTGAAGACCAGCCATTGTCATTTGAAGCCTTCGTAGCCTTATTTCCCCAGCTTGGTGTAGTATCCCAACCAGATTTTGAAGTGGTCACATCAGGGTCAACTTTTGTCCCCCAACCAGACCAGTCATTGTCTTGGGATGTCTTACAATTTTCATTACTTTCCCACTGCCCACCACCAGCGGAAGCAGCACCAAGAGAATGATTATCCAAACAGTGTTCAAATTCAGCACTGTCTTCAAAAACTGGCTTCTCAGAAGTAGAGAAGGGGTCCGGGGACAGAGTCAACTCGCCATATTCATCTTCGACCATTAGATCGTCAATCTCTACACCTAGACATGCAGACGTTGATTCTTCCGATTTACCACTCCTCACCATGTGTAAAAAGTTATAAACATCTACAACATCAGCTTGTTTCGATCCTAACTAAAAATAGAGAGAAAAAAACGTGTGTGAACGAGTTGAACAATAAAAGCGATCATAAATGGACAACGACAACAACAATAATATAATAACCGATCGCTACCTCTTTTTGGTCCCAGAGGATGTCAAACTTTGATCCAGTACCAACAGCAACATGTTTACCCCAAGAACAAGATGCCACTATGCTTGATAAAGAATCCTTGTGACATTTAGTAGCAGCTCTCTCAAAACATCTTCTTGGTGTCTGTAAATCCATAGAGCAAATTGTATGACCAGTAGAGTATCAACAATTAACAAAAAGGCAACTAAAAATCATTTGGTTTCCAAGAGAGAAAGAACGAGAGGGGCTTACAAACAACGTTGCTTCTGTAAACGGTACTTGGATATTCAACGCACGAGATAATGCTTTATATCCACCTGAATTGAAGCCAATCATATTTCCTGTGCATGTCATACTGTTTGCCAGCAGAATAAGATGATCTCCGAGTACACCTTTTGAAACCATTGACACCGACTTCGAAAGCCGCTGCATATAAAACATCTCATGTATCATTAATGTTCTTCAATATTCGTCGTTCAACTCTTTATTCAACATTAGTCCTTTAATTCTTTCCTATGTAGTCCCCTATAATGCAGGAATTTTCCATTCTACAGAAAAAGGTTTCAATAGAAGTACTTTGTTGGGACAGAAAGGATTATATATTCCTCGTACCTGAATCGTTTGATCAAAAGCGCACGAAATGCCAAGCAGTTTTTGAACTTGTTTAATTGCATAAGGAACAGATCGTCTAGTATCAATCAAATGAATTATAGGAAGGCAGCAGTCCAGCACGTTCCTCCATGCATCACCATCTTCTTTCACGGCCGATTTTTCTAGACAAACATCCAAGGCTAGTTCGCCATCCTGCCACCTGGAAGGATTTCTTTCCCAACTTGTTGAATCTGAACTAATCCAGATCACGTTTGCAGAACTGATCCGCGGGTCACCTGTCAAAATGGTGAAAAAGATATCGGGAAAAAAAATTGAAGCACAAATAAATTTGTGTCATTTAAACTCTTTGAACTTCAAATTTGTGGAAAGACTCGACATAAAGTAAATTCTTCGAACTTCAACTCCTACGCATTAGTGTCGAGGTTAAAGCTTTAATTTCATACTGTGAAACTAGTTTTAAAAAGGCTGTGCCAGGTATTTCTCAATAATCTGAGTTCACACACGAAAGTAGTGTCCACACTTATTCGTGGAGTCCAGAAGTTAAGATATGGTCCTACTTGTATGATTTGATCAAGCTTTCACTGATTTCCTATATTAAATTGATTAACCAACTAAAGTCAGTTGGCCTTTGACTTGGCAATTTCTTGAAAGCTTGAGTGGCCTATAATTTGGTTTTTCCACATCTCGAACTGGCAATAACAAAGGTATAAGAGCAATAATTTAGATCTATTGATTAAATTTGAGTAGGAGTCAGAAAATGTTGAGTTGGAACCCAAAAAATATCGACAAATTTGAAAGGAAAGTTGTAACAGCCCAAGCCCAAGCTCACCGCTAGCAGATATTGTCCGCTTTCGCCCGTTATGTATCGCCGTCAATCTCATGATTTTAAAGCACGTCTATTAGGGAAAGGCTTCCATACCCTTATAAAGAATGGTTCATTCCCCTCTCCAACCGATGTGGGATCTCACAATCCACCCGCTCGAGGACCCAGAGTCCTCGTTGGCACATCACTCAGTGCTTGGCTCTCATACCATTTGTAACAGCACAATCCCACTACTAACAAATGCTACTCGCTTTGGCCCATTATGTATCGTCATCAGCCACATGATTTTAAAACGCGTCTACTAGGGAGATGTTTCCACACCCTTATAAGGAATATTTCGTTCCTCTCTCCAATCGATGTGAGATCTCACAATCCACCTCCCTTGAAGGCCTAGCGTCCTCGCTAGCACACAGCCTAGTGTTTGACTCTGATACCATTAGTAACAGCCCAAGCTCACTGCTAGCAGATATTGTCCCCTTAAGGGAAAACCCAAAGAAGACATATATGCTAGTAGTGAGCTTAGATTGTTACAAAAACATTAAAATAAATCAGATATAACTTGAAAGGTAAGAGTAAGTACGGGGAACAATAAATACATTTTCCCCCGTTACCCATCAACTTCGAATCTTCAAGCAAATGAAACTTCAAATCCTCACATTGACGTGCGTACTAATCCATCTAGTGTACAACCACTCTTTAGTGCTTATACCACAGACAGTAGTATTCAATCTTGTTAACCTTCCTCATACTAGCGCAATTCGAATTACCCGTGTTTTTTAGAAAATAGTACAGGTTTGTAAAATTTACAAGCACCTCAATCAAATATAGAATGGATAGAAGAAAGTAATATACCCTTGATGATTGTTTCTGAAAGCAGTGGAAAGACTACATCAGCAAGGATGTGGGAAGTTCTCTCCAAATGAACATCTCTTGTCTCAAGCCAGAATGTTAAACATGGCATATCAGTCCTCTCTTCTCCATTCCGTTGATGAAAAGAGCAGTGTTCACTGCCAAATGCATCAAAAATTAAATATTTCTTTTAACCTCTTAATTTTTCTGATGTACTACGCCCATATCGAGTGTATGCGAAGCATTAATAATAAAACCCAACAGAAAAGGTCTACCAAGATATTTACTAAAATGTAAACAGAAATATGCCCAAAAAATGATGAGAACTCAGCACTAAAATTGATACTTCAAATAGTTATAGATCTCGTACATGACAAGAAGACCAGCAGTAGTTAATACTGTGAAAATTTGAAGGACGATGGATTAGTTCGAATCAAATAAACTCAAACCCGAGGGAGGGGCTACCCTGTATCATTTGTTTCAGCAGCCCAAGTTAACAATAATTCAAGTACTGCTATCCAGGCCTAATACAGAATACCTCGGATGTAAAATTCATCTTCTTCCACATTCGTTAGAGAGTGACACGAAGGTTGGGACTAGAATGTGTGAGAGAGAGATTTGAGAGGAGGTTGAAGGGAACTCCAGCATCGTGTGAGAGCGAGATTTTGTAACAGCCCAAGCCTACCGCTAGCAGATATTGTCCGCTTTGGCCAGTTACGTATCATCTTCAGCCTCACGATTTTAAAACACGTCTGTTAGGGAGAGGTTTTCTCACCCTTATAAGGAGTGTTTCGTTCTCCTCTTCAATTGGTGTGGGATCTCACAATCCACCCCCTTTGGAGGCCCAGAGTCCTTGCTGGCACACCGCTCGGTGTCTAGCTCTGATACCATTTGTAATAGCCCAAACCTACCACTAGCAGATATTGTCCGCTTTGGTCCGTTACGTATCATCGTCAACTTCACAATTTTAAAACGCATCTATTAGAGAGAGGTTTCCACACCCTTATAAGGAATGTTTCGTTCTCCTCTCCAACTGATGTGAGATCTCATAGATTTGAGAGGAGGTTTGGTTCAATTTAGGTCACTTTTTAAACAACTAAACCAAATCAAACTCAAAAAGTCAGTTGTTTTATCTGAAAAGACAGAGAAGCTGAAAGATTTGACCCTTTGATTTTGCTCTTTCCAAAGAATTTAAAAGAAAGCCCCGATGAGATTCTTTCATAGCAAAGTTTTCACATCCTTGAAGGGGTGGTTGTATAGACTTTACCTCCTGGAAGTTAAATACCAACCAAAGGCTTTGAGAACCCCATTCTAGAAGTTGCAAGCATGAAGGCAGTGAATGAAAAATGTCTCCGTTATTCACCATTTTCTTTGCAGATAGGGCACCAGCTTGGGGACAACGCCAAATAAGGCATTCTTCTTTGTAGGTTTTCTCTGGTACTGATGGCTTTGTGTGCAATTTCCCAAAGGAAAAAAAATTTCCCATTTTGAGTACCTTTCTTTCCAAACTTCTTGGACCAATGTAGATTCTAGAATAGCTTTCCCCCCTCAAGTATCAGACAGCAAGGATTTTGTGGTGAAGGATCCATCCGACTAAGGAGCCATTTCAAAGAATCCTCTCCCAATGAGTGGACTGTTGCAGCGAGCTCTAGGCTCAATTCAGCCCACTCAACAGCTACCCATCCTTTAAATTTCTTCTAAGATGTAAATCTCAGAAACTATTTTCCACATTCCATATTTCATTAACCAAAGCCGAGATACAAAATGAGAGCCTATAACAAAGTGGATAGGGCAAGGCAAAGGGTGGGTTTTGACCCAAGAATCAGTCCAGAAGAGAGTATCACCTCCATCCACCGCCTGATCTTTGGTCTTTAGTGTGGCTTTGTTGTGGTTGTTTTGTGTTTGTTGATCTTTTTGTCTACTTGGAACTTCGGTTCTTTTTATAACTTTTTGGTTGTTGTTGGCCTCTTTTGCTTTACTTTTGGTCCTTTTTTCACTACCTCATGGAGGTTATCTCCCTCAACATAGTTCGTCGCTTTTCATTTATTCAATGAAAATTTTTATTTCTTGTTCCAAAAAGAAAATGAAAGTCGTAAGGATGTAGTTCACTTAGTGGCTCTCTGGACTCTTAAAACTATTTACTTATGTAGCTACTCCTTCAAGTTTGTTGACCGATTGCCAAAGGTTCCTATAAGCCACACAGTCCTAAACATACATTGTCTATGTTCTCTTATTTTTAATTGAAACAAAGGTAGAGACAGAGAGAGAGGGAAACCCAATGCAATTTTTTCTGATTGAAAACTAAGGAAAAGCATACTCCAAAAAATGAAGCAAAGGAATAGTCTAGGGGCTGGTAGGGGGAACCCACGCCCAAAGAGCTATCCAAAAAGAGCCTTCCAATTGGGAAACTAAATAGACACGGTTTTGAGCTATATCGATCTAAAAAATAAAAATCATTTTTACAAACATTGGCAATTTGTTTAAAAATTAGTTCAAGCGCACTTAAACACTTGGTTCAAAAATTTGTGAGAATCCAAAGTGGAATCATATAAATTTTCGATTTATACGTGGCATACATACATAATATGTACATTAAAACTAACCTGATAAAGAATCGTAATGTAGGAGCAAGTTTCTTCTTCTTCTTTTTAAAAGAACTGATAGTCTCTTGGCATCTTCGTAAAACGTCAGCCATGTTTATCCTCAATTCTTCCAGCAGCACCTGTTAAAGAAAGCTCTACTAACCGTGCAACACGTACGAAATAAAAAGGAACTTGGTGATAAGAAAATAAGTAGAAAGAATACAAATTCCGACCTGGTTAAGATGCACATGGCCGACAAGCCCTGGACCAAGCGCTGAGGGAGTTGGTTGTCTGTTATATCTGAAATAAGGAACATGCAGGCAGGAACGTTTGTAAGAGCAATTATCAACAATTGAACTATCTTCTCTCTTCTCTCTCATGAATAAATAATAACATAAACACCGTTTTTTTCAGAACAAGACGATGTTATTAAAGCTGACAAGTACGGGAAAAATTCGAAAGGATATCTTATCCTCCACATAGAAGATTACAGAACATAGAACCGCTATCGGACAAAAAAAGGACATGATCCGTTACAAAATTTTATTTTCGTCGAACAACCAGAAATTCGGTAAAAAATCAATAAAACTAAAAAACAGGACAATTGAACTGGTTATAACAAATAAAATATGCAATCATAAGCAAAGTAAAAACAGAAGCAAAAAAAGAATAACAAAGGTGCAAGAAGGGAACATACTCTATCATGAAATCCATTGCGACATCTTTAAGCGTGACTTTCTTTAGATGACTCTTAACCACATATGCTGCATTTTCATTGCAATGTTTTCTACCACAATCACAGTTGTTTAGATATAATATCACCCGACGATCTACAGGCTCGTTCTTAAAACCGACCTTACAAAGAAGAATTTCCTGCCAGAAAAAAGGGAAAAAATTATCAACCACACAGAAATAGGCTGAAATTTTGGTGCAGTGGAAGACAACAAATTTCTCAGTGAATTGAGCAAAAAGATAATTATCGATGGTATAGAGAATGATAATCACCTTCATCATGTCCCATGAGGAATTGCTACTGGGAGTAGAATCAAGAACTGCCTTATAAGCAGGAGTTGACATGGCAGTAGCTGCTAGAACACCAACCGGTTCACCAGGAGGGAATAAACCATAAGGCTTCATCATTCCGGCCTTTATTCCATACTCAAGTTGAATGATGGAATTGCTACAAACATTCCTCACAGTACCATCATAACAAATTACAACATCTCGAAGGATGGCCATCAAGTTCTTGAAAAGAGTTCCAGGTTCAGTAAGCCCTCTCGATGAACGTACCATTACCTCTCTTGTGGAAATTGAATGGACCATTTCCTCGTACGGATCTAATCCATGGAAAAAACAGCCTTTAACCAATCCAAATTCAGCAGAAGGATAGTCATTTTTATCAGAAGAATATCGATTGTGAAACAGAGAGGCTACATCATCTATCAATGTCTTGGAATAAAATTTTCCCTTGTCAGAAAGCTGCAATCCAAGAAACCCAATTTGTTGAACCACCTTGTTAATAGCAGCATCACTTTTGGAATCGAATAACTTCCCCAATGAAGATAACTTTAAGATAAAGTTCGTAAATGGAACTTTGACCGATCGTATGTGATTCTCTAACTGCAACTCTACCAGCTCATTGAATGATGATCTTAACTGATACAGCAAAGGTGATATTACTTGAATATTCTTTTGAAGAGCTTGTAAAAATGCCATGGGCATGGAATAATCATCCAAGCTAACACTGAAACCTTCTGAAAATACATGTTCCATCAATAACGGCTGTAAAGAATCAAAAAATCTCATAACCTCTTCAGAACCCTTCTGAAAAAAAATTGACGTCACAATTTCATTGATTAATGATGGCATAGCATCTCTATCAAAGTCAAACTTAAGAAAATCACTGTTTTTAATCAAGTAACTATCCCCATGACAGTCAAAACAAGCAGGCAACACAGTTTGAAGTATCTGCAAAGCAGTCCAATGAAGAGTATTAGAACGAACTCCCAACAAGGCAGGAGGTGGCAAAGATGAAGTAACAAACATAGCCAGTTGCTGCGCTGCAGCTTTGCCCAAGAAATATTTCCTGAACATCATCTTGAGAGACAACAATGAATCATTAGCCAACTGCAAATTAAGGTTCCCACTATGAGAGCTAAGTAGCTGCTTTTCCACAGAGAAAAGTCCCAACACCTCAGCTTTTGCTGCAATGGACTGGGGATAAAATAGGTGAATACAATCACCATCAAAATCTGCACCCAAGGGTCCACAAATTAGAGGGTTGATCTTGACTGTATGGTCATCGTGCAGATACACCCTCAGGGCTTGCAAAGAATGTTTATGAGTAGTCGGCGGTCGATTAATGAAAACAATGTCTCCATCCATGATCCGCCGATGAACTATTTGACCAGGTTTCAGATATGTATGGCCCATTGAACCTTCACGAAGTGAATAGGCCGAAGAACCATCTCTATAGGTTAAACATAATTTATTATCCACCAGTTCCTGTAAATATTTTATGTTATGCACACTAACTCTCTCCTCGAATGTGATCCTTTGGGCAACTTCAAAAGGCACACCAATTTCATTAACTAGTTTGTAAGCATCCCCGGTAATCACACTGCGGGAAGAGAAACCAGAGCCTTTCCGAATAAACAGAGTTCTCATTTTTTCAAGCCAGGCTTTAGTGGAAGGATCATTTAACTCTTTATTTACACCATATCTTGCATCTATGCCACGAGATGCCTTAACAGTCCCCCTAACTTGGAGATATTGATCAACGGCCATTTGCAAGTCATTAGCTTCTACTTCATGAGCTTCAAAGTTTGGAGCACCAGACCTAGAACCTTTGATGATTTCCACTTGCTTAAGAACTTTCTTGAGCATTAAAACAGCTGGATCCTAGGTAATAACACAAAAGTAAACTACAAGTAGAATCTAGTAATAAAACTATCAATAACAATATGTTCAATAAAAATTAAATAAATAAATAATCCCAGCCAGTCTACCCGCCACTTGTACGTGAGCCTGAGATCTTACCGAAGACATAATCGTAACACCATCAGAAATTTCTGGTACAGACAAACAGTTGGGAGGGACTGGTAAATATTGCAAGACATATCCATCCTGAGGATAATAACCTTTGCCAGCAAGCTTTTTTCTGGTCTCATTGGGAATTTTTTTTAGCATTTCCTTCACCTGTCAATTTTTTCCAAAGCCCACAGTGAGTACATATCAATGGCAATAGCAAGCATATACTTTTTTTTTTTTTTGGCAGGCCAGGAGGTGGGGGGAGGGTTTATTCTCTGTAGAACAGCTGTACATAAATGAAACATAATTGAAATGCAAGCTCAGTTATCAACATCTACAACCAAGCATTCGAGTTGAAATATCCAATTTTTACCAAGATTTTCTCCCCCATTAGTCAATGTATTTCTTTCATAGTTTCCTTCAATATTTAACTGTCTCTATTTATCCAGCAAATCTTTAGCGTTACATCATTTTATATAATTATTTTCTCTCTCTCATACATGGACATAATTATTCCCTTCATTCTTTTTTCGATAAGAACAAAGATCTTTAGGCTCAATTTTCTCAAGAGCTTACTTATGACCTATTTGTAAGGAGAGGAATTCCTGAATATGCAAGGACAAAAAAATTACTTAGATAGCCTTTTTGAATCTTTGTCGCTTTGGCTTTCTCTTGGTATCAATTGTCATCATGATTTAGTAACTATAGTTTATCTTCTCATAGAGTCTAATGGTAGAGTATTTTGTAATTTTCTTTGGATAAGGGAGCTCATCCCCCTCCTTTTGTAATTTCTTTCATCGACAAAATACTATTATCCACAAAAAAAAAATAAGAAACAAAGGTAAAAAATTAAGAGCATACAATAGACATTCCAACAAAAGAATCCAACCAAACAAGAAAGAGTTCATCCAAAAGCACAGATAATTACAGAAATTTTTTAAAATTGACATACAAAGAGGGGGAAATAAACCAAGAAAGAGATCAAGCCTCTCCCCAAAACCTCTCAGTCCCTCTAAAAAACCCTTAATGTTCCTCTCAACCACACTATTCCACAAAACGACTAAAAGAAACAAGCATGCCAAAGGTGAAAGAACTCAGTCTGTCACAGATGAAAGTTGCCCTTGCAACATATAACAACAATGTCTATTCCACGTCAAACAAAGTGGAGAGAACGTCTTTTGACTCACAAAATTTATCTGCATTAATAAATTATTACAATAATTGAAAAATATACTACCATCCAATATTTATTAACAAGCAATGATTTGTTCAATGAAGTACATCACTAGTTACATAACACGATGGCATAGGTATCTTTGCACCTAACATCACCAAGGGCCTTCACCAAGAGAAGTCCTGCAATTATTTGGTACCACTTGGTTTTGTCACATGTGCCTCACATCTATCTATCTGGATCCCATTTTCTCAATATTCATTCATTCTTCTCTTTGACAAGGCTAGAGGCCTAGGAAGGTTGGAAACTACGCTTAATAAGTGGGGTCTAGATGGCTCACACATCATAAGATTTTTCTAAAAATAAATTACTTTTGAGATTCATATCAATATATATATATATATATATATATATATATATATATATACAGATACTTTTAGCATCAATGTCAACCCGAGGTCTTTTTAATAAACTTTCCCTGGCCAATGTAAACATCATATCTTATTTTTTGTATCCCTCACTCTGTTAGCTTTTTCTTAGGGTGGGCATGGGGGTAGGACTGGGGGTGGGGATGGGGGGACAAGATATCATTGGATGAAATTTACAAAAGATAAGGAAGGAAAAGACCTTCCAACACCCCAAAGTTGGATTATGAATAACATCTCCATCAATCTAAGTCTTTGATGTAGGCTTAAGCTTGTTCAAGGGTAGGTTCTTTATTACAGTTCTTTTACCATTTAAAGGTAACTTTTGTTATCGTGGTTTTTACTGAAATTTTATAGTTTAGTATTTTATTCTACCAACAAGTTGTTGGTTGGTTAAGAATTGGTTAGAGTTAAGCTTGTACAAATCGGCTGGTTCCGCCTATCATTTGATTAACTAATTAATCATTGAATTTCTTGGAGAATTTGATACATCAGTCTCCGTTAGTTTCTTAAGAACACGAAAAAATAATTTTTTTAAAAAATAGGAACATTCCACAGGAAATTGAAAGTACATCTCACGGGAGTGCATACATACTCAAAAACATAGGAAAGAATTACTTGAATGGACACCGAAAATGAGTTCACCAAAGCTTACACAGCCACGACTAAGAAATGTAGGAATCAAAATGGGTCCGTATAATAGAATGGACAAATAATTCTCTAAAAACAGAGGAATGAAAGAGATCTTAAGAGAAATGGAGGGCAGTGAGTGTTAAACCTCGCAAGGGAGCAAAGTTCGAGTGAGATTATCACCATAACGAAAACCATATCTTTCTAAGAAATCCCAAAATCCTTCTCGTAGTGATGTCCTTGATGGTACTTTTAATTGCAAGTACGAAGCACCATCTGATTTTTTTGCCTCTCGAATAGAAACTTGCGAAGCATCCTTCCAAAAGAAAACGAAAATGATTAGTAGGTGCAATGAAAAGAACTCAAACTAAAATCTTAAACAGCCAATAAAAACCAATTGCTAATCAGAGAAACATATTAAATTATAACATAGACCATAATAACTTTGATCTTGATGAGAAAAAGTGGAAGACTACACGGACATACAGAGACACCAAAGCAAACAACAGCAAGATCAAACTGAACAAGTATTTACAAAAAATAATAATAATAATAAAATAAATAAATAAAAAAAGTCCAGACACTAAAACCCGAAAAGAAACATAGAATATAATAAGGGCCCACATATTACTATAAGATCTCTCAAACCTCCTAAAGATTCTATTACTTCTCTCATCCCATAAACTCCAAAGAATGCCTATCTCGTAGAACTCACTAAAGACTCTCCTCCATGATACCCTCCCTCCCAATTCGCTAGGAACAAAAAATCATGGAGAACTCATCTAGCCCTAGTGACTTGCTTCGATCAAAACCAAAAACCATTTTCCTACAATCCTCCTAAGTGAAAGGCGGATCCAACAAAGCTTTGCCAACAAAAGAAGTTGGACGTCATCCATACAAAGAAGAGAAAAAGAATGAAATTCCTCCCTCAAAAGCCTTGTCCCCTTTCAGGATCACACCAACCTCATCCTCAAGAACGCTAATAAAATTCTTGTTCCTTCTACCACTAGCAAGTCTATGGAAATAGATTGAACCTTGCCTTTTTGTCTCCAACTCACACTTTCCTTTTTGACAATCTTTGCAAACTTAGCTTTTAACGCCAACAGCTCTTCCTTAGAAGACTCACTACGTTTGTGGAGGTCATTTAGAATACAGGTACTTTTGTTTGGAATGGTCATGTAAATTTGACTGGAGAGTTTCAGTTGTTTCTAGCTCAGTTCATACTGTATATACTGCTATGCGCTTGTTTAAGGTCATCTTTTTGGATTATTCCAGAAACTTGAAATTATTTGGAGTTAACATTTTTGGTTGACTCAGTCCTATATTTGCTTAGAATCTTTTATAAGAAGTTGAAGATAGTGAAGGCTTCAGCTCAGATTGGATACTTTTGGGGTGGGTTAGTTGTTTCTAGCTCAGTTCATCTCTTGGTTCATTTGGTTCATTTCCACAAGATTACTATTCTCATCATGGTGTTCTCTTCAGGCCTCAGATTTTATATGTTATATGTCTTATTTGGGATGCTTTCTTATTATTGTTTTTGTATTCACCCCTTGTGTGGAGTTTGTATCTTTTGATCACTAGACTCTTTTCTAAATCAATGAAAAGTTTTGCTTCAGGTTTAAGGAAAAAATCCTCCTATGTTCCAAATCCCAAATTTCCATTTCAGCATTCCAAACATCAGCCACTGAAGTATTAATGTGATCGACCTCCAGCCACATCAAGTAACCGAACTTTCTTGACATCAAGTAGCCAAACTTTCATGGCCTGTCTTCAACTCAGTGAGAAACCTTTAATTAATTGTACAAGATAACGATAGCCGCCCAAATTTCCATCCTTCAAGTTTTTGCTTACAGAAACCTCCCCTGCAACCGAACTTTCCTACTGATAAATCTTTTCCTTTAAAACTTCAAAAACTCTAGGACATGGTTAACACCACAACAAATATCACGTGAAATGCACCCTCTGAAATACTAGTCATTACAATAGAACCAGAAAGGGAAGGGATAGTGCTGCAACGGAAAAACTTGCCAGTACTCATAATAGTGCACTACAAATAAAACAGAACTAAAACAAGAAAATGAGTCAAAAGCTGATAAAGATAGCTTGAGCATGGCATTTTCAGTTTCTTTTCTTTGCGTCAATGAAAGGGTTTGAATTTTGTTCAGAAGAAGAGAGAAAAACAAATGAAAATGGTGTACTCACCTCACAGCATGATAACAATCTTTCAGCAAAACCAACATTCTTCGAGGGAAACTGAAGATAAAAGGCAAATATCCAATAAAAATCAAGCTATAGAAGTCAAAAATGAAAATAAATAAGAATAAAAGCCTGGCATGAGAAAAAGATGGTTTTCCCGTCTTTTGTAAATTTCATTTCCTTTCCGAACAAAAAAAAAAAGTGGTAGAACCGTTCTATGTTTTTGGCAGTTTTTTCCTTCTCGACGGTGAGAAAGGCTATGATAGAGTTGTTAGTATGGGTCCTAGAATGTCAATATAGCAGACAAGCTTCAAAAAGCTACCACCAATAGCCATAAATCCATCAGTTTGTGCGTTAAGTATGAAGATACGAAAAGACCAAAATGACAACTTCTAGTGTTCGTATGCTTGTAAATGTGTTCTCTTATTCGATCAGTTCAATTTATTTTAGGAAATGGACAAGACTCGACATATTTTACAGCTCTTTAGCAGTAACTAGATTTCATAATCTGATTAGAATACTTGTTGCTTTTGTATTCAGTTATAGAACTGATTTCTTATTCTTTACTATGAGTATCACAGGGTACAAGCCGCTTGTGTTTTTTTGCCATACCAATTAAATAAGGATTTGTGATCTAAACTATATTCATAAATCACATGGATAATTAGCCTGTCTGCTCAACAGTTGACATAAAGATAAAGTCAAGACTTAGACATGTAGGCACTAATCGTCAATAAAACAAATGTATGGATCGCTGGAAAGGAACTCCTAGATACCTTGTTTTTTTTCATTTTCAAGCACTTCAAACAGAGCAAGCTTAACATCTTCTTCAATTCCGTAATATGATTGGGATGATAAATGGGAATTGGTAATTCGATATATCCGAAATGGCCTGAAAATTGGAAGATAACAAAAACAGTCAAGTTGTCTTCATGAATAAATGTAAAATTATCAATTAAGTAGATAATCAGAAATACCTTCACACTTCCCAGGTTCAGAAGTACCGCATGATTCACATTTACCATATTCAATTGGTAAACCAAGAAATGGATTTGAGAGCTGACTAGCATGGGTAATAGGGCAATCACTAATAGCTGCAATACACTACAAAAATAAAAAATAAAAAATAAGTAAACAGACAGAGCAGATAATCATGAAAAAGAAAAGAAAAGCACTGAATAAAGTTACTGTAAAATAGTCGATTGGTCGATAAAAAAATCTTAAAATACCTATTCTATTAAGTCACACAGACGTAGAGAATAATTCTATAAAATCATACATTGGAAGTATTAGAAAGAAAAGTTCATGGAGTATGATTAGTTAAGTGGAAGGATACATTGTTGACACAAAAATTTTAATTTTTTAAATGAGAAGCCTACCGTACTGAAATACATTTTTAGTTAAGTGGAAGGATACATTGTTTTTTTCTTTTTCTTTTCTTTTCATAGTTTAGTGAGCAAAAAAAACAAAGCTTACTGTTAAGGGAATGAAGAGAGACTAATGCTCAAAAGATACAAACTCGACAAGGGCATTCACAGCACTAGTAAAGTGCCCTTTGCTGCCCCTGTCCACTGAGAGTCGACCGTTTCGTTGCTTTAATTTGTAGAGATGAAAAATAAATGAATACAATTAACCAATGAGATCCCATTCCTCCTTTCCTTAATGATACTGTATGAGATATGATGAGTAAGATTGTTGGAACATGGGGCGGAATGGGGGTCGTCAGAAGGTTTCTCAGAGGGATGTCTATTAGGCTACATATAACTCACTTTGTGCTTGCAAAAGATGCACAATTTTTATTTTGAAACAACGAACAAAATTTTTCATCGAAGTAATGAAAAGAGACTGTAACGGGAACCTCATATATGAAAAATGAAACCATTCCAATTCAGACACAAGTCTTGGATGGAATAATTTGCAAAATTTTCGGAACGAGAGCACTGTAATGAGGCCTTAGGTCCTGGATAGAGTAACTCGTAAGAGATTTGAAAAGCTGCCTTTCTTTCGTTTTTTTCTTTTTTATTGGTAAGGAGATTTAGCTTTCGTTTGCTGCATAGTGTTTTCCCTTTTTCTTAATAAATGAATTGGGAAGTTAGCATCAACTAAGATCATTGATGTTATAATTATAAAACACCAATTTGTAGTTCTATGAAGTTTAACAGCTTCTACTTACAATTTCTTGACCATTGGCCAATGCAAATCTTATTCCAACTATTTCCCCATCTAAAATAGAGGAGCAACAGGGTGCCTCCTCCATAACTTTCACAGTAACTTTCTTCTATTGCTGCAAAATTAAAAAATTAAAAAATTCATTAGCAAATATCTGGATTGAAAGATGAAACTACAGCCTAATGGGAATCAAAAGAGTAAAAATTGCGAGAATTTTTCTATCCACTAGTAGTTAAGAGAGAGTTAATGAAGAAAGCAACCAGATTAAAGGAACAGTAAAGTAAGTTTTCCATACAAGAACAGAAGGCTCCCTTATATTTACTTCCTATGTAGCTACAAGCTAGACGAGAACGTTAAGACAGTCATTTTTGTATTTGAAAGAAACAAATCTTCATCGATAAAACGAAAATGCCACATATTAATACTGTAAACTGGAAATTCTTCAATCAAGAAGATTGAATGGCCAGTATCACGGTGAGAACCTTAACCCTGACCTTTCAGATTAATTATGTGAGAATTTTGCATGGTATTTTCATGATTCATTGTTTTTAACATCTGCAGGAAGTGGAGGAGGAGGAGGCTAAGGTCAACAAGGTAAGTGACCTTACTATCAGCTCGGTCAGAAAACTTGCATTATGTATGACGACACATGCCTAGAGGTGCTGGCACGTGTCATTTATGCATTATATGTTGTGATGTGCTGGCTAAATTATACTAATGACGTGTATATTATGATGATGTAATGACGATGACGTAACTATGACGTTGTTTGACGATGATATGACATAATGACTAACAAGCGCCCTAAAACAAGCTTTAAGATGCTTATAGCTGAGTTCACCATTTCAAAAATGGAACTGCGAGTTGTAGATGTACCAGAAACTTTCGGTAGAGTTTGTCTCTCATTTCATGCGTGGATTTGAAAGAATGTAGTAACCATTAGCAGAATAAGAATCTTACATTTTAAGCATATTAATTGTTACATACACAAGAAAAACTAAGTCAACTGAGAGTGAAGCAGACGAGACAGAACCCATTCCCCCCCCCCCCCCCCCCCCCCCCCCCNCCCCCCCCCCTTTTTTTCACTTTAGCAAAGAACAGAGTTCATTTCTTGTTCTTCAACTTAAATAAACATGCAAAGCCACAGAGAAAGTAAACTAACTAAAATTATAAACCCATAATCCCACAAAGATGTGAAATTGTATCCTTAGACAAATTCCTGGTAGGAAAAACAAAAACCCAGCCAGTTTTCCAACCAAAAATGAGCGAACAAAAAGGAAAAACAAGCAAACGGGCGTCCAACATGAGATGACTCAATCGCCCAATTTTCTCCCCGAATTCGCTCGCTCCAACAAAAATCAAACACCGAGAAACGAAAAAGAAACGAATAGGGCAAAATGTACCTGAATGGAAGAACTCGAAGGAGTTCAAAACCCTACAAGTAAGTCCCAAAAGAGTGCCAGTACCGGAACGCGCTCCAGAAAGAGATTGTTTTATAGTGAGGGTTTTGTGTGTGTGTGTGTGTACCTTTACGAGGAAGACAATGGCGTTCAAGAACACCCAGTAGCTGCTTCGCTCCCTCGCTCGCCTGCTGCTCCTCTCTCTTTCACAGTCCCTTCTCTTCACGCATTTCTCATATGCACTCTCTTCTAAGAACTCATTCAGCCATAGCACACCAAGAAATTAATCATCTTTTAAAAGGAAAAAAATGTCGCTTTATAGAGTATACCCCATGAATTTTGAAGGGTGGCCTCTTCTCTTTTCCTGCAAGCTTCTATATTTGATTTGGCAAGGAATAGTTAGGGTGTTCAATGTTTCTAGCTTATTTTGTTCTTAATCTTCTCATCTTTGCCCTTAATCTATCAAATTTTTGTTGGGTTTTTTTTTTTTTTTTAATTTACTCAATGTTAATGGATAAGTCGGAGTTCGTTAATATATGAGTCCAGACTGTGTTGATGGGTAAGTTGGATTCGTGCATCGAGTAGCATCGAGCTGGTGTGTTAATGAGTTTGACTCGAGGGTTGGACAGTTTCCTCTCGATGTTGAATTCTTAGTTTTTCACTAGAGCGGCTGGGAATATATTAATACACGAGTTGGAGATCGCTAACTTATGAGTTGGACTGTGCTGATGGATAAGTTGAATTCATGCATCGAGTAGCATCGAGCTGATATGTTAACGAGTTTGACTCGAGGATTGGACAGTTTTTAGCTTTCACTGGAACGACTGATTGATGCCTTAACGTTTCGTACACTTGAAATTTATTTAGTTTTCTTCGAAATTTCAGTGAGTCTACGGTTTTTTAGAGTTTATAATTTTGTGGTTCATTTTATAAAAGTTTTACATAGGTTGTATGTGAGTTTAGGTCTCGTGAACTCTAGTTCAATCCTTTTAACTTAGCCTTTTTTGGGTCTCGAGCTCAATTTCTCCTAAATTGATACATAGTCGTTTAAATTTGGTATCGATTTTCTACAATAAACACAGTTGTTATTAGGAATTTGTGAGTCGTAGTTAAACGATAGCACACAAAACGTGTTATCCTTGCTTTAACGGTTGCCAGCTTTATGACTTTATCGATTACTTTCATGCATTTGTTTGTTTGTTTTGTAGCCGAACATTTGGTGCAAAATGACGATTTTAGAAGTAGCGTAGAGTAAACGGAGCGAATTGGGGAAGAAATTAAGCAACCGATTTTATGTCAAATTTTGGAAGAAACAAATATTCCTAATTTGATTAGATTTTGAATTTCGAGTTTACTTCGTTCATTAATTCTTAATAAAATTACGATACTGATTGAATCATCATAAACGTTCTTCATTTGAGAGGAGCTACTTTAGGTAACGAAACTTTAATTTAATTTTGTAGGACACTCGAGAGTGGAAGAGGAATAGCAATTTTCAGTATCAAAGACGTGCAGATCACAACAAATACGAGCTATCAAACCATAACACTATTATGTTTTAATTATTCGAACTCATTCACCCATATTCTTTAATTTATTCATTTTTTTAAATGTATTTTAAATGTTTTTAGTTTTTTCTTTTAATTAATATTGGATCGTGGATTAAATGTTGTATCGGTTTAGATTCACAACTCAAAAATGATGGCTTAGATTGCAACCCAATTGCATGATTAACAATAGTTTTGATATGACAATTATCGAGGCTCGTTTGGAGGTTGTTTAGCGAGGAAACTTAATGTCTAACATTTCTTTATGAGGGTGTGGAAATCCTCCCTTAGTAGACACGTTTTAAAATTGTGAAGTTGACGGCAATATCTGATAGCGGTGGTCTCGAGTTGTTATAAATGACATTAGAGTCAAACACCGAACGGTGTGTCTAGCGAGGACGTTAAGCCTCCAAGGGGAGTGAATTGTAAGATTCTACGTTGCTTGGAGAGAGAAACGAAACATTCCTTATACAACTTTGAGGCCGACGACAATAAGTAACAGGTCAAAACGAACAATATTTATTAGCAGTGGCTTCGAGATGTTACATTTACAATATGATCAATAGAGAGTTGCACAAAAGGGGTGGTCTCGGGATGTTAATAGTAAAAAGTACATTATTTTTGGTAATTATGTAAATTAGTTGTTGGTTTAATATTTTAAATTGGTATGGTAAATAGTAAAAATCATTTTACATTAAAAGGAGATAGAAAAGAATATAAGAGTTCATATCTAAATAGTAGATTTAATAATATAATTATTAATTTTCAATATTATTATATCTTAATAAATCTAATAATATTTTATAAACAAAATATAATAAAATATTCTACCACTAATGTTTCGTATTAATTGGAGAGGAGAACCAGTGGTAGCGAGGATGCTGACCTCGAATGAGGGTGGATTGTGAGATCCCACGTCAATTGGAGAGGGGAATAAAACATTTTTTTATAAGGGTATGGAAACCTCTCTCTATCAAATGCGTTTTAAAACTACGAAGCTAACAATGATACATAATGGGCTGATTCAGACAATATTTGTCAGTTGTGTGCTTGGGCTGTTATAGTTGGTATAAGAGTTAGACACCGAGCAATGTGCTAACAAGGACGCTGGTCTTGAATGAGAGCAGATTGTGAAATTCCACATTGGTTGGAGAGGGGAACGAAACATTTTTTATGAGAGTATGGAAACCTCTCCCTATCATAAGCATTTAAAAACTACGAGGCTGACGACGATACATAATGGGCCGAAGCGGACAATATCTATCAACTGTGTGCTTGACCTGTTACATGATATCAAAGCTAGCATCAAGCGGTGTGCCAACGAGTACGCTGAGCCACAAAGAGGGGTGTCTCATCGATTGAAAAAGGGAACGAGTGCTAGCGAGAACGCTAAGTCCCGAAAGAGGGTGAATTGTGAGATCTCCATCATTTAAATAGGAGAACAAAGGGTGTAAAAATTATGAGGTTAACCGCGATACGTAACGAGATAGTGACCCGAACGGAAATATAATCTCGAACTATGGAAGAGAATCCTAAAAAGATATGAGGCCCATTGGTAGGCCCACATATTTGCCACTTATAGTACGGCCCAATTATATAAAATAAATGGGCTATGAAGTATAGGCCCAATTAGGGTTGATATTACAAATCAAAAGCTAGAATCTAAAAAGATATCAAGCCATTTATATCTAATTAATTAATTAATTTAATGATACGTATATAATAGTCTATACATAGGTCCCCAAAAATAGCATTAAGGCTCATTTAGTATAAATTTTTTTTAGATAATTACACGAAGATCTACTATTTTATTCTCTTAAAGTTAAATATTTAAATTTTTAATTTTACTCGTATTGGACTATATAGATATAGATGCACACATGTATGTATACATACCGCGTAAGAGTAACTTAAAAGCGATATGATGACATATTGATATATGAACGTAACTTTTTTTAAAAAGAGAAATATGAAAAATTTAATATTTATTACCTGACAAATAAATACGTACGGAGTGCAAAATTTTCTATTTATTTTTATAAGATCGGATCCCTATAAAGAATTTTTTTTTTCTGTATCTGTATTAAAAAAAAAACATTCATTTCAAATAATTTTTAATATAATAAATTAAATAATTTCAAAAAATGCAAATTTAAATATTATAAAAATATATATATTTATTTATTTGTTAAATGAGAAAATATATTATATATTTTCAATTTTTGTGCCTTGATCTCTCTCATAATTCTCCATTAAATAAATATTTCTAATAACAAAAAATAGACCCCCAAATTTATATACTATATTTATATTTCATAAGATATATATATATATATATATTGTGTTTATATTCTCAACCTTTATAGAAAAGGGTAAATAAGTAAATACAATATGATATCTATAAATTATTTAACAAATTTGAAATAATATCTATTTTAAAAATATTTATTGAAATTTGATTCTTTTTTTAATGGACCAAGGCGCCCCTTCAACCCAATTGAGAGACAATTATGGAAAAAGAATATATGCGTATCTTTTCTATGAAATTATTGTATTATTTAATTTTTAAAAACAACTCATCATCCACAAATTAGCATTATGATCAATTAAGGAATTATTATTATTATATTATTTTTTTTCTGGGGATGAACAATTTTGATTGTTCTTACGATGATTCTCAATGATAATTCAAAGAGAAAAGAGAGAGGAAACAAAAAATTACTTCATAAATCAAATCCTCAGAGACAAAAATGAGCAGTAGATCTATACATTCTTTGATTTTCTGTTAGTTTCCCGAGAAAATTTGTGTGTAGAATTTGCTAATGGTAGTCAGTTTGGGATCTAATTCTTTACAGAATCACTAAAATCAAAATTAAAATTAGTTCAGGAGTTGTTCATCTTCTTCTTCTTCATCAATTCCTTGTGGATTTTTCTTTAATCAAATGAGGTCTCAGTTTCCTCACATCGGACAATTGAACTGGTTTGAGGAAGAACTCTTCCGCTCCTTCTTCCAAGCATCTGTTGATTCTTGAAGGAACATTCTCAGAGGACATGATCACAACTGGTATGTCTTTAAGAGATTTCGATTCCTGCAATTTTATCGCACGAATTAGTTATTGATTCTCGGTGGATTCGATTCTTTGGATTGCTCTGTAGAATCGGAAGGAGGAAAACAAATTAGGGCAAACCTTGATCTTCCTGAGGAGATCGTAGCCACTCATTCCAGGCATACTGTAATCCGTGATGATCAAATTCACATCCACTTCCTGAAAACAGAAATTATCAAACAAGTTAGAGACAGAAGAAACAAAAATGAACAAAAATCTCGAGGCAAGAGGGAAAATTAGGGCTACATACTTGAATTGAGGGGGGGAGTTTGGAGTGTTGTTCATCATCAACATCATCATCGAGATCAGGATCTTCAACAAGACCGAGAAATTCCAAGGCCTTGGTACCGGAATCAACAGCGGTGACTAATGAAAAACAGAACAACAAACATCGATTAGTCGTGAATCGAAGAAGAAAAAAAACATCCAATCGTGAACAGAAAAAGGAAGGAGCGATTAATACCGTGATAGGAGGAGGTTTTGAGGAGGCGCTCGATCAATTTCCGATCGATGAAGCTATCATCAACAGCAAGAACATGAAACCGAGTGGTTTCAACATCAACAGCCACAGCAACACCCATAGCTGGTAGAAACGCGATTCTTCAGCGACAGAGAAATGGAATTGGAGAAGAAGATCGAATAGAGAACCGATACGAAGGAGAACGGATCGAAGGAGTTTTATATCTATGGATGGAAGGAGGGAAGATCGATTCGATGGAGGGGGGAAAATCTTGGAATGTGACAGTTGGAAAGCGAGATCCGACAGATTTGATTCGGAATCGAGAGGATCTTCAAGGTTGATTTGGTTTAGACGGGGGCGACTCTTGACCAATTGTTTAATTGATTTTGCCAAATCAGAGTGTTCGTTGATTTTCGAGCAGCCAGTGGGCGCGCCTGTTGCCTCGGCTGTTTTAGTACAACCACATCCCCCACCAACTTCTCTTACCATTTTCTTCCCTCTCTTTTTTATAATAATTCTATTTTGACGTCTCAATTTATTTAATTTTAAAATATGATGAGATTAGATTATAAAATAACCCCCCTCACACTTTAACCATGGTTAATTTAACTCCGTTGTGTCGTCACTAAAATGCTATATATATTATCGTATAATGTAATAGCCTAAGTCCACCGCTAACAGATATTGTCTTTGTTTTAAAACGTGTCTACTAGGAAGAAGGGGGACCCAATGTCCTTACTAACATACTCACTGGCACACTGCTCAGTATCTAGCTATGATTCCATTTATAACAACTCAACCTCGTTGTTACTAGATATTGTTCTCTTTAGATTTTTCATTTAAAGGCTTCCCCTCAAGGTCTTAAAACTCGTCTACTAGGGAAGAGTTTCCATGTCTTTATAAGAAATGTTTCGTTTATCTTCCAACCGATGTAAGACATCGCATCTCATGACAATTCAGTGAAACCGAAGCTCCACTTTCATTTTTCGTCCAGATTTGTAGTTTCGCTAGAATTTAAACTAGGTTCTCGTTCGCTCATCAAACATAATTTATGCATAAACGAAGCTCGTTAATCCATACACACCGCTCGTGCATGCATGTTCACTCGCTTGTAACTTCTAAACCAAATCATAAGGCTCGACCTTCACTCTACATTGAGCCAAAGTCCATCGAATGCATCTTCACATCTTATCTCATCATCTTAACCCCAAATAACATGGGCTACGCAAACTGATGTCATCCCAAATCTCGGAATGCCACAGAGACATAATTTGACTCATGATATCGGTTTTCGATAAACCAAAATAGTAATTTAACTCTAATATATCCTTCACCTAAAGAAAAAAAAAAAAAAAGAAATTAGTAATAAAAAATTAATTTTAAATTCGTTATCTCCAAGAAAGATTTGAAAAAGGATATAATTAAAATTTTTATATTGATATGGTATCTGAAAATAATAGAAAATAAAAAGTTTACTAATATAAATTTTTAATTATGATTTTATAATAGAAAATTCAAATATGGCACTAATTTACTTATAAATTACATGAATTCTTAAAGATTTCAAATCACTTGAGATTTTAAATAATTTTTTTTTAATAAATTCATAAATTTTAAAAGCTGATTGTATCTTATTATTTTTTAAAAATATCTAATAATTTTTAAAAAAATTTAAAATATCCATAAATTTAATTAAATATATTCTAAATTAAATATTTATTAATAAAAAAATTTATGTATACATTACCTTTTTTTTAAAGAAAAAATTCAAAAATTTATTTAACCCAACCTATAATAAATATAATAAAATTTGATGCCTTATTTTAATTATTAATCTACAACTTTTACCGATAATTAAATCTCTTAATAAAATTCTAAAAATTTAATAGTTCCATGTCAAACCTTATAATAATTAATTAATTAGATTTGATTTATTTTTATATAAGTGCAAATAAATATAAATATAAATATATATATATATATTAAAAAATAGTACAATTATAGCAATAGGACCCTTGAGGACTTTAAGGGCTATTATATATATATATATATATATATATGTGTGTGTGTGTGTGTATGTATATGTATGTATATTATCCTAACATGAAAATCTTTGATGAGGCCCCACCATGATTGTAATGTGTTAAATGGGCCCTACCAAAGCATATAATATATCATCAAAATCTTTATGAAAAGGAACACACATTGAAGTTGCTTCTTCTACACCATTATTCTTGTTCCTCACATCAATGTTTATTTTTATTTAATCTTTTAAAAAGCGATCTCGAGCATGAAATAAATTTAATGAGAGGAATAATACTGTCTTATTTGAAGTAAACTTCATGGCTGTTTCGTTTACTCCGACCTCTTTTTATCAGGTGATTTGGGTCGTTTCCCTTTCATCAATTTTTGAAGCAGTTTATCGCCCTATCGAAAAGTGAAACAGATCATTGTGAGTTTCGAAGTAGTAAAATAACGGTTGAAGAATAAATGAGTGACTTATAAGCAGTGGCTTGGTTAAGGGATCCACCGATTAATATTTATTTATTTAAATAGTTAATATAGGTAAAGGTGACCTATAAACAATAATACAAATAGTGGTATAAAGGCTTAAATCCAACTACAAAAATGGGTTGACTTTAATAATTTTTGACCAATTTAAACATTATTAATAATGGATGTATTAGTTGAATTTAGATCAAATGCATAAACATAATTTTTATATTAATTTTTTAAATAAAAAATTTTAAATCTTAATTGACTTCCATGGTCAGAATTTTGAAAAATTTTAAAATTTCTCTTAATTGACAATAAATTTTTAATTCTCTATGAACACTCTCAAATTGTCTAACATAAAAATTCAATTTTTTAAAAAATAAATGTAATAGCCTAAAGCCACTGCTAGCAGATATTATTTGATTTGGTTCATTACGTATGATCGTTAATCACGATTTTAAAACGCATCTATTAGGAAGAGATTTCCACACCATTACAAATAATGTTTCGTTTCCCAATATACTAGAAAGTTCCGTGTTTGCCCTTGTTAACCCTCCCAAACTTAATTCCGAGACTTGCAAATTCAGCCGACTACATTTTTTTTTTCTGAGTTTGAACCCAATTCTTTCATGCCGAAATAAAAATACAAAATGGTGGGACTTTTGGCAGATTCATTAAGAAGTCAAGTTCTACAAAAAAGTGTTTTTATTGTGCTTAGTAGTGAAGTGCTTGTGAGTAATTTCGGAACAAAGTATTTCTTATAAAAGTGTGTAAATCTCTTCTTAATATACGCGTTTTAGAACTGTGAGACGTAACAGGCCAAAACAGACAATATCTGCTAACGATGACCTTAGACTATCATAGAAAGAATCCTTAGACTATCATAGAAAGAATCATAGTGGAGCAACGGAAGCGTGGTGGGCCCATAACCCACCGGTCTCAAGATTGAAACATGGCTCTGATACAATTTGTAATATCTGAAGTTTGCAATAAAGTTGAAATGAAGAGCAAATGAATGGATGGGATCCAAATGCTTTTTCTTCAAGGATCAAATTTGAAAAGAAAGCGGCGGCGGCAAGGACGCGCAGACGCAGAGTAAGGCGTGCGCATTGGCTTGTGCGGGCTGTCGTCCACGCCTGCGAGAATGTTTGGGGGCACAGCCCCTTTGGACTTCCATTGACTTTGATCAAATTATGTAGCCTTTATAAATTTGGAAACCCTTTTGTTTAAACTGTTTAGATTTTGCAGTTAAATGTTGAGTTGAGGCTTTGAGCAGGGCGGCAGTAGAGATTCGGACAGGCCAGCTTCTATCCCGTCCACCTTCATTTTGTAGCGTGTTCATTTCACTTAGTATTTCATTTCGTCCACCTTGATTTCACCTAGTGTCTTCATTTCAATTCCTTCATTTTGTACCGTGGTCTTGTAAGGATAGTCGAGGTGCTTTAATCACAATGGACTTTGACAACTCAAGATGTGTGTGTGTGTGTGTATATATCACTCTAAATCTCCCTCAATCTGCAAAATATGCACAAATGAAACTTGTAATGATGTCACATACAGGTTTTCCTCGTCTAAAATACATGAAAATTAACATTGAAAAGTTCAAATAAAGTACAAACCAAGAAATAAACGACAAAACTGAAATAGAAACTAAAATCTAAGGGAGGGAGGGAAAGGTTTAGTTTCTCTGTATCAACAGCCCTTACTCTAGGGGACCTCTAGAACACATCTTCACAGCAAACTATGGATATTTTGAAAGGTAGCATAGGAAAGGGAAGGGGCTTTTTCTCCAGTTGCACACGTAGATGGTGGATGGATTACTGAGGCGTCTGGGTATTATGAGGCCCGCCGCCTGGTGGTTGCGGCGGAGGCATCCCGGGTTGACCACCGAACTACAAAGAAGAATGCAGAATATTCAAGAAATCGGGCGGCTAGATAAGAAAAGTTCCAAGAACGACCATAAAACAAAAGAATATTCATGCGTACGAACACCATTCAATCATTAAAATATCAAAGAAGAAAGCAGAATATTCAAGAAATCGGGTACGCTTAATAAGAAAAGTTCCAAGAACGGCCATAGAACAAAAGAATATTCATGCGTACGAACACCATTCAATAATTGAAATATTTGTGCACTGCTAAACTATGATACCAAGACAGTGTTATCAATCTTCCATGAGTTAAATTACCACAATGTTGCAGCAAACAAACTCGACAGAGTAACTTGTTTCAATAATTTAGGTTGTCAATCAGTTTTGCAACCATGAAAAAGATCATGCACGTGATGCCATTAACTTCACTAGTAACAAAAGCTTATAGATATTATTCATGCATGCTCATAGCTTCAAATTCCCCATCTTTCTATTTCTTTTGCCCTCATTAGATTGCATTTTCCTCTATTCTCACTCTTTCATCTGTTTTACCCGTCTAATATCATCAGCTTGTTTAACACCTCGCACATTCAGAAAAGACGAATTCAGATTTGAGATTGGTTGAGGGCTATGCTGCCAATACATAATGTGTTACTAGGAAATGGGAAAAAAAAAACAACTCATTCGTCTGCCTTCTCTATTTTACTCTTTCGATGAATCCTATTCCCCCACACGGTTAAAAGACATACTCTTTACTTGCCTTGGTTATAGTTGTAGAACGGGATTATCCCATTTGAACCGCCTCGTAGAACAATACAGCCTAGATTTTGGTTTCAATTGCAGTGTCATAAATAAGAGTACACATTTAACAGGCTCAATGTTTGATGCTTAAATGCACTTCCAATTAAGTTTTCTCTGTGATCGAAAACTGATAGCCGAATGAAGATACTAGTGATAACGATAACCATCATAATCATACCTGGTACGGATTAAACCCTGGTGTCATTTGCATTTGCCCAGCCGGTGTTCGATTAAATGCACCACCCTGTAGATACATTGGTGCCCTAGACGCATTTGATGGGCCCTGCATATTTGTTAAGCTGTTCTGAAAACCTTGACCAGAAGGTGGAGCGCCACTAGTAGGCATAGGTCCAGAGTGCATTTGATTCATGCCCACAAAATGGTTCTGTCGCATGGGAGGAACCATCTGATTCATAGATCCTTGCATCCCCTATAAGCAAAGTTAAGTTCATCAGGCCTTCAAAAGAAAAGGGGGGGTGGGGTGAGAAATCACACAATGCCATTAGTACAATTCTAACAGGCAGAAGTTCATGCACATCATTGTTCAAAAGGACCAGTCAGCAGTCATCGATAACTCATCCCAAACTATTAATTACTGCCTTTTTTAAATAAAAAATCACATGTCTGAACTGGAGATCCAAAAGCCACGAGAGGCCAGTACCCCCAAACTTAAGAAAAAGAAAGGCCAGTGTTCAGAGAATGAGTTTGGATCTATTTAGTCTTTGTCCCTTTCCCTTGTGTCACAAGAGGGAAAAGGGTGTTATAGGAAGAGAAAGGAGAGGTCTATCATGGGAGAGATCAATTAGATCAATAGAACGTATAAGAAACTTATTCGATGGTATATCCAAAGTCTAAACTGCAAGATTCAAGGTCCATTTACAAATCATGAAGCAAACGTTTCTTCAATACTTCAACTTAATGGTATTGATCCCTTCCGACTATCCATAACTTCATAAATCATTAAAAAAAAAAAAAAAAAAAAAAAAAAAAAAAAAAAAAAAAAAAAAAAAAAAAAAAAAAAAAAAAAAAAAAAAAAAACAACTCTTGGAGCAAGATTGCTTGGGGTATTACCACGAGTAATCTTGGCATTATATTTCTTCACATGTTTAGAATTTCCACGAGTTCACCCTAAATAATTACACTCAATTTATGTCTTTTTCATGGAATAAAATCCACGAAATGCACAAGATCATTTAACTTTTTACCAAAAACCTCACTTACTAGATGCTAGAAGAATTCAAATATTCAATATGCATAAAATCATGAAAAATAGATTCAATTTTTTTTTACTGCAACTAAGTACAGCAACAGGTCTAAAAAAACATCCAAAGTAGAAAATTTAGATATTGAGTACAAATATGTTTAGCATAAATTCCATTTCAAAAGAGTTCAAAAAGTGCTATCCCATCCTAAGGTTTCATACATCTATCTGTCCTTTTTCAAAGACAATTTTCAAGCCTGAAAGATTTCATGGATTCGAGTTTAATTACAGCATGAAACAACTTTTTTGAGCATGACTATAGCTAATTGATATGTTTGACAAAACAATAATAATATTTTTTTTAATTGACAAAAGCTCATGCTTGAAAATCAATACACAATATACACAAGTTCTTTTTAATTTTTGAACACGGGTTCATCGAGTCCATGTATATTTTTTCTGCTAGGGATATGCTCAATCTCAAAGTTGCTTTAGAATTTATGATTGGGAATACAGAGGCAAATTTGACGGTTCTGACGTGTGGGTAGTATAAACTTTTGTCTTATATTTGGTACAAAATGTAGAAAATTGAAGTAGCTCTACCTCTTTTCCTATTCATCTTCAATTTATTTTGATTATGTTAAAAACAATAATGTAAAAAATGAACATGAGAAATTATTCGTAAGTTCATAATGAACGGTTAAAAGATGCTATCAAACTAAAAAATTAAACTCGTCTATTGACTGTTTGATTTAAAACTCCATAATTTCAAAATAAAAAATAAATGAAAAGAATAAGTAGCAAAATAGCATACCATGGGACCAGGCATGGCAGGTCCTGATGAAGGCAATGATCCAGGTTGTGAAGGCATATTCATTGTGGGCATCTGGGGTGGTCGAGGTAAATTTGGGTGTGGAAGCAAAGGGAAATGTGAAGGAGGTTGTAACTGCGGTAAATTTTGAGGTTGCATGGGCAATGGGGCCATATGTGGCGTCTGGTGGTGCTGAGATTGCTGCTGCTGCTGCTGCATGAACTGCTGAGGATTTTGTTGAAAAGGATGCTGCTGATTGGCAGCAAGAAGAGAAGGGTGTGGACCAGGTGGGAGGGGAGGAGCCCCTACTGGCATTGAAATTTGATGTGGCTGCTTACGTTCTCCCATTACTGCAGTGTCAGACAAGGGCATTGCAACTCCAATGCCAGGAATGGTTCCCTCATTTCGAGCCAACCCAGGTGGAAATGGTCCGGGCGAAGTAGGTCCATCAGGTACTGCAAAGTTACCAGTCATATGAGCAGAACCAACAGGATTTTGCTCATTGTAACCTAATAAAAAAACATGTGAAGTTAAAAACAGATGACATTTCCAAATGCAAATCAATTCTTCTCGCATGCTAGGACAAAAGTACAAATGCTAGATTACGTATGCACTATACATAGAATGTACAAATCAATAATGACGCTAAGTTTTAGATAAGGCCTGCTCAAGCCAAACCCAAATAAACAAGGCTTGCATCCACACATGTTCTCAATCTTGGGTATTCAATAGAGCTCACCTGTGCTAAACTTATCACGAGCAGTGTCTCCTGGCCTATTTCGACAACAGAACTTGGTTGTGTGATCGTTGCTACCACTGCAAAAGAAAACATCCTTCATTCATCAGAACACATATAGTTACCTCACTACAGAGGAGCAGCTGACAAGAAGGCATTGATCTACATGCTACCTTAAAACAGAATAGTGTAGTAGGAAGAAAACAGAAAACAGATTTTGAAAACAGAAAACAGACTTCGAATTTCCTTCTTAATATATATTTTAATAAGTGTGTCCTTGATTAGTCATCGTGTCCATGTCGTTTCGTGTTCGTGTCTCATATCGGTATTCGTGCTTCTTAGGTGGGGAGGAGATGTGACAAGGCTGCCTATACCGGAACTTGTGTCAACCTTCCATGTTTCCTTTATAGAACTATGTTTCAATGTTGAGAGGCTGTACAAACCAGGGAAGACAGCGTAAGGAAGCCTGACCACAATCCACATCATGCTAAAGGCGAGCATGATTTCCGCCAACAAGATACTCCATTTAAAGCATATTCGTCCATGCTCTACGTGAGGAATAGATATACTGATTGTCCGGCCATTTGGTGATACAAGTGGTCCCTTATTTTGATAAAAGTTCATTAATAAAGCTCACCCTTCAGTGTGAGATATTTTGTATGGTTTGTGTGAGAACATGAAATGAATAACATACTGCTAGATTTGAAGGGTAGCAAAATTATTCTATACGAAGCAGCTATAGAAAGGATTGGAGCCTTTTTTTTTCTTTTAATAACAATCGGATGAGAACCTATTAAAACAAACGTTCCAACAAAATTGACAATAGTAAAGAGGCACAAATCCAGAGCACAGAATCCAAAATTATCCAAACCTGCACAGAAGATAACCAATAGGATGCCATGCGAGGTTCCACACACTATTATCATGTGCATTGGTAATTTCAATCTGAGGAGTCTCATGTCTGTAAATAAGAAAATCGTGTAATGAAATGAGATTCAAGACCTTTAAATCATTGTAATCATTAATTGTATTAACACACTAAGCAAGATTAAATCACAATAAAATGAATCAATATAGAAAAATGGAAATCCTAGCATTATCTCACGGATCAATCCAACAATGTGACTATCTTCAAGAGGCATGTTCAAAAGAAATTTGAAATTCTATCAAATACATTGACTTATCATCAATAAACATCATATGAGAAAGATGAATTCGCAACCCATGTGAAATGTGAAAATCCTCAACGAGACTCGTATTTCCATTTCTGTAGCCATAGCTAAGAACATCAACCACCAAGAAAAAAAGAATGAGGAAGAGGGATCTCAAACACTCTTTTTTTTACCATAATAGTCTTCATCCAAAGACTTATCCCTCTTCCTTCCAAAGCCAAAACAAAACTATTCCCAACCGTAAACAACATAGATTATATACAATACAAGAAATTGAAACTAAAGCACAAACATACCCAACAAGCCAATGAAATATAGAGCATCAAAACTCCCACTAACAAAATACTCTTCATGGAAAGGGTGCCAGGCCAATGCTGGAAAAAAAATCACCTTAATATCAGTATTTACCTTCAAGATAAGATAAAAGGAAAATCACCTTTATATTAGTACTGATCTTGAAAATAAAATAAAAGGAAATATTTATTTTATCCTTATATTAGCTGAGTATGTTAAATTTGAGCTTAAAACTTTAATTTTTCCAAATTGGACGGCAAACTTCACAAGGGATGAGATTAATACCATCCAGTAGTTTTTCTTTAATCAATTTGTGGCAAAATGAGTAGACACTCGAGGTGCTTTTGTGCCTGGGCTTGAATAATTTCTGGCATATATTCTGGACGCTGAATTTTGGTTAATTTATTGGTGGGTCTCTAACGGCGGTCTTCTAACTTGGATTTGAGGGTTACATTTGATAAAAGTAAGATTCTAACATTAAAATTGACCGACTCAGCTAAACATGAGGCAAGATGTTAGTTTTCAAACTCATGAAGAATCCTAGCCTTAGATGTTCAATTAGATGTGCCACAAATGATAAGGAAAATCTTAAATGAAAGATTTATGCATGCTAAAATGGTACTCAAAACCTTAGAGAAAAAACTTTTTGAACCAACACAAATAATTTACCAAAAATACTCAGACCACAAGTGAGATACAATATTCTCATTATAAACTGCATGTTAATCAATTAATTAAATAAACAAAAGTACATTAACGAAGAGCCGGAGCAGCCAACTGAATGAAAAGAAAATAAAGGTACCACTTGAAATAATGTTAAATGTGGATTGGTCAGTTTACAAACTATCCCCATCCAATGAAACATTCTATAACTGTAATCAATTACCGGTCACATCCTTTCTATGCCCACGGAACGACTCAAGCTCTTTCATAGCCCTGATGTCATAAAGCTGAAAAAGAAAAAATAAACATAAAACTACATAAACGGAAGAGAAAATAAGAAGATATTAATATCCATAAATTAGAGAAACTAATTACCTTAATGATTTGATCCTTTGAAGCAGTCAGCACCCAGTTACCATTTTGATTCCATTTGACACCTAGTACTGTATTTTTATGACCATGACTGAAAGCATAACCATCATTCCTCACAAATTAGTTCAGCATTAATATTAGTTATTTATAACTAGATATTGAACTCACAATGAACAAAGCTCTTTCCCGGATTTTGCATCCCAAAGTTTCACATGGTTGTCTTTGCCACCTGATAAAATTTCAGCCAGAGTAATAAATATTACAAGATCACTCACGGAAAGATCTGGAAAAAATTTCCTGAAACAAGGCAGAAACCTGAAACTAGAAGAGACTTGGTGGGGTGCCAATCAACACTTTTCACATCCCACCCATGGCCTGCCTGAGTTCAAAACAGAAAATCTGGGTTACTTCAAAGATTCTTAACAAACAAATCACAAAATAAGTGCGTCTTTGACAACAACCAAAACCAAACACATAAAAGATCCAATGTGACAAGCATGAAGAGTAGTCCAACCACACCTGTGAATTTTGTTGACCCAGTAACATAAGGAAATGTACCTTGCGACAATCAATTACAAAATGTCTAAATATATTGATATGGTAATCCTAGCTTGTTGAATCTAAAAACCCTCATAAGCGCTCTAGATGTGCAAATCCCAAGTTCACAAACGCTAAAACCCTCCCATCAATTTGATTTCATTCCAAATAATTTTAACTCTTGAGAATTTGATCTAACAACTTTATTGAAGAATAAAACCTTTAGATCTAAATATTCAAGCACCCCAGTGATTCAAATCACTTCACAAGCAAGATTGATCAAGTTAAGCTTGAATTATTCTAAACATGCCGCCTAAGCTACATAAAATAGCAAAGAAACTTAGTCCTGAGCTAAAATAAAGCACAAATACTCATTTTACCACATTTTTAAGTCGGCCTTACAAAGACAGAATACATGGCTTTATATAGCCTCAAAATGAAACCATTGACCTTCCATAAGGCATTCAAAAGTTTTAACCTTCATACTTGATGACCATAATTAGCCACTGCGTAAATGTAACCTTAAAATAAATAAAAAGTCTTAAAATACATTAGTAAAACATCATAACTCTAAATTATCATCCACCCAAAATTTGCAACCATCCAAGAATAATGAAACTCGATTCTTCTTTAAACTAGCATGAATTGCAACTTGAGTTTGTCTTGTGGTAGTTTGAACAATATTTTTTTCACATTTTCCTTTAAGTTCATATTACATAATTGAGATGTCTTGGTTCATGTCATATGCCTAGCCAATCACTGCTTCAAAAACAGGAGCCAACAACTAAAGAAGTAGAGATTATGATGTTATCTATTGAAAAATTTATATATTCGTATCGATAACTTTAGAACACCATCCATATAAATCTAGCATTGAGGCAAGTATGACTAGCATAGAAAATTACTTTCGTTGATCCAATTTTTTTAAACCTAAATCTTTGTTGGCTCTCTCTAGGTGCAAAAATTCCTCTTACTTACATAGTTATAGCCTACCATCTCTATTGGCTAATTGGAAATGTTTATTAACTTTCTTTACAGGGAGCTCTTCCCCATTTTTGGTATTTATATTTCATACCATTAATGAAACTTGGTATTTTTGAAATCCAATAGCTAAAGAAGCAATTTGCAAGTATTTGGATGTAAGAATTTTCTCAATTTTTCATTTACATGTTGCTTCCAGTCATCCACAGTAAAATAATAAGACCTAAAAAAGAGCTAAACATGCATCTAGAACTAACAATCACAAGTCACAGCTGTTCAATCATATACTTGGTAGGAAACTTCCTACAAGCATACCATTATCCTGACCAATATTTAGTAACTCTAACTGAATATTAGGCGAGAATTTACAGATTAACAAAATTATCAAACCTAGAGATACCTTCCCATCTAACATCAGATGTAAAACGTCAAGAAGACTCCCAAAATGGAAAATGTATCACATGTTAACTGGCAAAAAAAAATTCAATCTAGTAAGCCCCAAAAATTTTATGCACTTGTTTGTATATTTGTTCTTTTCTCCATGAAAACTTCGACTTTTATGAAAAAAGATGATAAAAAATAACAGCAGCAGTAGTAATTGTAATAATAATAACAATATAAAAAGAAGCCCCAAAAATATATAAGATGCACATGCCATTTTTTTCTCAAAAGAAAGAACGAAGGCATAGGATAGTATATCATCGTTAAGCAAGCATTCCAACTAAAACAATTAGAAATAAACCATATAAAGAAAATGCAAAGCACATTACCAGACAAAGAACGCTCTTCTTGGCACCGAGCAAAGTCCCAAACTTTGACTGTAGTATCATCAGAGCAGGAACAGAATTTCAAATATGTCGTACAAAAGATGTTTAAAACAAGTTCATTATGATCAGCCAAACCAATAAAAAGAAGTAGGCCTCTTTAGATGTGCATTCGTGAAAAAAATATCAGAACCTCTAGATTAGAGATAATTGTGGAAGAGAAGGTTCCCAGTGGCTGGAAGAATGAAATTAAACGATCAGAATTGGACCATAGTTTAGGTCCAGTCTATTTTAAGCTCCCACCATGCCAAAAGCACTAGAAACCCCACCCCTCACATTTTTCTGCCTCATGAAATCTTTAGCTTCTGTGTGGTTCTGTTGTGGGTAGAATTTCAGAATTTTCCTTTGTTTTCTATAGTACAAGATTGTTGATTTATCGGCAGGTTGTAACTTCACCCCTATGACGTGTTGTCTTAATATTCTTAGTAGATATTGTGATTCAAGAAGATTTATCTATCAAAAACAGTAGTATGCGAGAGGAATGTATTTAAAAAAAGCTATTATTTACTACCTCAAGTCCCGAACTGATTCTTTACGAGCAGATTTATTCGCCTTCACATTATTCATGTTATTTTGCCAATACCTGCTAAAAAACGTTAAATATGAAATGACTACTTGCTCAACAAATCTATTCTAGAGAAAACAAGGAATTGGTTGTGAAATTGTGAAACAAACCCTATAATACATCCAATTTATTGGGGTAAAATTACTTTATTGAGCCCCCATTATCACCAGACACCATCCAGTTGTCGTTGTGGCTCCATACCATAGACCGAATTGCTTGATCATGAGCCTGCCAATGACGATGTTCAAGAAATCCTTTATCATTCCTTTTTATGCAATTTCATTAATTACGGAATCCATATACCTGAAGAATCATTTCAAAATTGAACGACTGTCCATTCCAAAGGGTAAATTCGCCACTTTGTGAGCCTGTAATAAGACGTCTCCCTGTGGGAGTCCACTTTGGAAAACAAGGAAGACAACACAGAAATGTTGAACACTAATGAGATGGAGGAAAGTCCTGGAATGCCAGAAAATACTATCTTTCTCACGAAGAGATGAAGGAAGTCCTGATATTCTAAAAATCTTTGATGGAATGTAACTGCTACTCTATTTAATTTTCAGAAGAGTCCAATTTGCAAATCTAAGCCCATAATATAAGTTGCAGATTAACCAAGGATTTGATTACTTCCTGCTAGTGCCAACTAAGATGGATAATGACTGGAGTAAAAAATCCTCTATANAATCAAGTGGTGGTGACTACCAGTTTATACGTTGTGTTGAGGGAGAAAAATGTTAATATATATTCTTTTTAATTCAATAACTAGGCCTCGTGTTAAATATTATTGTAGGCACAAGACCGTATAGGTGGTAAAGAAAATGCCTTGTCTATTTCGGTTAAGGATACCAGCAATGAAGATTCTGATGCTATTGAAGCCGTTTTGGTCAATACCAATCAGGTATTGTATTCTGTACGCTGCATCCAATCTCTTCTGCATTTTTTGTTGTTTTTTTTTTTTGTTTTCTTACATTATTTCTGATAGTAACAATCATAATCTTCTAGATGCTAGCTCTTGAGGACTAACATTTGGTACATGGGCATTGCCTGTCTCCTTCCTGTTCAGAATTGTCTGAAATTCTTGCATTAATGTTAGAGACCTCCCCTTTGATTTCGCTCAATTGAATTTATTTTTGGAATCATTGGAAGCTTTCTCACATTCCGTTACATTTTTAAGAACATATATTTAAAAAAAAAAAAAATGAAGAAGAAGAAAAGGGGACAACGTAGGGGCTGGGTAGAGAACCCCCCCCCCCCACACACACACACACACACAAATTTTGTTGCTTACACCTAATAAGAAAAGTAGAACTTACCAACACTCTATTAATTGAACAACGATTTTTGTTGATCGACGTATGGACAAACTTTGCTGCAAAGCTCGTAGATGGATTATCTGAATTAGCAGCTGGAGGCAACATCTGCATCGAGAATTCAAATAAGACAAAGGCTAGTAAACCAAAAATTATTTCTTTCAGAAAATAAATCTATAGTAAAAATATTACATAAGTGTCGCTGATGCAAGTTTAAAAGACAAGTGGGCAAAAATGATTACAACAATGATTCAATTCAACAATTATTTTCTCAAAGACAAAATATCACTGACATCAATAGCTGCTGCTGGAGTTGATTGCAATACAGTCCTTTCCTTTGAATCTCGTTGCCACATACGAAGCTGCAGATCAACTAATATATTATAAGCTGCATGACCAAAATAGAAATAGGAAGAAATTTTTATAAAAAATTTAAAATCAAAGCATAATAGTCATAAAACTAAAAGGCATGTCCGTCCCCACCCCACAAAATTATAGAGGAAGAACTGAAACAAGATACAATTTTTAATTTTGTTAAGAAGGAAGTCATTGTTGGAGGGTTTGGCAGAAGCTAAGATTGGGAGAAAAGTAAGTCGCAAGGAAGAGAAGCTTAAGTATTTTTTGGTGATTTTTCAGTTAATTATCTATCTAGACAGCTGGTTGCATCTTCTCCAATGCTAAAAGATCTTTTCTCAGCTCTGTGGAAGTCAAATAGTCTAAATAGAATTAACATTCTTATTTGGATTATGCTTAACAGTAGCCTTAATACAGCCTATTTACTCCAAACCTCGATTTCAGAACAAGAGCTATGCCAGAAGACAAGATATGTCAAGTCCATACACAAGTGTACCTGCATGTATCGCACAACAGTACTAGTATAATCGACTGCCCTCCTTTGAGTAAGCTTTCTCATTCTTTTTGCAGCAAAACTATCCCCATGGGCTGCAACAAATATATCTTGGACACATTAGAAACAGAAGAAACAATAATAAAGAAATCTTGAAAAAAGTCAATATCCCCAAGCATGTCCTAGAGGCGTTTTCCTGCCACATCGAACGTGTGTGCAAGGCATGTTGGGGCATGTGGGACCAACGTTTTAAAAAGCAAGTCAAGGGCGCCTCACTTCTTTGATGCAAAGGCACACTGAGGCATGCACATTACATCTCAAGTCCTTTTTCATTTATAAAGAAACTAAGAAAATGCTCATTTCTCTCTTAAATCTCTAGCAATACTCTAATTGCTTAGATTTCTCATTATCTTATTATTCATAATAATATATTTTGCACAATTGAAAATTTTGTGAACATTTTTAAATCGTGTGCTCAAAACAAAAAGATAGAAGTGTTGCACAATCAAACACTAGCTTCGTCATCTAGAGAAGTGTTGCATCCATCATAGTTTGAAGGTCTTAAATTGGCATGAAATAAAAAGATAGATATACAATTGAAGGGAATTTTCTTTTCAGAATTCAATATTTCAAAAGAGGTTTCTAAATAGACGATTGGGAAATAAGAGGGTACCTCCTCTCTCTCTATCAGAGTACTTTAGTCTAAACCAAACACGCATTTTATCTCTCATGTGTACAACTATAGATCCCCAAGATTCCCACACATAATACTGACTAACTACATGCCAACATATGCATCGTATTATTAACACCAGACACTAATCCCCCTCCCTCCTACACACTTCCTTCTATAAACATTGATAACAAAGAATGTGTCAGTACCCTTCCCAGAGAGCCACCTTTTTGGAGGCCTATTTCGAACAAGAGTAAGACACAGTTTTCTAATTGGAAAAATGTCTTTTTCTCTAAAGAAGGAAGGCTTATACTCATCTAATTGGTGATCAGTGGGATCCCCCATTACTTCTTTTCCTTGATCAAGATTCTGGTGTCTGCAAGTAAGTTTATTGGGAGAGTGCTGAGAAGTTCATTGCAGAAAGGGGTTGATGAGGAAGAGGTTCTCACTTGACTAGGTGGGAAAAGGTGGTGAGCTAATGGAGCAAGGAGGATTAGGGATCGGGAGCTTGAGATTATGTACTGAGGCGTTGCTAGCTAAACAGTTCTTCATGGAGCCCGATGCTTTGTGGTACAAAGCTATTGTGTGTAGGAATGGCTTGCATCCTTCTAAGTGGATTTTTTCTCTTTTTCAATAACAAATAGAGTTTTCATCGAGAGAAATGAACGAATGTACAAGAACATACAAAAAAAACAAGTCTACCAACAAAAAAAAAAACTCAAGACTAATTACAAGAACAAATCTCAATCCAAAAGAACAAGACTAAGCTGGAAGTTACAAAAAGCGTGATTGAAGGACTCCAAGAAAGACAAATTAAATCTAATCGACCCCCAAAGCTCCTCACCTAACCTCTAAAATCCTTTAAAGATTCTACCATCCCTCCCGTGCAAAATGTCCCCACAAAATGGCGAACTCTTCACTTTCTCAAAGGTTTTTGTCTGCAATAGAAAACATTATCAAAATAATTCAACATCGAAAGCATTTGCTCCTTTTTGGGAAAATGAAGTGAAGTTCAGACCATAAAACGATGATACAAAGATGAAAACCACAATCAATTTTACGCCTTCAGTATAATTCTTCCTGTATGTACAACATTATTTGTTAAACCACACGTCGAAAACCCAGCTGACAAACTTAACAACACCCCAAGAAATACAGCAACCAACCCTATGTCCAAAACGATTTGAGTCGCAGAGAAAACTCCCAATTCCATAAAATAAATAACAAAAAAAAAAAAAAGACNTGTAGGAAGCCTAACGAAATTTAAATCTAAGATGAATAATTATAAAGTTCAATGTTAACATTTTTTTTTTCAAAATTGATGTCGATTATATTTGAAATATATGTTAAATTGCCAACACAACACAAGCACAGTAATAATACATATTATTTCTTTTAAAGTAAGAGGTTCAAATTAAATTATTATTAGTAGATGCCAACAAAGTTCCACACTAATTAAGGAACTAAGGAAGTTATATATAACTGAGAATAAATATCTTTATTAATACGAGACATTTTATACTATTTTCATGGAGATGTATATATGGAAAACTTCAACCATACGATGAATCAAATCAAACTCCTATATTTGGATGTTACTAAAAATGATACAAAACAAATAATTTCAACTTCCAAATCAATGGCAATGATCTTACCAAATATGGAGAAAGAGCACGACTTTTTTACATTTCATTAATTTGTTGTTTCCATATGCTTCGGTTTCCTGTTTTTAATTAACTTTTAAATTTTAAAATTAAAAAAGATAATTTTGAAAAATTATTAATGACAAAAAAAAAAAATAAATAACAAAAAAAAAAAAAAGACAGTTCACCTTCATAAGGAGGAGGAGGAGCAGGGCCAGAGGGATGGCGAGGATGATGGTGATGTTGAAACTCCGGAGCGAGTGTAGTTGAAGAAGCAGACGGTTGCCTCATCATGGGCGGGCCTCTAGGGAAATCCCCGCCATGAGGATGCTGATTGGGCTGCTGCTGGTGCTGCTGAAACTGTTGAGGATCGCCGTACATGTTATAGAAGCTGAAACTAATGCAATTGAAGCCGACGAGTGGAAGGAAAATCCAAAGTCAAGAAGAAGAGAAGAGAGTAGGAACTGAGAAGAAATGCAGAGAAGAGGATTGGTTAAAACCCTTAAACCCTGAACATTTGCTCACTCAGATTGTTCATATGAGTGAATTCAGCAGGCGTGTCCGAGGTCTTGAGTTTTCAGCCTCCCGAAAGGCGCGGGGGCAGCACAGATTTGTTTTTCTGTACTAATTTTATTGAAAAGCAACGATTTCCATATTATATTTTTAGACCAAAATAAGATATATTATAAATTACTATTTTAATTTTATATAGGGATGATCAAATAAAATAAAAATAAAAAACTCGAGTAGAGGACGAGAAACCCCGACGAGAGTGAGGAATGAAAAATAGACATCGACTCGTGTCAACCCTGCAAACCCACCTCACCATCTCCATTTCTATCGGTATTTTCTTCCTCCTTCAATAAGTGGGAGTGTCAACATTGGTTGCTACCTCCGTGTAATTTATCGACACTATTTTTGTGATGTCCCCCACATTGGTTGGGAAGGAGAACAAACTACCACCATTTATAAGGGTGTGGAAACCTTCCCCTAGCAAACGCGTTTTAAAGCCTTGGAGGGAAGTTCGAAAGGGAAAGAAGCCTTGGAGGGAAGTCCGAAAGGGAAAGCCCAAAGAGAACAAAGAACAATATCTACTAGCTGTGGATCTGGGCCGTTACAATATTACCAAATCGGTTATAGATGGGACTTACCACCTATAATTTCAAAAGCTCGTCTTTTCCTCTAGAGGCACGTGTGAACTATAAACTTCATTCCTCTCCCACGTGCTCATTATAGTAGATCCCTCCTGAATCTTTAGTCCAATTGATGGTTAGTTAGTATCTCATCTATACGCATATAATTTCTCTAACCATATAGGATAGGTAAACTTCACATATACATTAATATCAAATTTTGCATACATTACATAACATTTTCAATAACAACGTGATTTTAACTGAGCATTAGGCATCTTAATAATAAAACTTATCTTAGTTCTAAATTCAACAAACAAACGTGATATTTTCTATTGATTTTTTTTTTGTCTAACTTATAATTATATTTTTTAAAAATTAACACTTGAAATTCTTAATATTTAAATCGACTCATTCAAACCTTGATCAGATTGTACGTTGCTGTAGAATTATAAAACCTCAAAAAGAGTCGGTATGGTGCGAACTATTTTATCGAACCATAAGTAAACTCTAATTTTCTCAAAATTACACAACCAAAAAAGAAATGGAACAGATAGTGTCAAATCATCCATCTTCCACACACAAAATGATGAAAAGCGACAAAATAAAAGTCAAATACAACATTATTATAAGTTCTCTCAAGAATTAAAATTCAAAACATGTCAGTTCACCTAAAATAACCCTATAAACGATACGATAAACAATCTAACAGAGCAATGGGATGAATTGGATAGCAATTACAGGATCAAACTATGCCCAATTTCATCCAAAAATGATATCAGTAATGCAGAATTGTTGTTTCTCTTCAGACCCAGAATATATATGTATACTTGCAGCTGCATCATTCGAATTCCAGTTGGCTGACGACACACACAACATTCAACAAAAAAACTGATGAATTAAGAATCAAATGGAGGAGAAAATAATAAAAACTAACAATTACAATGAAGTTTTGAATATCATCAGCTACAACGTGGGTTTTGATCATAAGAATGTTTAAGAATTTAGTTGTGAGGAAGAGGAGGCTTACCCTAAAGAAAACTGCAGCCAACTTTAAGCCTCTTTCCTCGTTATCCTGCAGAATAAAAGAAAACAACAAATAAGAAAGAACTTAGACTAAAGGAAGAGATGCTTGTCTACAAATTTGAATAATGTGCCAGCATGGTCGAGAGTGATTTTAGATTTTCGAAACAAAATTACTTTTTTCGTGTCCAAAACGGTGATTTTGGTCGGTCATTTACAAAAATGCTAAAACTAGTTCACTATGCAGCTTTGGTTCGGATCGTCAATCTCATAACCAAATGAGCAGTGGCCAAAACAATAAGCAAGGAAGAAATTAGACTAAAGGAAGAGATATTTGTCTACAAATTTGAATAACGTTCAGGCATGTTCGAGAGTGATTTTAGATTTCCAAAATTACTTTTGTCATGTCCAAAATACAGCTAAAAAGAGCATGATAACGGTGATTTTGGTCGGTCATTTTCAAAAATGCCAAAATTAGTTCACTATGCGGGTTCGGTTCGGATTTTCAATCTCATATTTAGTAGAAGGAAACAGAAATATTCAAACTTGAGCCATATGAGCAGTAGCCAAAAGTTTCCTTCTCACCTGAAGCAATAGATTCCCAAGGCAGTGGTGATCTCATGAATGACTGAAGTTGCGAAGTGCAAATACAGAGCAACTGAGGAAACCAGAAAAGGCAGAAATCATGAAAAACGTCGCAGTGAATCAATAAGAAAAATAACACAATTCAACTCGTAAGTATAAGGTCGGTCTATCGAGCAGACCTATCAGATGATTTCAGAGCACATTAACCGAACTATGAATGTAAAAGTGGAGTGAATAGTTTAAGTTAAACATACCATTAAAAATACAGTAACCAAGAACAACCAAACTTTCATCAACCAAAGGTTCCCTGTCACATGAAATGATAGAACTCTATTGTCACTATAAATGATATGGCATTCTATCTTTGCAAGCATGTACAACCCACAGCCACATACCCGTCGTTAAGCCTAGCTGTGAGAGCATTCGCAATGGCAAGAGGAAGAAATAATAGCGACTGCATAAATATTAAACAAAGAATGGTTTTATAATCTTGCATCAAACTCTACTCATCTAGATAATACGACACAGTTCAAATAACGAAAAATTTAAGAATTTAGAACAGAATTATTTCCAAAGAAATAAACAACACTTCAGAATGCAAGTAATAAATGCATCATGTAAAATTTCACAGATATTTGCCATCACATTCATATCCACTGTTCATTTTGACTTCAGAAATAATAATGGGTATATAAGCTAATGTACAGAAACCACAAACGATCTTTAGGATAATTGGTTCATCTTCCATCTTCAAGGAAGAACTAACTTAATTTAACCATGGTTTGTTCTAAATATTCTTAAATGTCCTTTCTTTCCTTGCTCAAATCATGATTAAAAAAAGTTGTTGCATTCAAGCGAGAAGTGAACCCTCAACAGGGGTAGGCACCTATCCGACCTCTAAATGTGAATCACACTTTAAGTGCACACATTTGAAGCCTTTTCAAACAGTGAGTATTATAGCTCCTTTCTTATGTTCAATGTGTGTATCATCTAATACTACATTGAGCTACTCATTCATAACCATCTCTGAAACTTCCTGAGCCTTGACATAATACTTCAATTATGAATTATGCTATTTACAAACTGAATAGGCAAATTTTTTTGTTCATTCTATTTTGTATGACAACCGCATTAACTAAATAGATCAAAGTAAAGAATTAGGGCTAAGTATTTCGATAAAGGGTCGGGGTTCAAGTACAGATTACTTTATTTCTAAACTAAAGGTCAAATTACAACACAGCATAATGGCAAGGAACAGATACGATGTCATGAATCATAATCATGCCTCTTCATGAAGATTTTCAGAACAGAACAATGATTTTCCCCATGGTCAAAGTCAGTTGACTTGGTGAAAAGTACATATTTTGACTGAATAATACTAGAAATGTCAATTAACAAGCTTATTTTTTGTCACATATCAACATCAGCAAATAAATAACGAATTTATCTATAGGTTGGTTCATCAAAGCAACATACCATGCACATTCCAGTTTTCAAGCCCTTGGGTTCATCACAAAGGTGAGCAAGAATCATTCTCCCCTGCAAAACAGAATGATTCTAGTTTAGAAATGTTTGAGTTCATCTTCAATTCTTGAACATATTCAAGCCTCCAACTCGAACTAATGTATGTCATAAAATGTCATATAATGGTTCTAACATTCAATATTGTTCCAACCATGAATGACCATGGGACAATGCTGACTTTTTAACATCCGTACACACCATAAAACCATAATGACAAGAAAAAGGGACTGAGTATCTCTACAAATTTTGTTTATGAAGAAACGAAAAGAGATTAATACTCAGAAGATACAAACTCCTAAAGGGAGTGAGAAAAATAAAACAATAAATCAAAATGACGAAGGAACTATAAAAGCATTCCAATTCAAACATAACTCGTAAATAGAAACCACTATACATATATATAGAGAGAAAGAGAGAGGGAGTACCTATGTCTTACCACTAAGAATCCAAAAGCAAGTCCAGTTCCAGTTATAACCAGATGCGGATAGCTTCCAATAATATCAGAAGGTGACAAATAATCCCTAAATGAGACATAAATGGTGTAAAGTCATACGATGGCTATATATATACTAGGTGAGGAAAAGGGGAAAAAGTTGAAATTTACCATGCCAAGACTCCTCCGACAAGTACGACAAATGGGTAAAGCTGTATGAACAATGAAACAAAATCTACTTATTATTACAACATAACATACATAAATCAGAGTTAATGGACGATCAGATTATTACCATCGCTAATGCTAATAGCATGTTTCCTTTTCTAGCTTGAACAACCTTGTAAACATTGTACACACTGCACAAAAGCACAAGATGATATGGGGAAAGGATTAAAAGTCCTCAAAGTTGAAACTGGAATGAAACATGAGTTGACAGAATTCAGAAAATTCATGAAAGAATTTTGGTATTCCACTTACTTTTGGTGTGCCACAACTTTGAAGAAGGTACCAAGTTCCACTTTCTTTTAAATCATTTTATATTTACCATCTCCTAAATTTCAAGTATTCACTTATTTCTACACGATAGTCACAGGTATTCCTTCCCAGTATCTGTAATTGATAAGTCTTACTGTTGAGATCATAGTAATTGTTTCATATCAATCTTATATTTTCTAAATGAAGCTAACATTTGTCTCATCCCAAGGAAGAATATTGCAAGGACAGTGAGTTTAGGTTGAGATCATATCGATCTTATATTCTCTAAATGAAGCTAACATTTGTCTCATCCCAAGGAAGAATATTGCAAGGACAGTGAGTTTAGGTTGATTAGTCTTACTACATATTGCTAGAGTACTTTCGGATAGATTGAAGAAGATTCCCCCATCCACAATCACATAATACCCATCATCCTTTGTAGCCTACTAACAAATTCTTGACGCCTCTTTAATTGTTAATGAGATCATTAATGAATGGAACCGAAGAAAAAGGAAGGGATAACTTGACATTGAAAAGGATTTCAATATGGTTGATTGGGATTTTCTCGAGGAAGTTCTTAAAGCAAAAGGTTTTGGGCAAACATTTAGGAAATAAATTAGTTGTATGCCATTAGTTAATTACTCCATCATAATCAATGGTAAACCTGGAGGTAAAATTCTTGCTTCCAGAGGTCTCCTTCATGGAGATCCTCAATTTCCGTTTTTGTTCATCCTTGTGGTTGATTGCCTTAGTAGGATACTCCTCATGTAAAAACAAAAAGACCCCATGAATCACAACAGATTCATCTCTTCAGTAGTTTTTCCTTTGCTTCATCCTTTTGGACCTTTCTCCAACAAGCATTCGGGTGGCACATTACTAGACCTGACTGTCTTCACTCTCTTCAATTTGTCACTTATTGGGCATCCGTTCAAGGAAAATAAAATTATGTTGTGCAACTTTCTTTATGCTTTTTATTGGAATTTATGGTTAGAAGGAAATGTTCGTATCTTCACAGATAACAACATGACGTTGAATTTACTTCTTATCTTGCTTGGAGTTATCATTCTCCTCCTTTATGTAATTATAGTTTATCGACTCCCTTTTCTCATTGAGGTGTATCTATTTCAATAAAGCAAGATAAGAAATAGATACACAATGAAATGGTTTTTGTTTATCGACTCCCTTATCCAAAACTATTACTTTGCTTCGCTGACATTAAAATTTGTCTGAATTCAAAAGCCAGGTATCACATGCACATGGATGCCACTTAAAAGTTAGAAGACAGGAACCACATACTTGAATGCAACTGTTGGAATGACACCGAAAGCAGCCAATAAAATCAGTGCAGCTCTGAATGTAGGAATAGCTGAACACAGATTTTTAAAAAATGATCAACCATAAGAAGAGTAACAGCAAAAGTGAAATGACAAGTGAATGAGAATTGTGTTTAAATAAACAGGTCCAAAAATGTACAAGTAGAAACCAATAAATCTGACATGAAATAACAAGAGGAATAAAAAGAGAATTTTGCCAACACAGAAGAGTTACAAAATAGACTTTTCTTTTCTCAGCACAACAATCCGCCCTTTGAAGCCAACACATAAATCTGATGCCCTTAGCCAACACCGCCAATTTAAATTTTTTCATGTTCTACTCGGAACAAGCTTATGAACGAAAGCAATATTTCTAATTCCACTATTTCACAACCCTTGCTTATGTGCACTAATGGAGCGTTTGATTTATTTCTTCAAATAAATGATTCAAGAGGAAATATTAGCAATTGTTCCTATGGAAGACGATATTGCTGATAGGTCTGGTGAGAGAAAAAAAAATTGAGAAAAATGTAGAATTTTATCCTTTCTTGAATTTAGAGAAGTTGGGTGTCAATGAGTAGATGAAAATCTTTGTGGACTAATTTCTGGATTTGGAATCAAGGGTAAGACCATCACTGATTCTGAGCGGGAGGAAAAGGAAGAAAGCCAAAGGAAGAAATGTTGCAGAAGGGTACAGAGAATTAGCAAATTTGATGTCTGCAGTAGTTTAATATTTTATAGGAAACACTTCCATAATGGTGGATTTGAGTACAAAATGCTATTCACATAGACCCGTATACAGTTGATTATCAAATCAAAGCAGGCAGGTTTACCAACTTCTCTACATTGAGGACATGCACAAGTGAATAGATTAAAAGTGGATGCAGTATTTCATTTAAATAAACTCTGCACACAATGGAGTGAACCAGACCACCCAAAAAGCCATGGAAGCACACACAGCAAAATCAATACAACCAAAAGAGCTAGAAGTATCTCGTGTATACCATTGAAGTACAAAGCTCGCCAGCCTAATAAAAACTGGTCTTTTTTCTATAAGAAACATATACCACTTCACTCATAACCATCGAACAAAAAATAACAGCTTGGCAAAGAGACAAGGTGTCCCCTTCCCAAGAGGAAGAAGATTATTCATAGGTTCTGTACTAATGATTGAGATTGAGTTAGGGAGGGAGGAAGAATATCTATAGTTAGAGCTTAGAAGTACTGAAGGTTTGTTTACAATATAAAGAAATTTATTGGCTCATTAGATTAACAGTCTTACCATGGAGAAATGGAACCCAACTAAAAATTGGTATGGACTTCCCAAACGGCTGAGCCCACCACCCAGCACCTGGTAGGTAGAAGATATATTCAGGACTTATTATTAACAATTCTATTAAGCTGGAAGAGAATTGCATATTCAAGGAAGAAAATCAAATTGAAATTGTAAACGAGCAGGGATAAGGAACATACCAACAAAGGTGGTGAAAAAGTGACATAAATAAATCAGCATGAGACCCTCAGTAGGTCCATTTACAACAGGAAGAATTAGAGTATTGGTGAAGAAGCTGTACTCAAAGATGGAAACGCAGGTTAGGTGTCAAGATTTTTCTTCTTCTTCTACCTTTTTTTTTTCTTTTCAAGATAATAAACACATTTATCCAACCAAAAAACATATATATATATGTCAATGAGGGCATAAGCTCCAAACCCAATCTCAAAGTCAGGGAGATTGCATAAAAGTTGTCCAACTAGTTAATCCAAATATTATTAAAACTGCACACTTACCTACCCAACTTAACAATGGTCCTTGTTTGAATTGACAAAAAAATAAAATCTCGCGCAAAATACATATTTTAATTATGATATACAAAATGGGGGAGAAAAAAAAAAGAAGAGATACGTAACTTCAAGGTCTACACAGAAGCATTTGATCGTGATAAAGATGCAGAATCATACATATCATCTCCCAAAAACAACTATTACCATTCATGAAAGTCAAACAAGGTCGACGAGAGAAAAAAAAAAGGGGGTTCCCTAGAAGCATAAAATTTATTTTTTTCTTTGATTCTTTTGATTTTTCTTAGAACTCAAGGATACAGTTGCACAAACTTAGAACAAATCATGTTCAAATAAGGTCGTTCCTTTTTATTTTGATTGAAACAAGGATCTTTTATATGCGAGCAAGTACACAAAGCCAAGAGGTACAGCAAGGCTAACAAGATAGATGCCTTTGAGGACTAAAATCATGAGATGAGACATGTCATAGCTCATAATAACTTCTATCATATCAACAATGAGTGGTACAGAAAACTTACTGTTCCCATGTTGCACCATAGAAGGGAACAGCAGAAAGAACCCAGAACCAGAAAGAAGATCTTCCACACATGGCGGTGCTCCCAAATGCTAAGGATTCAAACTGGTATCCACACCAAGAAGCAAAAAATTATGAATGCCCGAAAGCCAGGAAAATACAACGATAATCAGTTGAAGATACATACCGCACATGCCAGTGCATCACATCCTGAAATACAGAAAGAATTAATTTTTTTAACATTCAAATCCTGTGATCCATTACAAAGGAGTCATAGAAACAAGGGGGAACCAAAAATAAAATAGAAATATTACCGTGGTCAAAAAGTTCTCCCAATGGACTCGAGGAATTTGTCCTCCGTGCTTGCTTCCCATCAACAGCATCAAAAGTCTTGTAAAACAGGGATAAGATTAACCGGGCTATAAGCAACACTGTAATAGTGTCCAAGAAATCCATGGGAGCTGTTCAACTTTCAAGAGAGGACATGCATTCCAAGCAGCAGTACAACAAAACCCAACATAGAATATTGAAGCATACCTGATAAAGAAAAAGAAGCAATCCATGTGCAAAATGAACCCACCTAGGGGGAGGTGAATCTAACTGAGGAGAATATATCTGACATGAAAGTACAGTTAAAATTAAAATATGAGAAAGATCATCAATAAACAAACAATAAATATAGAAAAAATCATGAATAATTCAAAAGAACTGTGGTGCGATACCCTTATTCTGTATCAATTTTAGATTTACTATGCCTAGGACGTATTTAATGGAAATAGTAAACTATAAAGCATAAGTGAAAATATGTAAAAGCACGAAAACTAATAAAACACTCTTGACATGCCTTTGAAGATTTATCATAAAAAATTACTACCAAACACTTCAAGACTAGGGTTTACGAAATTTCGAGTAAAACTTAAAGAAGAGCAGAAAAAAGGAGTATTGGCCATTACTCACATAACCAAGAACTGCTGATGTGATCAAGAACATAAATCCCACAAGTGTTATCTGGCATGAGTGCATACCACAAAGGGAAGAACATGTTATCTCAAAAGTCAAAGCAAAAGGTACAGTATAACACAAAAGAGGAAACATCCGTTACCATGTTCGGACTGATGAAATCATCCAGGAACGCATGTGAAATGAGAACAGAGGAATGATAAGTCAGCATATCATCAGAAAGAAAGCTTACTAGAAAAAGAAAAAAAAAAACAATATATGCAATCAGTTGGAACAGTTTCACTAAAAGTTATTCAAATTTTTAAACACAAATCATTAGCAAAACTTGGAAGAGTGACTTATGAAATCTCTCCAATTCATTTAGAAACACCATGCCCGATGACTGGGGGAAAATCTTTTACTGAATTAGCAGAATCACTATTGATAGAAACAAGAAAGCTTTACTTACGGCATCCATAGTGGAAAGAAATTAACAAAGCGACTCCAAAAGGGTTGCAGTATATATTTAGCAACATAAGAGTGATCAACACCACTGTACTTGTATCTGTGCAACGTTGCAACCCCATGTGCACCGATGTACCCCATTTCCTCAAAATACGATATAAAAAATTTGCTGCAGAAACCAATCAACTCGCCACAAAATCTGCTGCATGGGAAACAAACAGTAACTCACCCAACCAACACAAGTCTCCAGCAGTAGGGAATGAAGTATCCAATAATCAAGGAAAACAGAAACATTAAATGAAATAGGCATTTAAACACAAAAACTACATGTATTAGGGTAATTCCAATATCCTAAACAGCCTTAACGCAATAACCCATTTAAGATTCAGTAGCAAATTGTTGGTTAATGCTTTAGTTAGAGCAATCACTCATCAAAAACGGGTGAGGCGATCCATAACAATGTTTTAAAAGAGTAACTCCCACTGAAAGCATAGATCCAACTGAAAAATTAGACTATCTCACGTACCTTGAATCTCGATGGAATAATAAGAAGAACACAGTTCAATGATAACTTTTAAGAAATCAGATCGAACGCACACACAAAGGTAACTTACTACAGGAAAGTGACAATGAAAAAACAAAAAAAATAAGGTTACCTGATTCCTTGTCGCAGAGAAAATGGAAAGAACGAGAGATCAGGAAATGGAGGAGCCCTGAGGAGGGAGAAAAAGAAACAGAGAAGAAAAAAAATATCTTTCTATCTCCCGCTTTGATGGATAACCATTTCTCCTACAAAAAGAGGAAATTCTTCATTCGATTCTCTCTCGACTTTCCCTTTCCTTTCTCACCAATAATTGTACACCAAATGGAATCTTTGTCCAATTATCATTTAAGTATTTATTAATATTCGTTTAAGTTAATAAATATATTTCTAAATTTTGCATTTTGTCGGTGGATCTCACCATCCACCTTTTTTAGAGTCCAACGTCCTTGATAGCCACATGGCGACACTGATACCATTATAACCTCGATCTCACAATCCACTTCTTTCAGAGTCCAACGTGCTTGCTGGCCACATCGCGACACTGATACTATTATAATCTTTCCAACCGATGCAGGATCTTACAACCCACCACCTTGAGAACCAACGTCCTTGCTGGCACATAACGGCTCTAGTACCATTTGTAACAACTTAAGCCCACCGCTAGCGGATAATGTCAACTTTGGGTTTTTCCTTCTGACTTTCCCTCAAGGTTGTAAAACTCGTATGCTAATGAGAGATTTTCAGACCCTCAATTTTAAAATCAAAAATAAAAATATAAAAATGGTAACTCTAAATTACCAAAGAACTACTAACGTAAAACAATGCATACTATTATCCTATCTTAGCTTCTATGGTCATTCCGGCATCATCGCCATCCGTACAGGGACGCTTTATCTTTGCCTGAAATATACGAGTAGCATGTGACTTTAGTATTTTTCATCAAATAACCTCATAGTTAGGGTCAGGTAATGGAAATACACGTATACATGATGCGACCTATCCTTTTAAAATAACATAACATGACTTCAAACTCTTTCTAGTTCGAGAAGGGTTGGATGCGTGATATTTCCCCACATACAGCCCATGCACGCGCATATGAACACATCAGGCAGGCTCGTATATGTACCTCCTAAGCCTAACTTGTCAGGCTAAACATGCTGGCATGTCACTAGACACCATGGAGGGAAAGACCTGCATGATATCATGATCACGAACATAAATATCAAAGGTACACGTCTGTATTAACATAACATAACAATGGAAGTATCTCGATGCACATGACATTACCCACGTAGCATTTCATTTCATTCATATCTTGGCAAATGGGATATCACATACATACCTAATATGGTACCATAAATAGTTAGGGACTAAGTCAAGGCTAAACAAGTAAGTGAAGTTATAACACATGTCACGTCCATGGTCTCATTTATCTAATAGAGAAAAAATGTCTTCCACTCCGTCTCTCATTCCCCGTTTAAATGGAGAATCCCCTCCTTGTTTGAGGCAGATAAAATAGACATCTCTAATCACATGAAGGAAGTAGGTCGGGTCGTGGATGTCATGTGGGCTAAAGATGGACGTATGTGGGCTTTATGCCGTCGCTGTGATGCATTTCAAGGCTTTTGGATCCTACACCTAGGTGGGGTCACCCGACTTGAATATCCAGCCTCTAGACTCGTCTTCTCAACCCTACTCTCTGAAACCGCAACCCTATCTCTCTTTTCTCAAATTCGAACTCTGTTAACTTTCTATGCTCGCTAGTTTACCAAACACTTGCACTTCAACTGCAAACTCCTAAAGCATTTGCGCCATTGCAACCTACTGAAATTTGAGATCAAAGTGTGTCGATGCATGCTCGTCGCTCTCTTTTTCGAAAGTCTCTCGAACATGTGGTGTGAGTTGTAGAACATAAAGAAGAACGAGTTGGGTGGTTGAGGGCGTGAAGATGGAGTGTTACAACTTCGTTTACTCTAATTTTTTATATTTTTGTTATTGAATTTTTTAAATTTTGCTATTTATTTATTTATTTTTATTTCTTTCAAGCCACTTTATAAATTATATTAGTTTAATTTATAGTAGAATATTTAATAATTATTAAAAAATTAAAATCAAATAAATAATATTAATTCATGAAAATAGGAAGACCAAATCGTAGCCTAGTTGGTTCTTTCATGTGTCATCATTTTCAATGAAATGTTAGAAAATGAAAAGACAGGTAAACATCACAATCCTTGTTGAGATATTCCATGCCATCTTAGATATTCACTATTTATTTTAATTAAATTATATATATATATATATATATATATATATATATATTTTTTTTTTTTGTTGGATATATTTGGAATTCATAATTACAAAATATTATATTTCAATTTTTTTATCATAAATTTAAATGGGAGGAACACAAAATTTACATTTTTACCCTTAATGGTTGACTTTGTTTCATTTAATTTTGGGATCTAAAAATTAATATATAATTTCAAATTTAACGGTCGGATTTGAATTTATTACAATCTACGACTGAAGTATTTGTCGACAATGTAAAATTTTAAGTGGTAGTCATTTTTTACCTTCTCTATTACTTATAATTGTTTGTGGGATCATTGCTGGTTCAAGATAGTCTCCACCTATTACAAATAATATAGAATAGAAATAAAAATCGTGTAGGGGTAAATTTACAATTTTACCCTTAATGTTGACTTTCTTTCCTTTAATTTTGGGATCTAATTAAATAATTTATTAGTAATTATAAATTTCAAATTTACCAACCATTTAATTTTAATAAATTCATTCTTATCCAATTAAAATTCAATCACATATGAACACGGTTAAACGAACACGACTCTCCATAATTGTATGATATTGTCCACTTTGAGCATAAGCTAAACTCTCATGACTTTGAGACTCAAAAGGCCTCATACCAATAGTTCTCACTTATAAACCCATGATCATTCCCTAAATTAGCCGGTGTGGGACTTTCATCATCCAACACCTCCCCTCAATCAGCTTTGCTTTGAGCTTCCTCAAAAGGCCTCATACCAATAGTTCTCACTTATAAACCCATGATCATTCCCTAAATTAGCCGGTGTGGGACTTTCATCATCCAACACCTCCCCTCAATCAGCTTTGCTTTGAGCTTCCTCAAAAGGCCTCATACCAATAGTTCTCACTTATAAACCCATGATCATTCCCTAAATTAGCCGGTGTGGGACTTTCATCATCCAACACCTCCCCTCAATCAGCTTTGCTTTGAGCTTCCTCAAAAGGCCTCATACCAATAGTTCTCACTTATAAACCCATGATCATTCCCTAAATTAGCCGGTGTGGGACTTTCATCATCCAACACCTCCCCTCAATCATCATTTTTGAATATCTTCTTTTTTCTTTTTGGAGTCCTTTGTTCGACATACGAGGATTTGCCAATCTATTGACACAGCTAAGTTTAGAGCATGACTCTGATACCATGTTAGACGAACACGACTCTCCACAATGGTATGATATTGTCTACTTTGAGCATAAGCTCTCATGGTTTTGCTTTGGGCTTCTCCAAAAGGCCTCATACCAATAGAGTTAGTATTCCTCACTTATAAACCCATGATCATTCCCTAAATTAGCCGATGTGGGACTTTCATCATCCAACAAACACAATATAAACATACGTTATTAAACCCAAATAGACGACTAATAGTACTTGTCGACTGTTAGATGAACACGACTCTCCACAATGGTATGATATTGTCTATTTTGAGCATAAACTCTCATGGTTTTGCTTTAGACTTCCGAAAAAGTCTCATACTAATGAAGATAGTATTTCTTGATTATAAACTCATGATCATTCCCTAAGTTAGCCGATATGAGACTTTTATCATCCAACATCGACAACGTAGGATTTTAATTTGTTGTCTTTTTTACCTTCTCGCTCGTGCAATCATCGCTTGGTCAAGATCCATCTCCACCTAGAATTGGAACAAAAAGACATTGAGGTTGTATGCATGTTCAAGTTGATGAGGTGTTGAATGTTAGTAAAAATGAATGCAACCGAGAGTGCAGGTACACGTTAGTCTGTGGACACCAAAAATTTCAACAGCTCCTTAAATGACTCTATCTGCAATTTCTCAGAATACAGATGGAGAAATTAATATATTTTTTTTAACGTATTTTTCTAAAAGGATTGAAAATAAATAAATAAATAGATGTTTTACGACCTAATATTTTATTTTTATTAAAAAAAAAACTTGAATAAATAACTTAAACCAGCACACCGAGCAATTGGGTTGGGTCTAAAAAATAAAAAATATCTCAATCCAACTCGACACAACCTACTAACGCTCCTAAAAGTTTTTAAAATTATTATTTTATTAATATCATTTAAAAAAAAAAACATAAAATTGTATCCACATGGTCTCCCAACCATTATTGAATAATGATGTTTAAAATTAATTAAAAAAATAATGAAAGATTTTATTTAATTCAACTAAATCCTAATGTATTTATTTAGAAAGGTGGCAAGCAAGAAAGCAGCAATAAATCGAGGCCAACGACCACATTTCTGTGTTTCATGTTGGTCGAGGGATGAGGGCCAGGCCATCTCGTTGAAGAATTATTTAGTATATAGTTATAGCTACAAGCCTAGCTAGTACGAATTTACTCGTTGACCACTTTTTTCACTACGTTTTCGATGAGTACGAGAGAGAACGGTAGAAACAACGAGCTACTATTGAATGACTTTTTGTGTACTCTTTTACTATTCTTACGGGACAATCATATAACCCTACGATATTTGGTTGTCAAGGTCACTTGTACAATATCAAACCCTAGGTAGGTGGTAATTATGGCTTAAACGAGCTCCTTTCAAACCCGCTATTAATTACATTACGAGAAATATATTTATTAAAAGATAGACATTGTTTTTATTATAGGAATTAGTCGTGGTTTTGATTTTACGCATGGTGAATATTACGAAATAGTCAACTTTTGGTTGAATCTCGAGCTCATTTGGTTAGCTTGACACTCTACTGCCCCGTTCTTGCAATCCTAATGTAGCTCGGTTGATCCCTTTTAAACCTAATTTAAAGGTTCAACGAAACCCTAAAAGTTATATAAATGTACGAAAATAAACTGTTTTTCGTATTTTAAATTATTGCTACACTTATATTTTATATGTTGACTTAAGTATCAAAGTCAGTGAAGTAAGCACCACTCGAGTGTGTGATTTTATTTTTGTTATTAGTCACGTTCTTCTCTTTCAATATCGGTTGGAGAGGAGAACGAAGTATTCTTCATAAGGATATGAAAAC